GGGGGGGGGGGGTTATCAATCCTTGAAAATGTAGAGTATGCTTCGTATAGGAGGTCCAATCCAGGCGAGACAGGGACAATCCGTGATACCCGGGAAATAGCCAGTGATGTCTTCGTGGACATTGACAGGGAGTGAGCATAAGTATGGGCCCGGTTCTGTACAACTATGAAGCGACACTGAACGGGGTAGAGCATGAGCAGACCATAACAAAATAATCATGCTGAATGCTATATGCACTGCGACCATGCGTCAAACGCCCTCCATGCATATGGCTCACCTGAATTCCTTACGACTCACATGGCAATGGCACAATTGCAGCGGACGGTATCATTCCCATCACGCCGAACCCAAACCTGGACATCTACGTCCTTTTTGCCTCCCTACTTTGCAGTTCGCTTGTTTGTTGAGTTAGTCCCGTCAGTGACATAATGTGAAGTGGTACAGGTAGAAGAGAAAATTATTATCAGAAAAAATGTGAAGATAATCTGCCACAATATTTGAACGTATGCACATGTGCTGTACACGTACTGTAGAAGTCTGGATAGCAGCCTCCCCTGAGGGCTATTAATTTCGCCACAGAAGTTGACTCTTTAGATGCTATTCAACTGAAAGGGGAATCGAATACCCACATCCATGGTGGATATAACAAGCAATGCTAAGAAATTCTCATTGGCTACCTTATGGGATTCAGAAAATGAGAACAGAGACCTCGCCATGCACACATATGACCGATAGCTTGAACTAGTTTTAGAAAAGTTTCCAGCAAACACGTTTCCAAAGAGGGGAGTTGCGCCTCTGCTCCAGCTTACGGTTGTGCGCTTCCCAGTCAATCTCTCGGCGGCCGGAATCAACATCAATCTGGCTAAGTTTGAGCCAACCCTGACCCTTCCATAAGTAACCACAGACCCAGAAAAACATGACAATAGGTGCAGCAAGGTAAGACTTGAAAAAGGTCTCGGCATCCATATCAGAAACGGCGACATACAACTAGAAGTAATTCCACGCGTTAGTGAGATATACCCCTGACAATCAACACGAGGGATGCCATGCGTCGGGCGGGGCCCGCCAAGTCAACAAACCTGTGCAGCAAGAATAATTACAACAAGAATTAGACCCAGCCATGACCCATAAACTCCAAAGGCGGCAGCGAAGGGAAGCTCGGCTACGGTGTGACCACGATAAGCCCACGCAGCGCGGAAGCGGATATGGGCGAAGCAAATCTAAGTGCGATTAGCAACAAATCATATATAATATAAATACAGCAACGAATAAAAATATGAACTCACGCTTCCCCAGGTGAAGAGTGCGGAAAGGCCAGAGAGCGCAAGTAGCCAATCAAAGATATCCTCTCCTGAGGCAGATAAATTGATATACGCTAAGCTGCCCAAGAGAATGATTGTAGCTGTTGACACCAACGGCCTCCCAGCGCGGTCAACATACGAAAACATTCTGGGCGCATATCCCTGCTCCGCCAGGGCAGTTAACGTCCGGGAGCCACCATATACACTTGAATTTCCGATGGAGAGAACGGAAACCAAGATGACGACATTCATAAAATGGTCAAATCCTATGAGGCCGGCGTTCTTGGCGACGATGACGAACGGAGAAGCTTTGACATTGATATAACCACTCCCGAGCAACCGCGTATCATCGTAGGGCACAAGGAGGCCGACAAAAGAGAGAGCAAGGATATAGAACAAACTGATGCGCCAGAAGATTTGTTTCACCGCGGAGGGCAGGGATTGGACAGGGGTTTTGGATTCGGCGGCAGCGAGACCGACCAATTCCGTCCCAGAAAAGGCAAACGCTGCAGTGACGAAGACGGAGCAGAAGCCCTTAAATCCGTTCCGGAATGCGCCAGGGTGGTACCAGAACCTGGCACCCCAATACTCGGAATACATACCATCTTTGGGCCCACCACCAAGGACACACACAAGCGCGATAATCATGAAAATGACAACGGCCGCAAGCTTTAGGCTGCTGCTCCAGAATTCCTCCTCGCCGTAGCCAAGGACACCGAAGATATTGATGGCAACGATGGCCACCAGGAAAACTGTGATCCAAACACCGATGTTTGTGTCCATGTCCCAATACCCGATTACTATGGCCGCAACTGTGAGTTCAATCGGCAAGACTATAGCCCATTGGAAAACATAGTTCCATCCCATGGCGAAACCCCAGGAAGGGTCAATAAAACGGGTTGAATAGGTATAGAAACCACCAGAGACCGGAAACGTGACAGCAAGTTCACCAAGAGCATAGACGACGTTAAAGATCATCTGAAACGAACGCGTGTCATTATTGTTTTGCATATTATCTCTTGTTGTTGTTGTTGGTGATCATAGTTGCGTTTGCTATGATAATGCCTCTAACCCTATGGGAGACTGACCACTTACCACGCCAACAATTGCAAAGCCAATTAGTACAGTTGCAGGCCCACCATTGCTTAATGAACTGCCTGAGCCCACGAACAAACCAGCCCCGATACCGCCACCAATTGCAATCATCCGCAGATGCCGGCTCGTCAGCGTCTGGTTTAAGTGGTTATGTTTGTCCGCGAGTGTTCTTCTTTTGAATGACTCGGGAGTGCACCCCATGCGTGTCCAGAAACCCAACTCATACTGGGTTTCAGAAGTCCCGAGTACTTGGCTCCCAGTATCTTCTAAGTAAGCCGGCTCAGGGGCAACCGGAACCTGCTCCATCTTGGAGCCTTTTTCTTGGTCTACCATCTTCATGATGACAGGACACACAGATCAGTCGGGAATGAGAACGCAAAGACGGATCAAGGCGCAAGAGGGACAAGTGACAGGAGCGGAGAGTGATAAGACAACAGCGGAATAGAATATACTCTGCGGCAACGGGGCAGGACAAGGGCACACACGATGTCAAAAAGGAACTAGGTGGTGTCAAACGCCAATACCACCTATGGTTGCTCACACTGCGGAGATGGACAATGAGAACAACGACAAAAACGGCGACAGCGAAGCAACGGAGATGGGATAGGAATTGTGTCCCTTGATATACGAAACTTGAAAAATAGAGCCTGTATCTATCCCGCAATGTTGCCTTGACCTGGTTGGCTCGTCTGGAGCCACGGCAAATTGTGAGATTCGGTTGACCCGCCCCCACCGGCTGACTTGATCCCTTGTGTGTTCCATGGCTGTTATTGCGGGTCATGAAATAAAGGGGAGTAAATACTAATACCGAAGGAAGGGGATCATATCGCGCGTGGCGGCGACATCAATGGGGGCCGAAGGACCCAACTCCAAACTTCTGAAAAGCATGTTACACCCATAAAGGGAAAGAAAAAGGACAGCACAGCACTCCGCACAGGAAGCGCGAGCTAACCCATCAAAACAGGGTCCCCTTTGCGGGACGGGAGGCATCACGGAATTCCCGTATCACTGTCACTGGAAAGTTGCGTTTCTGATGACCCGATGACCCATAGGATGAACCGCGGAAGAAGACGGGACATGACATTCGCATGCGAGCTGGCAGTCGTCCCAAAAGAAAAGGAAATCTCAATGCTACCCCAGCAATGTTCAAAACGGTCGGTGGCGATGAGAAATAAGCGGTTTATATTCGGATACCCCTTCAATTTGATAGACGATGTTCAACTGTTCTCCTTGTACCAGTCCGCTAATTTAGTATGAAAAGTGACTTGTAAGCCAAACAAGTCAAAAAAACATGGTCCAACCCTCTCTGTAATGTGGCATTTTTCATGAGGTATTCTCTGGCAATCACAGAGTAAATATTTTGGGCATAACTTCTGGTCTCTCTTTTATGGGTTAGCTACTTGATGGAAAATCAAGTACCAAGGTATTCCCCATAACTATGTATATATATAGTACGTAGTATATGGCGGAGGGTGTCTTTACCCAATAGTAAAGGGGCCCGTTGTGTGGAAAATGCCATTGCTTTTTGAACCCTCAATGAGATCAGGGCGGAGCATTCCTAAAGCAAAAAGCCTTAGGGTTAGTATTTCCTTGGGCGCTCAACGCCCCTGCCACGTGTCACGATCGCAATTGTTAACCGTGGAAAGCTGCAACGGCCAGAGTTCTGCTGTCTTTGAGATGTTTTCAAGGGCTTGGGCCATACCACCATTCCGTCATTCCGCCCATATCGTGTTGCCATATTTACCGCAGAAGACTCTAGAATCCAACTGTGATATTGGTTAAGAGTCTAAATAGTACCGAGGAAAGAATTGGCCAAATCAGAAGCCAAAGAAGCCAGCCCTCTACGCTTTTCGACATCCATGGATCTGTGGATGGTGGTACCGCGGCCGGTCCCGTCGCCCGCTTTCCGCTCACCGTCCGCTCGGCCAACGGAGAGAAAGCCTTGGGTACTAACATCGAACCCGCTCCGCAGCCAGGTTCCGCGCAACGTCGGGCTTGGCCCAGGCTTGGCGTTGGGCGCGGAGGATGATGCGGACGATCCTAGAGACCGGGTACCTGGACAGCTCCTAGCAACGGGGACGGAAAGGTGCTTGCTTTTGAACATTGGGCGAGCCTCGAACCCACAAAAGCACGGCATTTGCCATCTCGGATGGCATGACGTGTGGAATTGTTTAGCTGCGGGGCTAATTGCAAAACGCCGCTAACCCTTCTTTTGGACAACGACTCCATTGTCATGACATTTGCAGTTCTCTGGACAAGTGCTCACATCCTCAAGCAAGCCTCTAGCGTAAGCTGCTTGGCTAGGAATATGACGATGACCTGGCCAATGCAGAGCAATAATATGGAATCCTCTCGAGACGACGGATGATAAAGAAGAAGCATTGTTTATCGTTGAGAAGCGATTTGACGCCCCAGAGAGGGAGGCCGTGAAGGATTCAGAATCAATCTTGGTCAACTGGCATCTCCACAATTGTTTTTGGTCTCCGAACACAAAATCGAACGGGATACGAAAAGAATTTCACTCTAAGAGAGGGATAAATAGAGAACGATTCCCATTTCCCTCCAGATCGCCAATTGCAAAAACATCCCAGATTTCAACATGGATATTTCATATCGAAGCTTCGGGGCGCTAAATCATTCAAAACTTCTGCTTGTCTATGATGGCTGTGAGCTTTCACAATGCCATCTCTTCATCACTTTTTTTCTGGAACGCATCATCTTGTGGGAAGCTACGCCACACCACCCTACATTGGCTTTTTTCGGCTGATATCCGTCCAGTTACATACCGTAGCGCCGCTGAGGCCCGCTACTCATATCGGTGTCTTCCAATTGCCATTACATGGCACCTCAATACAACTGATACGATGCATGTTTCAGTCCAACTCAGGACTTGTCCAAAAACGGTGCGTGACTATCCTATTCGGAGTTTTCGGCTCCAACTGGTCTTTACGACGAAATCTCTTCAGGGGATGGCAGGCATGGCGCTGTTGCCATCGAGTTCTGGGGGTGTACATGTACATGTACATCCGGGATCAACACCGGTTACCTGCGGCGTTTTTCTGCCTTACTGCGGTTTTTCTGTTTATTTGACTCTGCGGCTACTAAGGAGGCGTTTTCGGTTTCGCTACCCCAAGTAAGCAAGACGGAACCCTACCAAATGTTTACGAGTGTAGGGAGAGAGAGATCAACCCTGCGCATCCTTCATGACGTCGCTTCCTGCAGCGCGCATCGTCCATCCGTCGAATTTGGCAAATATAGCAATTCTCCTTCTCACCATCGTGTTGCAAATCTATGGCTCAAGCATATCTGGGTGCACACTTCATATTATTATTATATCTCCAACCGAGAAACCACTGGCCCTCTCCTTCTTTGTTTTAGCACAGTGAACAGGCGGAGATGCCAGGCAAGTGTATCGGCTACCATATGGTCTTGACAACCGTACCTCGAAGAATTGCATGCAACAGCAACAAACAGGATTCTCCACCTGGCATAATCATACCATCTGCCAGAACGGAAAGTGTGTACAGCCACATGTCTGGCCGTGATAGTTTCCGGGAATTAGCCACCTCGGAAAACCTGTAACCCTCCCAGGGAGACTGGACGTGTATCCATACCAACCTACAGAATTCTATAGCTATCACTGGACAATCGAAAGGCAATCTCAAATATCTCCATTCGCGGGTCATTTGAAAATCTCAGTTTCCTGTTTTTGCATTTTACTTATCACGGACTATGTATAGTACTATGTTAATGCTGTGTAATTAGTCCCATTATACTGGCAAACATTAAAATTTTAGCAAGCAGTTAATCAACCCCTTTTCTCTGTATGCGACATTTCGGTATATCGATAGGCCATCGATAGGAACTATGTAAAATAATCAGTATGCTGACGTGGAATCTGCCAACTAATATTTCTATTGGAGCTAATCCTGTGCCTGAAGTTTTACTACACAAATGTTTATGTTGTACTGCTCCAGTGTGTAACAAAAGTCCTTCTAGTTGCTCGAAGCTTAGGCAATAAACCTTTAGAAGCTTGATGTCTAACTAAGGCTTGTCTGTCATGTTGGTTGTTTTGAATTTAAATTATAATCACCACGCTAAGAATATAAGGTAACTGCGAGTACCAGGTTGAGATCTTGCCATCTAACTGAACAGCAAGGTGTTTTATAACAGATTTTATTACCTAAACTCTTTTACATGTGCGAGGACTTTAAAAGTGTAATCTGGAGTTGAAATGTCTCACTTGTTTCCTGGTCCACCATATTTTTATTCCTGGCCATTTTAGTTCGATGTGTCAAATTTCAATGTAGGCTAAATAGCAGTAGAGGCACACAGGAAGGCCCTGGTTTATCCTTTCCCCCCTCCCTTGATTTTCGAATTCAAAGCCATTGGATCTGAAGCGCTTGATCAAAGAAAGACTTGGCCTGCACCTTTCTTTGTCTTTGGTTACATCAAGGCGCTTACCTGCTAACCACAATGATCACCATGGCCATGCCTGCTCACTGCCACCTACAGGGGGTGATGCACTTGCCTAGAGACCTCCACAACATATCGCCGGGGATTTGCGGAAAACGATGACACTAACAATATGGTCAAGGAAGTCCAATATTGATGCAATGAACTAACTACTCATTTTTCCTCCAATGCTATCCGCGTATTGCGTTCTCTAAAAAGAAGCTGGAAGTACGCCGTGATGAGAAGGTTCCTCTTCGTCTCCACTGCCGCTTTTACGTCAGTTGTATGTCAATCTCTCATACCGACTACCGGCTCAGCAGCCTTTCCTGGGTGCGCTGTTGCATGTCCACTTCTTCACAAGGCGCAGGCGAATTGCATCCCTCCAGCGGCACCTGTAACAAACCAAGCCACTTATAGCTCGTGTTTTTGCCAATCGACTCTTCTGCGGGCCCTCCACAGCTCTCCCAATGGAGTCTGCGACGCAGTATGTCCGCCGGCGGATCTAATTACCCTGCAGAAATGGTATGCACAGTTCTGCGCATCAGGCAATCCGGCTACAACCACCGCCACATCCAATGTTCCGGAATCCCATCCTAGGACTGGAACAGCTTCAACAGTCACTCATGAAGCCCCATCAAGTTGGTATGTCGAAGTTGCGCTCATTGCTTCCCATCATTCTTTCACTCAACCCAAGTTGCGCTGGACAACCATGGGAGGCACCTCGAAATAGAACTTCAAGCCTTCGTCCACTAAACTCCGATAGGTTTTCCTCCCACTGGAGATGGGTGGTGATGATAATCGCACTAGCGGTTGGGTTCACCGTTTTTGCTCTCCTCTTGATTTATTTAAAGCGTCGGCACAAGCGTAAGCGAGCAAATCAACCACCTTTCCCTCCGGCCGTACCTGCTGTGATCCTCGGAGATGGCAGTCGGAGTGCCCGTGAACCAACTTCGAGAAATCTAGTCGCAGCAGCTCTGGCAGACGATAAATGGGGTCCACAGCAACATCTTGCCCATACACGCGCCCAAGGTCCTGGAAATGGTGGCTCCACTCCCAATATATCGAACAGAGCAGAATCCGGACAATTTACCCGTGCGCCGCAACGGGTAAGTAGGAATATGCGAGGACCGCCTCGATCGAAAGATTAGTTATGACAGCGCGGCGCAAGTCGAGAAAGGGCATGGACTATTGCGGTTTATTAAGTCAAGGGCTTGCATTGATTCTACTCGAGGTCCTGTTGTTGTTGTTCTTAATCATCGCTCAGGAACACGCCAAAGCGGGTATGAGAACTATATCTTTTCCTTGTTTGGTATGGGTTGTAATCGCGCTGCGGTCAAAATGTTTTGTCCAGCGGAGTTCACACGGTTATCGTTATTGTTTCCAGAACTTTCAATAAATATGTGCATTAAAATAAATGAACATGTGACCAAACCAAACCAAACTGCCGAATTTCCCCAAAGCAAATACATACGCAATTGTATAGATATATATAGATATATATATATATCCAATTGGATATACCTATGTATAAAAAATAGCTCAATACATAAATTCTGGGAATCATGCTTCTAGTGTGTGTGTGAAAATGAGGATGGGCACTTGCACGAGTAGATAAAAAAAACCCCATGTATTGCAGGAAACGGTTCACATAGATATTACTAGCACGTACTCAAACAGTCACTATGTAATGCTGATGCTGACGATCTTCACGTCCTCCTCTGGCTTCTCTTTGTACGTCTTGACATTTTCAATCTTATGCACCACGTCAAGTCCCTTGACAGCCCTGCCGAATATCGTATGTTTCCCATCGAGCCACGGCGTCTTCTCAGTTGTGATAAAAAACTGGCTACCATTTGTGTTCGGGCCAGCATTAGCCATTGAGAGCGTATAAGGCTTGTCGTGACGCAGAGTCGAGAACTCGTCTTCAAACTCGCCGCCCCAAATCGACTCGCCCCCAGTACCGTCTCCGAGCGGATCGCCGGCTTGGATCATGAATTTGCGAATCACCCGGTGGAAGATGGTGTTGTTGTAGTAGCCATTGCGTGAATGGGTAACGAAATTCTCCACGGTCTTGGGGGCTGCGGAAGGGAAAAGTCTGAGGTGAATATCGCCTAGGGTAGTATGGAGCACGGCCGTAGTGCCCGTTGCTGTTGGTTTAGCAGCTGCAGCTGCAGCGTCTTCACGAGCTCCAACTGGTTTCTCGTTTTGTACGTCGCGGCTTGACTTGGATACCTCCGTTTCATTCGTGAAGAGGTAGAAACGGAGCTTAGCAAAGCCAGTACTGACGAGCATAGGATCACGCTCTTCAGCTTCTTGGAGCAAAGGATTGGCACTAGCGGCCATAGAAACCGTTACAACCCCCTTTTTCTGCGGTTGGCCTTGATAAATGGCAAGATTGAGGGCACGAAATGGTTCATCTTTGCCATAGACTCTAACAACGCGATTTGTGAAGGTGTTGATACACTTTATCCCTATTATAGAGCCATACATCACAAAATGGCCAGACTCGTCAAAGACCACATTAATCTTTGTCATGGTAGCCGGGTTTTCAAGTCCCTTCTCAATCGCTATCCGCCGTCCAAACTCAATCTCCTCGAGCTTATAGAGTGCCGTTCCAGCTTGTTGCATTTCCGTGAGCGTCGTGATGGATTCATCATAGGACCTGTATAATTTGCCGGTTGGGAAATCGAATACCCTAACCTGCCTATCAGGAAAGGAGAACGTCACGAATTGATGGCCTGATGGAGAAATTGTAATTGAAGACGGAACCGATTTGGATTTTTTAAAAATAAAGAGATTGGTGGTAGATTTCAGTTCAAACACGTTGTCTGGTTTGTCGAAGGGGGCATTCGGACGCCAGTATTCGATCATTCCCGTTTCATCTGCAGAAATAACGCAGTCATATGCATCGTTAAATGCCATTGCGACAACCGGGAAGCGATGGACTGATTTCAATGTATGGATGGGCGTGGAGTTTTCTCCTCGTCCGTCGTAAATCATAATGTCGCTAGTTGAATCGCAACTCACGGCTAACAGCGGCAGCGATGCGCCTCGCCGATGTACCCAGCAAACACACCTTGGGACATAATCCAATGTTAGGATGGCCAGGAGGTCTGAAACCAACCGTATTAGCAGACAAAGTTTTTTAACATGCCCAGGAGTAGGAAAGAAATGAAAGTCCTACCGAAAGTAATCACATCGAATATCTTAACCGTTTTATCTACTCCGACCGTCGCGAAATTTCTCCCGTCAAGACTAACGCTCACACCTTTCAGCTCTCCAACATGGGCGCGAAATTCCTTCACAAACTCGACACCAACCGGCATCTTCTTCCAAAACTTGACAACTCCATCAATAGAGCTTGTAATAAGGAAGTCAGTATGAGGGGTTAGGGTAACGAAGGAGAGCTGGTCCTTGTGCATTAGGGACTTTGAGTATCGGGCCGAAACTGGGAGCGCATTGATGTAGACCTTTTCGTAGGGTAGCTTTCGTCGTTTTTTTCTCGGTACGGTGGATGGGAGAGCAGGGCCAAAGTCATCCCCCGATGATGAGGATTCATCTATTATGTGCCCTTGTTAGCTCTATCTTTGTTTCGTTAGATACCGGTAATCGATATCGGAGGGAACAAACCATTCACTTGATTCTCCTCGAGCTCAGAGCGAGACCGCTTGTTGGAGGCGGTGCTGCGCGCTTCTTCCTCTGGTTCAGCCATCGCCCGGACCTGCATAGGAATTAAATAAAAGGGTAACAAAAGCCAGTGTACCCAATAACTTTGGCCAATGTTGCTGGAGTATGTTGTGCTCTTTGAGGTTTGTCGATACCCTAAAAGATTCCAAGCGCGCGCCAACAGCTCGGACCACCCTGACTAAGAATTTTGCAACGAAGGTTGTTAGCAGCACAAGCCCAAGGATTATCTGGTTGTTGTCATATACAGCCCACTTGCAACGTCTTCGAAAGCAGCGACCTGCATTGTCGTGATATAAGCTGCTGTTCTGCTGCTTCAATCATGGTATGTTCTATGCTTTTCCTCAACTTGGTCTATGCCTGCTCCTTTTCTTGGGTTCTAACTTTTCCAGGCGTCATTCAATAATCCCACGCAGATTTTCGCCGAAGACGTAACGGAGGAGAAAGGTGAAAATGCTCGCTTGTCCGCATTTGTGGGTGCGATCGCAGTAGGCGACCTGGTGAAAAGCACTCTGGGCCCAAAGGGAATGAACAAAATTCTTCAATCAGCGTACGCTACCTGTTCTCCTGCTCTGGTGCGGGGCATGATTAGAACATCTTTTTCTAACAGCCGAGCAATCTAACAGTTCTACTGGCGAGATCATGGTTACAAACGACGGAGCTACAATTCTCAAAGCCATAGCTCTCGACAACGCTGCTGCGAAGGTACTAGTGAATATCTCGAAGGTTCAAGATGATGAAGTTGGCGATGGAACCACCTCTGTCACCGTTCTCGCTGCGGAACTTCTACGGGAGGCGGAAAAGCTCGTGGAACGGAAAATACACCCTCAGACCATTATAGAAGGCTACAGGATTGCGAGCCGCGCGGCCCTCGTAGCCCTGGAGAAAACAGCAGTGAACAACAGCAAAGACCCCGTTGCTTTCCGAAAGGACTTGCACGCGATCGCCCGCACAACCCTCAGCTCGAAAGTTCTTAGCCAAGACCGAGATCAGTTTGCAAGTCTAGCCTGCGACGCAGTCCTCAGGCTCAAAGGATCTACTGATCTCAGTCACATCCAAATTATCAAGAAGGCTGGGGGAAAGTTGAGTGACTCCTACCTTGACGAGGGATTCATCTTGGATAAAAAGATTGGAGTGAACCAACCCAAGCGACTTGAGAACGCGAAGATCTTGGTCGCAAATACTGCTATGGACACGGATAAAATTAAAATTTTCGGTGCCCGTGTTAAGGTTGACTCAACAGGAAAATTGGCAGAATTGGAGAAAGCAGAACGAGAAAAAATGCGAGCGAAGGTAGAGAAGATTAAGTCACATGGAATCAACTGCTTCGTGAACCGTCAGCTCATATACAACTGGCCCGAACAACTTTTTACCGATGCTGGCATTGTTTCTATTGAGCACGCCGACTTCGACGGCATTGAGCGTCTCGCACTGGTCACGGGAGGAGAGATCACATCAACATTTGACCATCCAGATCAAGTGAAGCTAGGCCGGTGCGATGTCATTGAGGAAGTCATCATCGGTGAGGACACGCTGATCAAATTCTCTGGTGTTGCGGCCGGCCAAGCCTGCACCATTGTCCTCCGGGGAGCTACAGAACAGTTGCTTGACGAAGCTGAACGGTCTCTACACGATGCTCTTGCCGTCCTCTCTCAGACTGTCCGTGAGCCAAAGGTGACGCTGGGTGGCGGATGTGCGGAGATGGTGATGGCCAAGGCAGTCGAACAAACTGCGCAAAATACCACGGGGAAAAAACAAATTGCCGTCGATGCTTTTGCCCAAGCCCTCAAACAACTCCCAACCATCCTTGCAAGCAACGCCGGCTTGGACTCGAGCGACCTCGTCACGAGGCTGAGACAAGCCATCAATAATGGTATGACAAGCTCAGGGCTTGATCTTCTGACACCTGGTGGTGGGATTGCGGACATGCGGGATTTGGGTGTTGTAGAGAGCTACAAACTAAAGCGAGCAGTTGTGTCGTCAGCGTCAGAGGCTGCAGAGGTATGTACCTTATCCGGTTGTTATAATTATCACCATACTCAATTATTATTTTGTGGCGTTTCATGTTCGAAGCGTGGCTAACATCAATACCTCCATTTTACAGCTGCTGCTCAGGGTAGATAACATCATCCGTAGTGCCCCACGTAAGCGGGAACGCATGTAAATGGCGAACCTTTCTGAGTTATAGCAAATAAGAAGACATTGATGATTGTTCCCAACACCCAAAATAAACAAGCATATCACGTTACTCCTTCGAATAGACGAAGATGTTGCTTCAACAATGTCTCTGCTCAACTAGCTTGAGGAAGCAATATTGTGCAATTTAAGTGGGGCTTTTTGCGTTCCAACTCAGAGAACAACGCAACACTGGTTTATTTTTAAAACTAATACTTATAGTATATATATATTTGTATATTATTGGGGGAAGAGGGGGGAAGCACTTCAAAAGTTCATTGTCATGCTACTTGAGTTGGGTGCTGCTGCTTTGTCGTCATTAGCCAACCTGGGCGATGTCAGTGCTTCTGGTATACCCTTCACCCTTAACTCAACTTCAGTGACCCCGCAAGATTGCGTCAATAATAAGTGCATGATAAGACATTATCATCGGAATGAACTTTGTAAGGTTGCGTCCTTACATGTATTTTTACTATAACACGTATATGTCTGGGCTTGGGAATGTTGAGGGCGATGGAGGTTATAGAGTTTGTGCAATATGGCAAGATGCAAAACCGATGAACCCGTCTAGCCTCCCAAGTTTCTCATCCCTCCCCGAACATGCTGTCCTGTTCCAGTGAGTGTGGCAGTCCAACCACGGGAGAAGGGATATTAATTGATGTGCGTAGACTATAACGAGGAACCGTTTACGGGGTACTCCGTACTCCCTGCTGTACCGAGAATTGCTTTCAAGGGGCTGGAGGAGCAAAGAATAGGAAACTAACGCACATGATTCCGGTATTGAGAGGCGTAAACAATGCAGTACAGAATAATACCATCATGAACAGATTCTAAGCTTGGGCTGACAATTCTTTTGATAGGATAATCTGGACGTGAATTGGCAGACGCTATTGCACATGGAAGAGGAGCGAGGAACAAGACAAACAGAAATGCTATGTAATGCCACAGAATGTACCGTAACTACATGTATGTACTGTACAGCTTGCATACACGTGTATGTTACAGAGAGATTTCAATTTGCTCAGTCAAACCAATATATTGATTTCCTGGCAAGTGGTGAAATCGAGAACTTTCCCCGGCGGTCGTGGAGTGGAACCTTGGGAACAACATTTTTCTGCCCCCGACGCAGCGACAGTGGTTGGCCGCAAACGCAGCCCAGCGCTTAGTCCTTAGGCCCACCACCCCCGAGGGCGGTGAACAAGCGGCGGGCCCTTCCAGGGTTGCGCCAAGCCCTTCGCCCCGGACGAAGGTTTTGTCAGCCGGTGGTTGGGGGACTGCTGAGTCAGCGAGGCCCGGTTGCACGCAACTTGTTCCATTTGTTCCATTTGTTCCATCCTCCCTCCGTCGATCCGTTTTATCATCTATCCCGTTTCTCTTATCTCGTCCTCTATCCACCTTCGTCTCCTTCATTCACTTACGCTCCTCACCCCTCTTCCAGCTCTGCTGACCCTCTGTAGCCCTCTTCCGTCACTCCCTCTTCCAGCTCACGCTCCCTCTCCTGGAGTGGGACGCTGAAACCGCTTTCTAATGTCACCTACGGGCTTTGCGGATCATCTGCGGCCTCAATCACTCAGGGAACATTCTGACCTACGATTGCCCGCATTGTAGATCTCCACCATGGTCTGGCGGCTGCCTGGTGCCCGCTCTGCTCTTCCCACCGGCATTGCCCTCCTCCTTCTCCCGCTCTGGGCCGCTCAGCAGCAGCAGCCTCTTGCCCACAACGTCGAACCTCTACAGGCTTATATCGGAAACAATGCCCCCCTCCAATCACACACTCAAGCACACTCACTCGCAAACACCAACGATGCGAGCGCCATAGAAACTGTTGCTCTGGCGGCCCCCAACCCCGCCGTTCGAGCACCTCCTGCCCGGCTCAACTCAAACGCTGGCCCGGGTCCGCAGCTCCAAGCGCGGTCCTTACAGGATTGGGAGGTTGAGGACTTTGTCCTCTTGGCGACCGTCGATGGAACTATCCACGCGAGGGATCGAAAGACAGGGGCCCCGCGTTGGGCACTCGAGGTTCCAAGCAGCCCGATGGTGGAAACAATCTATCACCAGTCCAACCGGTCCGGTTTTGCCGATGCGCAGCCGGAGGACGATTTTATTTGGATCGTAGAGCCCAGCCGGGATGGTGACCTTTACATCTACAACCAGGCCCCCAATGGCGGCCTTCAGAAATTGGGTTTGACCGTGAAGGCTCTCGTTGACGAGACTCCTTATTCCGGAACCGATCCTCCCGTTACATATACTGCCAGAAAAGAAACTACCCTCTATACCGTAGATGCTCGCACTGGCACTATTCTTCGCGTCTTCAGTTCTCGAGGCTCTGCTGCCGCAACAGAACAAAGTTGTCGACGTGTCAATGACCTAGAAGCTCTCGATGACGAGGAGTGTGAGACCAAAAATGGCACGCTCACCCTTGGCCGACTCGAGTACATAGTAACTGTCCAAAATACAGAAACTGGAAATCTTATTTGCACCATCAAATATTCTGAATGGGGCCCGAACAACCGGGACGTTGACCTCCAAAGTCAATATTTCCGAACAATGGACGAACGACACATTTACAGTATGCACGACGGTGTTATCTTTGGGTTTGACCATTCAAAAGTAGACGGACGTCGTTACACCCAACGGTTTACTTCTCCCGTGGCGCGTGTTTTCGATGTTGCACGCCCTGCTCGCACTGACTCGCCCGATACGCCCCTAGTTCTCCTTTCCCAGCCACGTAACCCTCCAGATGACAGCTTTGGCGTTAATACGCCAGAAGATCGAGAGTCCCGTGTGTTCGTAAACTGTACCGAAAATGGCGGCTGGTATGCAATGTCGGAAGCTTCATATCCATTGGTCACAGGACGTGCAAGGCAAGCCGAATGCTATGAAAAGGACTACCTCATGAACGAGAAACCTTTGATGAGCCACAGCCTTGCCCAACAAAGGGCTGCTCTGGCTGGCGTACACTCTCTCAATGAGCCTTCAGGCAAGTATCAACGGACTATTCCTAGTATATCTGGCCCCCCCGCCGATTTATCGAACGATACCCCTCGAGATATTGCAAGAGTATCACCCAAATCGCCTCCCCAACCCACCATTAGACCGGGTGTCCTTATTCAAAAAGGGTGGGACAACGTCGTTGATGTCGTGGTTACCCTCTGTCTCCTTACTTTTGGAACCTTTCTTTACCTGAACTCCCACACTTTACAGGAGCTTGCGAAACAGAAACTCGATCTTAAAAATGTCATTTCTATCAATGGGAAACCTCTGTCTACCACACCCTCTACGCCAATAATCGCTTCAACGCCGACTCTCCCGTCGGAGTTTGGTACGGATGGGATACCATCTTCACTTGACCCTGGCGTTACTGTCAACATCACCGTCCCAACCCTCGACCAGGACGGTGATGTGACGCCACGATTGAAATCACGGAATTCAAGTGAGGATATTGAATCCACACCGAGGGTCAGGATACAGGACCCTGATAATAATGATGACAAGAATGACGATGTTGAAGAGCTAAATCTCCTTCAGACGCCAGAGAAAACAAAGAAAAAAGCTCGCCGTGGAAGACGGGGTGGCGTGGCGCACAAGCGTGGCAAGAAGAACCAGAACCAGAAACAGAGCGAAGACGCAGATGGCAAAATATCCACGGAGACACCGTCCGATAATGACCACACCGAGATTGCGAGGCGGCCAGGGCTCGAGAGACAGCTTTCGAGGACCATTTCAACAGAGATGGTAGAAATTGATGGCTCGATTAGAATCGGCCAACTGAAGGTTCACACAGATAAAGTTTTAGGCCATGGCAGCCATGGCACTGTGGTCTACAAGGGATCCTTTGATGGCCGGGATGTGGCGGTAAAACGGATGTTGGTGGAATTTTACGATATTGCCTCTCACGAGGTTGGCTTATTGCAGGAAAGCGATGACCACAAAAACGTCATTCGATATTTCTGTCGAGAGCAAACTGCAGGGTTTCTTTATATCGGTCTGGAGCTCTGCCCCGCCTCATTACAGGACGTGGTGGAAAAGCCGCTTGATTACCCCAGTCTTGTCAATGGAGGGTTGGACGTACCCGACGTTCTGTGGCAAATTACCGCTGGAGTCCGATATCTCCACTCGTTGAAAATAGTCCATCGTGACTTGAAGCCCCAAAATATTCTTGTGGCCGCGCCGAAGCCCCGAACCGGTTCGAGTTCGCTCAGATTACTTATTTCTGACTTCGGCTTGTGTAAAAAGTTGGAAGATAATCAAAGTTCCTTCAGAGCTACTACGGCACACGCCGCCGGGACATCCGGTTGGCGCGCTCCGGAGCTTCTTGTTGACGACGACCAAACCGCTCCAAGCGGCTCAACCTGGGACAACCAGAGTGTCGACTCCTCAGACCCTGCAGTTGTTGACCCTCAGACGAACCGAAGGGCCACACGTGCCATTGATATATTCTCCCTTGGCTGTGTCTTTTACTACGTGCTCACTCGTGGGGGTCACCCGTTCGATAAAGACGGCAAATTCATGCGTGAGGCGAATATTGTCAAAGGGTATCATAATTTAGATGACTTGCAGAAACTCGGAGACTACGCTTTCGAAGCGGATGATTTGATCAGGCAAATGTTATCCCTGGATCCACGCCGTCGGTGAGTTTTCCAAAATTTAATATAATAGCAAAATGCCCAAACTTCAAGCAACTGAACGAGTCTGACAAAATTCAATATCTAAGGCCTGACGCTACCACCATAATGCTCCACCCATTCTTCTGGTCCCCCGCAGACCGTCTGAATTTCCTCTGTGATGTATCTGACCATTTCGAATTCGAACCCCGCGATCCTCCCTCTGCAGATCTACTCTGCCTTGAATCGGTTGCCCCGGACGTCATCGGATTGGAAATGGACTTCCTCAAGTTGCTTCCGAAGGACTTTAAAGACAGTCTCGGCAAACAGCGAAAGTACACCGGGTCGAAGATGCTGGACCTTTTGCGCGCTCTCCGAAACAAACGCAACCATTACAACGATATGCCAGAACATCTGAAAGCCAACATTGGAGGGTTACCGGTTGGCTATCTCCAATTCTGGGCTCTGCGATTCCCTAGCCTGTTGATCAATTGTCATTGGGTCATTTTGCAACTGGGCCTAACGAAGGTGGAGAGGTTCAAGCGCTACTTCACGCCGCCTGCGTGAAGCGGGGAGGGAGGGCAAGGGTGTTGCGGGATGGATTGTTGTTGCTGTTGCTTTTTATTTGTTGACGACTACGACGACGACGACGACGACGATACGGCTATTACGAGCGCTGCGTTATTGTTCTCGATAGAAAAAAATCTACTTTTTTTTTTTTTTTTTTCAAAGAGTCTTGATTTATGGTATGAATATGGGGTTTTGATGGGAAAATTTTCACCGTTTTATTTATTTTTTTATTTATTTTTATTTACATTTTTGGATAACATAAACAGGTTTACTTTTATGTGTACTCTCTGTATCGATAGAATGGAAATTTCAACTGTCTATGTGCATTGTAGTACCCCCTTGACCTCCTATCCATTCCATTCACCCGATTAGTTGCAGGCAAATTAATCCACATATATAGAACTCCTGATTGATTTCAAGATTAACACCAGATGTATGCTTGCACTTTGCAATTTCTAATAATGTTGGCTGCTGGCAAGGACGACGCTTGGTTAGTTCATTCATCATTCATTCAATCAACCCGAGGTTGGCGCGGACGAGGAATCGTGCGCTCTTAGAAAGGTTAAAAAGTTGACCTCAAGTTCTCAAACTCCTCCACAAGCAAAACCATGCCACAACACAACACAACCCAACACAACGCACCTTTCTTTTCTCCCCAATTCACTGCCGTCAGTCTCAATTACATTCATTAAGGCAGTCATCCCCAGATTCCCTCTTCCTACCCCAAGCAGTATTCTTGCATATCTCCTCCCCCACCTCCATGACATCGAAGCTCTCATCGCGAATCCCTGTTCTGAACCGGTTGCTTTCCCATCCATCTAGCAAGCTTTTACCTATACCACATTCGATATTCGTATGCTAGAAACGATCTATCCTCCCACTCTGAGCCCTCGTTGGCTTTGCGCAACTCACATTGAGACAATACTTCGCTCTGAAAATACCCTCCGTGCAAATTCAAATCTACGCCAAACGAAGCGACAACGGTTGAGCAGAGGGGCCACGGCTCACCCGCGCTGTGACAATGGTTCTCCTCCGCTTAACTGTCAAGGTCTTCCCTCCAGAGCCTCTCGGGCAACAATCTACGCCGGATACTACTGACGTTGACGACGATCGCAAATCCATCAACTTCCTCCTGGTGGTGAGGAACCCGGAGGAAGTGGCTCTGGGGAGGTTGGCCTATATGATACAGAACAAGTGGGCGATTCTTAAACCTGATGCTGGGTGGGTTGATTGCTTCTTCATCGCACATGCTAGTTAAGTGGGAGAACATAGTTTTTGGCTAACGGCGCGCACATGTCCTGTCCCCGTAGACCGCTCAAAATTAAGAAGCTCGTGGATGACAAGCACGCGGAGGATGCCCTTGATATAGGATTGACTGTGGCAGACGTGTTTGTGGACAGCGGAAAGGCTCTTACTGATGGCTTGGATCAGAGAGGGGCTATACGGGTCATTCAACAACCTGGGCGTCAGAGACGGTATGGGTCTGTGGTGCAGGATTGGGCTGCTGTAGCGAGCAATTACGCGCGACCCCTTCCACCACTATTTTCTGATTCACCACGTCATGAGCCTCGCTCCACGGCTTTCAGGTTCACGGACGGACCTGTCGCCGGCCCATCGCACCAGGCGAAGGTTCCAGAGGCTGACTATGCTCCTCGACCGGGCGAGACTGGCGAAGAAATATCCAGCAGACAAGATAACCATTACCACGCCTCACCAATTTTAATAGAAGACCCACAGAAATCTAGAAACTTCATATCCTTTGCAGACAAAATTCGAGGTATGTTACATATCTACTTTCATCCGCCTTGTGTCTGCGATGCTTCGATTTCCAGCTAACCCAAAATCTGTTTTTAGATGGAGATTTACTGGATGAGGAAAGCACTGCATTAGGGAAAGCTGGTAAATCGATTCTGGCTAATCAGGAGGAGGCAATAGCCTATGGTACCACTATAAACGATGCGTTGGAATATAGGAATGGTAAGGGTAGGCGAACACTATGATCATTTTCCCCTTTCGATAGTAATAGGCGCTAATTCATATTGGCCTTTTAGATGAAGCAATAGCGCGAGAGTTAGATCGACAGGGACCGCCAAAAACCAGTTCGCCTGGACCACAGGCTTCAACGCCACAGTCCTCACTGCCCAACCACGTGAACTCGAAAGTTGCAACGCCCAATAAGAGACAGGTGGAGGAGGCAGGCGATATCTATACCATTCCGCCTACCGACCAAGAGGATTTTAAGAATCCGGCGAGGCATCAGCCTGCCAAACGACAACGACGCAAGTTAAGTCGCGCCGATGAATTTACAATCCAGGACAATAAGAAAATCCTCCTTGCGTCTACCGGGGACAGGCCGAACAATGCAATCATAGTTGACAGCGATATAGGCGACAATAGACCTACTGGTCAGATCGAGAAGGATTACGACGCTGTTATCTCTAGTCAGTCAAGTGTTCGACGTGGGACTAGGAAATCAAGTATTCGTGGCCCAGGAAGGAAATCGATGGCACTTAAATTGGCCATTACGGCTCCTCGGAACGACAAAGATTCCGCTGAGGGTTCAGCTTCTATCACAAAAATACCACCAAACAAGAAATCTACTGTCTTAATCCCTGACTCCGATATTGAAATTGTCGACCCCCCCAAAGCATCGACCCAGACTACCGGCGTTTGTCAAGTAGTTATAACTCCTCCTTCAAAGAATTTGCTAGTTGGTGGAAGCCACCGAGGAGTAAATCGCAATGCAACAACTGGTTCAAATGGCATTAAATCCACGAAGAAAGATTCGAGCCCAAAGGTCGACGCCTCCCCTTTAGCGCACGTGAATGCTAGGGATAGTAATCCTATTTACTCCGATATCTCAGACAGTGATCCCTCGGATGATACTGGATCCCCTGCATCTGGAGTGCGACAAGATACCAAAGTTGCGACTCCCCAGAAGGCAGCACAAATGCCTTCCAGTCCGCGAGTCAAGACACTCCAGACTCCGGGCAGTAGTAGTACACGCAAATTACGGACTCGAAATGATCCTAACGTTCGTGAATTATCAGAAGACCCAGATAAACAATCCGAGGGACCGTCCCACAGGACACCTAGTCGACCACCTGATTCACAGGAGATTGGACTGGGAATTACCTCATCACCAGTGAAACGCGCAAGAAGTCGTTCAATGAGCCAATTAGTTCCTGTAGCTGTAGTCGATACCAACAGCAATTCTAAGAGGGGTATGTCGACCACTCCAGCGTTTACTCGACCCCGTACAGCAAGCCAAGCGCAAACAGAAGCCGAGAAAGTCAGCTCAGGCGATCCGCATACACCTCGTTTGTCGGTACTCCGTTCATCCCAGAAGTTTTTACCCGGAAATTTATCCGCCCGGCGTTCGGTTTCATTTGCAGACGGGCCAAACGTTGACATACAGTCCACTCCCGTATCTGCCTCATCCGTCGAAATCGGCAATGGTAACACCGTGGACCCAGCTAGAGTGACACCAGAGTCACTTGAATACATACGTACCGATCGTAAGCTGCAAAGGAAAATCGAGGAGGCTAGGTTCCAGGGAAAGAGCGAAGATTACTGTGAACTATTACGAGAGATTAAAAGTCTTACGGAGAAGCTTTACTATGCCAAGCCGAGAGAGCCCGAATATAAGATAGCCAAGTACGAATACAAGTTGGACATGGCCATGAAAAATCTTCGGAATCATCCCGAAGAGCACCACCCTGATGAGAGCACTTCAGGGGAAGGTCGCCATGACAGCCATCATCGTGAAGAAGTTGAGGATGAGACATCTAGAAAGAACTATAACGAACGGCCAGGTTCCATAAACGGGTCGCAAAGCAAATCACAACACCAAATTGGGTTTGATGGTGCCTTTCCGGAAGACCCACCAGACCAGCAGCCCCGAGACCAAGAGTCCTCAGCTACTTCTACTTCTGGGGATCCCCTGGTATACCCTTCATCTCCTTCCACGGGAGACTTTGTTGAAGCAGCTAATTCATTATCAAGTAAGGGCGATGGAGCCTCGGGAAAGGCGTTCGAGGAGGAAGAAACACCTAAAGACGGAAATGGCCTGAAACGAAAAATACAAGAGCCGGAATCTGTCACTTCACCCAAAAACTCTAAGCGCCATCGGCCAGACCACGACTCCTCTCATCTAATAGAACGTGGGCTAGGGACAAATAAAATGAATTCCAGCACGTCAGAGCAAGAGCACCCGAATGAACCCGACCAGCGCAACGGACAATCCCCCTTCAAAGATCAAAGAGCTGGAAGCATGACATCATCGGGCTCAAGTAGTTCTGATTCCGATAGCGACTCAGAATCCGACTCTAATCAGACCCCCGACAAAAGCATGCTAAGCAAGCACCCGTCTTTGCCTCCCTCCGGAACTTCAGCAAGGGCGAGGTTGATCACTCCTTTTCGTAACATCAAAAAAAACTGGCCAGTCACGGATGCTCAGTGGCATTCAGACGATGGACCATCAGCAGGAGAAAATACTCATACTGCCGCCAATGCAACGACCCCTACGGCAGCTGTGGGTGGGTTAGGAACACCCTCATTCTCGCAGCCTAATCCTTCCATCCTGAGAACATCCAACGCCAATGGGAGACCTCACCATCACCACGGTCAACGCAGCACGTTGAAATCACTGCTATGTCATCGGAATGAGGGTGAGGATGAGAGCAGTGCCAAAAGCGACTCTGAGAATGACAACGTGCGGGGCGCTAAAGGGTTCACGGCGCTTAACTTCCTTCGCAAAACTGGGTTAATGTAGTTGACGTTCCGAAAACCTCTTTTTCTTTCTCTTCCCTAGCCCCCTTTTCATTCTTTTCTTATCTAGCGATGGCGTAGGTGCGTCAGACAGGAATTGTACTTGGTATTGTTTTCAGCAAATGATTTTCTGTATTATTGCAATTGGTGTTGAAAGATGGCCTGGAGCACAACTGCGGATAGCATACTAGTGGGGCCAAAATCGAGTCGCTAATTTCCTTCCCCCCTCTCCCTTTCGTTTTCTTTTGCATTCTTCCTTTTCTCTAGTGCTGCGAATGATATGATGGTGCTGCAATCGGTGAAATAGGGGCGGTTAGGTTAGTGTATAGCGTGATTGTTGGACATTACGTTTAATTGAGAGTGGTTTCGGAGAATTTGTTTATTATTGATTAGTCTGCTCCAGTTCGTTTGCCGTGTCAAGCACAGAGTTTGTTTGTGTATAACGTTCCTCTGCAAATGGGTCGGTTTTCTATGATGCTAAACTTTCATGATAGGTTAAAATCAGTTCGATTAATGGATGCTTTCAGAAACAGAAGTTAGCTAAATGAAACCCAGCTCAAGATAGTTCAAGATAGTTCTGCAACAAATACTGCTTAAAGTAGCTATCCAAAATTGATATTGTTTCTTTTTTTTCCTTTCCATATCTCGTTCATCCCCATTCCCATAATTTGATGTAGTTAGAATAGTAACCGAAAATTTCCACTTCGCCGTGTTTTTATTCCCCCAAGGCCACACCGACGAAACGCAACCAAGTAGACTAAAATTGCAAGAAGAGGAAGTATATTATTAACATCCTCATTTACTTGCCCCCAGCCTCCTCCATCCATCCAGAAGGGACAGGTTCGATATCAACCAGCCAGCCAAATTCATCCAAAATATCACCGGTCTGGATCCCCTTGAGCGTCTTCAGCAGTTTCCTACAGATCTCACCCCCTGCGTCTCCCTCACCCGCCTCATAAGTGAACTTGTCATTCTTTGATCTCATCGTAATGCTCTTAATGGGCACAAGCGCCGCGGCCGTACCGGCAGCCATGACCTCGTCGAATTCGGTAAGCTCCTCGTAAGCCACCCTCCGGCGCTCGACCTTGTAGCCAAACATCTTCGAGCCGATCTCACAGACAGACGACGCCGTCACCGAATCAATCACATTCTTGCTATCCGGTACCACGAGCGTAACGGCTCCTGTGTCCTTGTCCTTACGAACACCGATGAACGCGGAGGTCGAGAACTCATCGATCTCCGTGCGCGTCTTGCTATCCAGGTGCAGAGTGATTCCGTACCCCTCAGAGCGCGCACGGTCGCTATGTCGGAGGACGGGTGCATAGTTGCCGCCAACCTTGGCGGAGCCCGTGCCGTCGGGGGCGGAGCGGTCAAAGTCCTCCAGGATGAGCGCATCCACCGCATGCACGCCGTGGTACACGCCAGTGGGCATGACGAAAACGGCAAAGGTGTATTCGTCCGGTGGGTTCAGGCCGAGTTGGGCGGAGGAGCCGAAGATAAGCGGCCGGATATACATGGCGGCGCCGGTGGAGTGGGGGGGCACGAATTCGGCATTCGCTGCGACGGCGAGCCGGACGCATTCGAGGAAGTGCTCTTTGGGGACTGGGGGGATGGAGATGAATTCGACTGAGCGCTGCATGCGCACGGCGTTTTTCTGGGGGCGGAAGATGGTTATGCGCCCGGGTGCCGAAGGGGAGGTAGAGGACGGGGCATGGCGGAAGGCTTTCATGCCTTCGTAGGCTTGTTGGCCGTAGTTTAGACCTGGGGCCATGCCGTGGATTGGGATGTAAGGGGATTTGACGAAGCGTGGTGCGCTCCATTGAGGGTTGGAGGAGTGGGAGAAGTGGGATTCGACATGGCCGTTGACTGTTGGGCTGTTGTTAGAGAGGAAGTTGTGCTGGTTCAGCTGGGCTAATTAATTAGCCATACCTTCGCGGACTTTGAAGCCGACATCATTCCAGTCTAGACGGTTGGATTCGTTCTGTTAGCCGTGGGGTCCCTCATAAACAATGACCTGCTATCGTGCGAACGGCCAATGGAGTGATGATTTAACATACCGATCGAGTCGACTGGTGGCGGAGGAAATGAGGTCATAGTGAGAATATGGATTCAAACAAGCACAAGGAACATACAAAGCCGGTCAATTACGAGTACCTAGTAGCTACCTAACCAACTGACAAAAATGTACAAAGCTTTGATGCGTCGTCTACAGGTCACCGCAGCGGAGGAGGAAGAAGAAGGAATGAAATACCCGGGCGGGGGAGTGGAGTTTATTTATTTCGCCGGTGACAGGGCCAAAGGCGGGGTGACAGACGAATGACTGACGCTGTGGAGAGCCCGGGATGGCCGTAGCCAAAGCATCCGAGGCCAATATTCCATCCATGGATGGCTTGAAGAACAGTGCAAAAAGCGGATCGAGTTGCGGTTCTTCACCTTTGTTCTGTAGCAGGACGCATACTAGTAAGGATGAATGCACAGTGTTATTATCGAATTTACAACAGTTTCTCTGGTTCTCTGGTTCTCTGTGACTCATCCATAGCAAACCCCAAGTGTCCTGTTTCAGCTGTGTAACTACGGAGAGTTCTTTGATAGAATATTTGATCCTGGATGCCACCTTTTGTCCGTTTTTGCTTTCGGCGGAAAACTCATTAGGGCATCACTTGGTCAGGTGACAGTATGATTACTAAGCCTATTGACCTAAATGGTTCCCAAACTCCCTGCCTTAAAACGATGAGAAGTTCAAACACTAGTATGAAGCAAGAAAGCGGACTGACAGCTCGAAGGGTGTTTGCCCCTTGGGGGGCCCCCCCTAATGGACGGCATGATCTGCCAAACCAATGCCCCAATGGATCACCTATTGACGACCCGGCACCGTCTTGAAAAACTGCACCAGTTTGTCATTCAGCCACATCATGTCCTCTTTGTTCCCCGGGGGCGCTCCGGCCCAGTCTGAGAAGAGCGGAATATGTGGTCAGCATGTGTCGCATCTGATATCTTGTATCTCGGGTGATGCTGTTGAACTTACGACCCCATATGGATGGGAAGACATCCAGCCTGCCTATTCCGGGTTGCAAGTTTGCAACCTCGTACTCCGAGTCCTCGGGCCTGATCGATGTGGTCAGTAACTGATGGCCTTGCAAAAAGATGGCGTGTTGATTGAGTGCTGGGCCTGGGTCACTCACGGGAAGTATAGGTCAGTTTTGCTGGGTAGAACCAGTGCCTTTGCTTTGATTGCCTTTAGAGCGGCTTCAAAGTTGCCGTTGTACGGTTCCTGCTTGGAGATATCGCCATTTTGCCAGGTCTGCAACATGACGAGCAGGTTCTCCGGTTCTATAGAACAGGTCAGCTCATCCCTCCTCAACCGGTTTGTCAGGTGAAATTCCACTTCTCTAGGGATTAGGAGTTACCTTTTGTCAGGAAGAACGCTTCCCAGAAATTCACCATGAAATCCTCTAGATCTTTGTATCCGAGGACGGTTTCATGCAGCCTCTGCCGGTAAAACGTCTGGCTCATTCCCCTTTGCAGTGATAGTGAGAAAAGGTACATCTGTCAGTTTCAGCGGCGGTTGCCATCGCAAAACATGACTTTTCGTTCCGTTTTCCACTTCCATTCACTTACCAACCAGAATACCCGCGACCGAATGCTCGCAGTGCGACTTCCCTCTCGTCCCGAGTCCACAACCGGTGTAAATCGCTGCCCACTGCGGCTCCAACCTCTCCTACCCCGGCAGATCGAAAACCCTTGGCCGCCAACAAGGCGCTCTTGACGCCTTCAAGGAAAGCCTGATTGTGCAGTGATGTCTTTGCGGAACCGCAGAACGGAACGATCAAATCCATAAATTCTGGATACTGGGTTGCCCACTGGAATGTCTGGGCGGCTCCCATAGACCACCCCAGGACGGCGCGTAGATGGGTGATGTTAAAATGCTTCGTAACGAGTTCATGCTGGGCCCGCACATTATCGTAGAATGTGACCCGAGGAAACTCTTTGATGGTAGGGGAATTGGAGGGAGATGTGGACTGGCCGTTCCCGAACAATGCGGGGACGATGATGAAATATTTCTTCGGGCTGAGTTCCTTGTCATCTCCCACCAGCCAGAGATTATCAGAGATAACTAAGCCGGAGACGAAAATAATATGAATAGAACTGTTAGCACACACGGATTTCTTTTGATTCTATTGCCGTGTAGATCTATGGTATTTCTGTTGGATTTTTCTTCTGCTTCTTCTTCTTCTTCTTCTTTTTCTATGACAGAGACTTACGGCCAGAAAACCACGTCGGGTAGACAATTGCGGGGAGCGCTGGATCACCCAGAGCCTTGAAAGCGATACGCGCATCGGGGATAACCTCGCCGCTCTGGAGCTTCCAGTCGCCGAGTGGAAAAGTTTCGAAATCGCCCTGTGAAGAAGCCATATTGCCTTATACTGCAGTGCCGCACAGTGCTATGTATGTAATTGATACGTTGACAAGTGGGGATGTGGAGAATACCCAGCTATTTTGGGGTCAAAAGCTTGAATGATGCGAGGCGAGGAGTAAAGCGGGGTTAGGAGAACAAAAGGACGAAGTAATTTGAACCAAACCAGCTGCCCCGCTGGAGGAAATCCCTGGATCGCATTGCTGGTATTCACGATAATCGATTCCGCAATGGAATGCTATGTGGTTCATCCAGCCTTTCTACGATGGCCAGGGGAACTACGACAGATCGCCATATCCAGATCTCAGGTAGCTCCTCCGTTTCTTCCAAATGTCAACCTCCATGGATCTCCGCGCGCTTTCACATACGGAGCCACGGAAGACCCTTATCGGGGGTTGTACCAGTTCGCCGCTCCGACCATCGTCTCGTCACTGGTCTTCACAGGTCTGTACAGACACTCGCGTCCTGCCAAACTCCGCGATTTCCGAACGACGGAATCGCCATCTGGAAGTCGGAATTCGGCTCGCGCTTAGTTTATTTCCGAACCAGCGTTAGGATGCACAGTTTTACATATATATAAGGTGGTAAAGGCGAGCAGTTCCAATTCATCCTCAAGTTGCAAACGTTCTGAACTCCGTAGCGATATAGAACTACCCAAGACGAAAGCACATAGTAATATTAAAACACTTCTATCTTGCCAACCGCGAATCATCGAACATGGAAAATTCTCCTGTCTGGCTCATCACCGGCGCATCTTCCGGGTTTGGGAGCGCCCTTGCACAAGCGGCTCTGAAGGCTGGCAATAGAGTCATTGCGACTGCGAGGAACATAGAGAAGTCGAAGCGGGAGATCCCACAGATCGAAGAGCTTGGGGGCAAATGGCTACAGCTGGATGTGACTGCGTCCGACGTGCGCGAAAAGGTCCGGCGGATTGTGCAGGAGTACGGCAAGATTGACGTTGTGATCAACAGCGCAGGTTATGCTTTATTCGGGGCCTTGGATGATGTGAGGTGAGTAGCCAACCAGCTGGGGTCGCAGAGTGCTACAATGCAAGGCCGACAATGAGAAGAATATTTGTATAACGATATGTTTCTGTTGATCTGAACAGCGAATCCGAGATCCACCAGCAGTTCAATACCAATGTCTACGGCCCAATCCGCGTCATGCAAGCAGTTATCCCGTCGATGAGAGAGCGAAAGTCAGGGACTATCGTGAATATTAGCAGCGTAGCCGGGCTTGATGCGCAGACGGCCTGCTCGATGTACGCGGGGAGCAAATTTGCCCTTGAAGGTGCGCTTTGCCGATAGACCATGATGAAATGCTACCCTAATATCCTACTGACACAACTGAACAGGCATCTCGGAATCCCTCGCTCGCGATCTGGCCCCATTTAACATTCGAGTCCTCATCGTCGAGCCCGGGGTATTCCGCACAAAATTTGCGACCGCGCTACAAACCCCCGCGGCCGGAACGACGAAGGCGTACGAAGGCACACCTTTGCACGATTCACTGCAACGTTTCCTTGTTCTCGACGGCAAACAGCCAGGGGATCCCGCCAAGGCCATTAAGAGAATTATGGAAGTGATCAATGGGACTGGCATGGGAGAAGGGAAAATGGGCTTCCTACGCCTGCCATTGGGTCTTGATTGTGTCCAGCGGACGCAGCAAAAGATAGCGTCGCTGCAGCAAAACTTTGCCGCAATGCAAGAGATAGCGGCGAGCACGAATTTTGATTAGGTCGAAATGCACGGAGTAAATAGTTGCTCCATAGTTACGGTAGTTAACTACAATACAGGCCTTCGGACTGGGGTACTAGTGCTCTTTTTGACAATTCTAACAAGCCATTGGAGGGTTCATGGTTATGAGGCGTTTGGCAATTTAACATTGATACTATGGGATCCTTGTCCCTCACCCCGCATTTAGGAAAAATAATTTCTCTTTGTTATATACAGTGCTTTTATGTTGATGCAGACATTTCCCCGTGGAGCAACTGGATGCCCTCCAAAGCTCTACCCCGCAAAGGACGTGAACTCCCCCGTCAAATGGACTCTTGATTAACTATACTTTATAGTTAGCTCACTTAGTCTAAGTTATCAAAGGTTCACGGGCTCTCAATCTCGTATGCAGTGCAACTGGAAGAGTACTTGTCCAAGATGCAAAAATGGCTGGTTGGCCACCACCAACCCGCGTATTTATTGAATAGATGCGAATGTCCCCTGCCCAACTGATGCTCGCGGCCATAGTTTCAGGGGGTTTGCTTCTTGATCAACCTGGCTAAAGCAGCACATCGCGGTAACTGGTGGGCAAACATGGGGTTGAAGCGCAACAGCCATCCCTTACGGAATCCTCCTTTATTCCTCACAGACATACTTCGCCTCCTAACCCAAGTGTTCATACTTGTGAGCTCTCGCTCTGATCGTGACAGACCATTACATTCGGTTGCATAAGATATTTATTAATATAGAGCTTGTCCATTGGTTGGTTTCCTTCATATAAGTCTGTATATATGCATATAAAGAAATATATATATAGTTATTTCCCTTAATTAGGAGCTATAACTATATAGCCAGCTAATTAATAAGCTTCAATCTTCAATGAAGGTTTTGCAGACAGGCAGGTAGCCAGACAGACATCTCCCTGTTATAAGATTGCAAAAATAGATGCAGAATAATGATGCAGCAGAATGTAAAGAGAGTAGAACGAAAACAATTCTTACAGATGTGGCAGAAGTGGCGGACGCGTGCAAACAGGGTATGGAACATAAAGGGGATCGGAGATCACGTTGCAATAAACGGTTCGGAGGAATATCGATTTTCAATTAGTATTAGCATATTAGTATTAGCATATTAGTATTAGCATATTAGTATTAGAAGATTTGAAAACAGGGCTCACAGGGCAACTGGCCTGCGTCGCGTTAAACTGGCAACGGAACGATGAGAGGTGCATCAGACTTGTAAGTAAACTGATTAACAGAAAATAGAAGTCATTCAGTGTATTGAAGACAGCTTTGAAAAACCCGCGAAATATCTGGACAGTTGACTCATGAATAATCAAGTGTGGAAGTTTTCCAACCCCACTTCTAACAGAGAGTCATTATCACAGCAGGCTGTGAGGAGGTCTTACAACCCAAGACCAATAGCAGGAACATCACCAAGGCCCTGAGAGGACATTTTCATCTTGATGGACTCTGTAACTTCGTCCATCGTCATAACCAACCCTGCACTAGCGTAAAAAGACTGCTCCCCAACAGGACTACAGAATAGGGACACGGAACCGTAAAGGAGTCCACAAACTTCACCCATCTCATTGATTATCAGGGACCCAGAGTCCCCCGGTGCACAAAATTCAGTCTGCTCATGCCGGGCTATGTGAGCTCGCTTACTAAAGATGATAAACTCTTCCGTCTGACCAGATCGTATTTCAACCTGATTCCCCTGAGAATCAAAGCGCATCCTGTCCTCCTCGCACCAATTGCACGTAGCAAGGACGCCGTTGCATATCCCCGCTGTAACACCGGTAGTTCTGCCCGATTTCAAAAAATACGAGCCTCTTGTGATCTTCCCGAACGAATCCAATGGCTGTGAGGCGAGAACACTGACCGACCTATCGATGCCGTATTGCCTAGGCTCCTGTGAAAGCGGGACGGTTGGCATGCGATTTGGTTTAAATAATTTAAGCGACGACTTCGCTAATCCGACAAATGCCCAATCCATGATACGCTTCTTGTCTTGGACGAGGGCCTTTCCTGACGCGAATCGGACTTGGCCAATGTTAATTGGCATCGAATCGACTATCTTTCGTGTTGCTTCAAACACTTCGATTTTTTTCTCAGAGTTCTCTATGCCTTTCTGGATTCGGATGGAATGGTGCGCCCCAGCTACCTCTCGGTCGTGTTGTTCGGACTTGAATTCTTGAAGCTGTTGTTGAAGTCCTTTTATGCTGTCATCAGCATCTTGCTGTGTCGCACTGATATCTTGCTTTGCAAGATAAAATACGTCCCCTCCGGTAGTCCCTCTGTTTGGAGACACCCCGAAACGGTCCGCTTCTGCAAGGGCCTCTGGGGATTCTGACAGATTTCTCACAACATGGTAATTTGTTAAAAATCCTTTGTAAACTGATCTGCCACTGGTTAAAGTCAGAAAACCCCCCATAGTTCCTCCGCCTTCTTTCCCACACACACCGATCGAACAACCCATTTCAAGTGGACTCTCGGTGTCCAGCCGATTAAGATAGGAGACACCAAGTTCGCCCTTCTCCGAATCTTCCGTAGAATTGATCTGGGGCAATGATCCTGGTAGAAACTCAACTGCGAAGGTAGCTCTCTCCTGGGATCGGATGATGAGATTCATTTCGCTGAGGATGTTTGACCAATCTCCAGAAGTATACGGATCAACCATGACTACAATAGTTGGCTTCGCTTTTTCCTCAGTCCGGCCGGCAAGGCAGAGACAGAGCATCCTCCAGGAGTCGCCTAGCCTTGTCTGCAGGAAAGTAACCAAGTCAGCCCTAATGTGCTCGAAGTGAGGTATAATTTCATTTTCAGCGTCAATAGCGAATAGAGACGGTTGGAAAACAAGGTCAGAGCGAGCAATTTCAACATGAATCTCCTGACTGTTGAAACGGTGATGTTGGAAGAAAGCTCGAATCTCGTCCGTTGCGGGTCCCAAACGTCTCGGGACCTCAGAATGAAATAAGATCTGCAGCAGGAGAGTGGCATCCTGGTTGCCTGGATATCCTGGCTTATGGATTGCACTGAGACGGATAGCTGCATCAGTTTCGGTAAACCCATGCCTAGTCAGAATACCAACAATCGTCGAATGGGAGTCCTGAACCAACTTGAGAGCATCGCTTGGAGGATCATCGAATGCAAGTGGCCATGGTGGTGGATTTGGCAGGGTACTGGAACGGTAAGGATCTGATCTGACGATGTAAGTCTCCACCGTCATAAGTCCGTCTGTGTCCTCTGATTCGCGAAGGAGCTGACGGCGTTTTCTTGGCGACAAAGGTGGGTTTGGAAGCTCATGAACGGGATGTGGAGAATCAGGATCCATGTTCAATCAATTGTAGAACTCTTTCGCTCGATACTTGAAACGAGGGACAAGGCCGTAACAACGCTATTTTCGCCTCAATCGTTGAAGTTCTGATGCTGCAGGGAAACAGCTCGCAGAGGGCGTGGGGAGTTATATACGTGCGTTGCGCTAGTCCGTAATAGGTAGTAGTTGAACGTTGACTCCAAAGAGCTGAAGGTTCACATTTTCAAACCTTCAACCAGAGCATGGATTCAAAAATTGACGCATCATTTTTGAACCCCGCTCAGCTTTAGTGTCCACGTTCAAAGGTCTGTTCAAAATTTCCGTGACAAAATTTTGAACCAAGAATCTACAATCTTCTATTCTAGAAGTTAGCTGAACTGTTAAAATCACCACTAATCAGATTACAATACTTACTAGTTATAATCATCTAGATTATACAACAACTGACTTCTATTTGGTAACTACATGTAATATCTATATTTATAAATTATCGGTATTGGCAGAAATGTAGCAGTTATGGCCTTTTTAGCCTAGGTGGTTGGCAGTGTACTGCTTAGGTTTTACTAAGGATTTTATTTTGCATCACTTATTTTAAGAATATCAACTACGCAGTGTATTGCTTTTGTATTTATTTATTTCACTTATTTCATTTTTTGTTATGATGTAACTAACTACTATTTTGGTTTGTGATTTGCCATTATGTCTACGATATTGCGGATAACGTTGAGTATGTGATGGAACCAAGAACATTGTCAAGAAAATAGAGTTGTTATCAGTGGATTCTTAAGTTCAGAGGAGAAATTCTATTATTATGTTTAAATCTAATACCTTGATACCAGCATATTCTCATGCATTTATACTAGCATCCTCAATTTAATACTCTTCATACCTGATATCATATGTCAATTCATTTTTATTCATCGACATAATACCAATTGGCGGCCCTGTTTAATTATTGATACTAGCATTTTTAGACATTAACTGTTGGGGGGATTGGATTGGGTGATTCGTACCCTCTATACCACCACGGCGCTGGAGGTGGTTGAGCTCTTTTGCCCTAGTGGCCGAATATTAACTAGTTAACGGCACGGGACCTGTAAACTGCTTCCAATTCTAGCGCTAAGTCTCATTTTCTTACCCCGCGCCAGCCGTTGGAGGCGCCGGCGAAGGTCCCTAACCCGAGAAACTTCAAAGTGAGAAGTTTGTCGCTAGCTACGTCGAGCTTCTTATAACCCGGATTGACCACGCCAGATATATAGCCATGGAGGACTGCATATATATGATACAGTCTGCGCCGCCTGGGCTAGAGACCGCAACACCTCTTGTTCTCGTTCATGACGGCGGGGGAACAATCGTATCATATTGCTATCTGGATTCCCTAGATAGAGCGGTATATGGCATACAGAACCCGCGTCTTTATTCCGGCCAGCCCTGGGACGGTGGACTCCCGGAAATGGCCGGGGTATATGCGGATCTGATCCTTTCAGTTGTGTCGTCGGGACCACTTTTGTTGGGTGGTGAGCTGCTCTCGAATATTACATACACAACATCGCATGCAAACCTCCTACTAAAAACCTTTTCCTCCTAGGGTGGTCACTGGGCGGACTTCTCTCGTTGGAGGTGGCAAACATCCTGCTCAGGACTTCAGCGGTCCGCGTTTTAGGGTTGGTCATGATTGACTCTATATACCCACTCGCGATTTCTCAGGCGGTTTCGAACGTCGTTGGTCCACAGCCTGTATTTAGCAAAGACACCCGGGCTGATACACGCCAACTTGTTTCCCATTGCATGGAGTTAGCTCAACCCATGGTTGATAGCTGGATTCCTCCCGTCTGGAGAGGATGTAGCGACTCCGGTTTGGTCCTGAAAAGGACAGAATTAGAGAAGGAACTCTCCCTAATCGAGCCCAGACCACCAGCTATAATGGAGGACCACGCTGATGCCGTGGCTCCCGCCAATACTACCCATTCCGATATGAAAAATGGAACGACGGCATCGAATGCAAACATCGATTTTCCCTCCATCCCTAAGACGATTCTCCTTCGCTGTGACGACTACGTGCCAGTGTCAATGCCAGACACTCCGGATGCAGTTTGCAGGGTTGATGTTGTGCGCGAGCTTCGCAGCCTGGGCTGGGAAAAGTATCCACATCATTTCACGCCAGCCGTTTTGAACGTACCTGGTCATCACTTCAACTTATTTACGGATGAATATGTAAGTTCTTCCTAACATGCATAGTATCGTGTGTAGTTGGTCTACACTATATAATTGGAGCCCAACTTACATGTTTGTCATTTATTTAGATTGATCAGGTCTCAATTCAGATTAAGCAATCATGCAAAATGCTGGAGCGTGATAGCTAGGTTGTATATTATGGGGGTTTAATATACATAATCATTCCATTTAGACCCAGGTTATCACTGACCTGATGGAATCTAGAATCTTCATTGTCCATAGAGATATCCTTCATATTGCTGTCTTGTGACAACCTCGCCGTTCAACTGTTTCACATACTCTAAACGCCAGAATATCCCTCTCATGTATCCTTTTAACAGCTGTTGTTTCCCTCTCGCCATCTCCACTGTTTGTCCAAAGGAAATATTTTGCTTGCTGACCACCACAGTCTAAATAACAAAGTTTTTTGCTAGATAGGCTTATTATTTAACCCCTTCAGGAGCGTCTGCTAACCCACTTGCAAAAATCGTGAAATATCTGGTGATATCAACGCCGATTTCGCCGCAGGATCGAAGTGGCCAAATTACTGTGTTTATTTTACTTGATCTATTGACCCGTTTCCCCTTGTCCAACAGGACCGGTGTGCTGTCAACCTCTGGCTTATACACCGAATCGAAACAGCAGCGCGTCAGTGCTATCTCCAAATTTCAGGCATATCTGTGGTGTCATACACTTGTAAGTATTACCTTCTATGATGGGAGACAAAAAGAACGACCCCCCCAGGGAGCAGGGGAAAATAAAACCGCGACGCGGAATCAAACCTTCCCCGCTAACTGGCTCGCGCAGACCAAATACATACCCAGATATCTCCCCTACCATGTGTTACCGGAAACAATTTGTCTACAAATGCAGTCATGTAGTTTATGGAACACCGGTATACCCTTGTGGGTTCAACTGTCCCAGCCGTGGAATCGCCTGTATGACCGTATACGTGGACAGCGACTGTGACGAATGTAAACGTAAAGCATCGTCATCATAATCTGTTAGCAACAGCGCTGCATCCAATGCCACCGACCAGTCCGTGTGCATCGGTTTTTATGAATGCACCCATCAACGAATCTAAAGCATCAGACTCCTCACACCTCTGTGTCAAGAGGGAAAAGGTCACGTCGGCCTAAAAAAGGTAACAGGTATTATGAGAGGGAAGGCGATTAAAATGGCTTTATTCTCAAGGATGAAAGGTCTTTTCTTTGCGGAGCTTGGTTTTTTTTTTCATTTTATTTTTTATCCCTCTTTTCCTCTTTTTCCCTATTTTCCTTTTTTCCCCTTCCTTTCAGCCTTGTGCAACCGGGAGGAGTGGTTGATTCATTTCATTAGCTGGTAGGAAACTTCCTCCTGTTGGATACTAGTATCTATCTGTCGCGGGCGGTTGATCATGCTGTATGGTTTTGGAGGCCTAATTAGTGAAAGGTTTGGATAGGGTTTTGCAATTTGTTGAACTGGAATCAAGCCTGGAGGTTGCTACTCTGTAAAATCCTGCCCATATCATCGTTTTCTATAACATCCCGTATTTGGACATGTCAACACTAAACAACGAATGTCTGGTCCCCTGTCTCTCGATTGTTCTCCTCCCTAGGAAATCCTCGGCGTTGGACCCTGTCCTGTACGCTCAGGAGTGATAATCCAGCAGACTTCAAAGGGGAGGTAAAGGGGATGGCATCATTCATATTAAGCACTTGCAACCCTACCAACGGAATAACGCGAGATGCCGTATAGGGAGGAAGGGGACACGCCTAGCATTGATGGCAGCAGAGGGGTGGCAATGGACCCGAACGGAAATATATTTGCCAGTTCACAGAACACCTATAATACACCAAGCGGATTATCCTTTCTACGAGCCATCAAATCTAACATATTTCACCACTTCGGATGAATCGCATCTTCACTCATGTTTTAATAATTCTAGTATATTCGTATTTATATTCTTAGAAAATCTAGTTCTTTTATGTAATTCTTTTAACCTAGATTCGTTTCATGTCACATTCAGAAATGGACTAAGACCAATCAAATCAAATCAAATGTATAAGTTATGATTCTACTGATCAGTTTAACACCTGCTTTAATATATTTAACTGTGAAAGAGTAAATATTTATATTGATCTGGTAAATTCATCTATTAATAGCTTGCTTTTGACTATCATTCAATGCTTAATTGAGTGAAATTTTTGCAGTTTTTGATTTCTTTTCTTTGATTCTTTTACATCACATATTATATAAGACTTATAGATTTTTATAGTTAATAGAGACATGGATTTTAATTTTAAATTTCTTTTATATATATCAACAACTTTTTACAACTGCTCCTCGGTGTAATTGAACGATAATTATGATGCTTGATGGATATTTGATGATGAGGATTGAAATTGAAGATTCTCAAAATATTTTCTGTATACTGCGGTTTTCTGCTGTTGACATACTCAACAAATGAGAGGGAGTGGATTTGGTTAATGACTAACACTTGCTGATGCCACATAGCCACTAGATATAGATACGGCTGCCCCAGGCACGCGCCACGGCGCCATCTCCATAATCCATGAATGAATCCATGGGTGTGTTACTCTCGCTTAACTCGATAATAGTTAATGCTGACTATCCTTCTACATCTATTTAAGCAGTGCTGCGCCTGTTAAATAGTTAAAATGAATCAGCCTTCAAGTTCCACATTCGTCAGATAGCAATAACGACAATATTAATATCGAGTTGATTACCAATTTGTTTATCGTATTTGTTATGAGGACTATTTTTCTTTTTCAATCTATATTCATTATAATGATGGAACAAATATTAGCAAAAGTAAGTTTAATTTTTTCTACATTTCACTAGATCTTTTTTTTTTTTTTAATTCTTTATTGTTAAAATATTTTTGACATTTTTAAAACAACTGAATGTGATAAATTCTTAAAAGCTTTGAAGAATAAAAAGTGGAAAGTGTCAAAATGTTTACTTAATCAACAAAATATATAAAGTCAATTGAATGGTTCAGAATAAAGTATTTAAAATCATGAGAAAAACATTAATGATCTAAAACTTATTGGAAATTATATGCAGTTATCATCCAATCATTTACAATCAAACATCGTTTCACTGCCAAATTTAAATGATAAAATTCAACAATCCCCCACTCCATCAAACTTGCTGGAGAGCCGGCTTCTTCGCTGTCATCGAATTTCATGCCAAAATCATCAGCAATGTTACCTCCTTTATTGTGGTGATTGTGTTTTCCTCCCTTCGCTAAACTTCGCTGTTTGCAATGATAGAATTGTGCATCGGTAGGCCCCTGCCGTTGGGCGCTGCTTATTATCAAGGGGGCGCGTTATCCGTACGGCCCTACCACGTACGGGAACATATCTCCTTATAGAATGATCAAAAATGATTCAATTTCTCTGTAGATAGAGGTCAATAATATACAAGTTTTCTCTATACAATGGACAAAATAATGATTTAAAATGAACAAAAAATGAGTAAAAATGATCCAATTCTCTCTGTTGAGATACAAACAACAATGTGTGTTGTTCCTAGGCTACCTACATCATGCTAATACACTGCACAACCACTTGGAACGTCCCACATGATTGGTAGAGAAATGATGACCAAAATAAATGACTAAACTTAACTCTACATATGATTGGCTGTCTATTTAATTTGTGAGCCGGGTATTATTATTATTATCATTCTTCCGTTATACTCGTATGCAGCCCTTGTGTGATGTTAAATACAGGCAAGAGTTGGTTATACAAAAGGAATGCTGGTGTTGAAAATGCGCCAAGATAACTAGTAAACATAGGGAAATCAAATGAGTGCAGGACTGGTATGTACAGTACTGTACATGCAATGCGGGTTCCCAGCTCAGGAACAATAAGCTAAATCAGGTAGTGGGTCCGCCCGAAGGTATCTTCTACCTGGCAACCATTCGGTCACTGGGGCCCCTCATCTGGAAGCGAGGCAACATTTAGTACAATATCATTAAAGTAGCTAAACTAACTATTAGTCCTGAAGTATTAATAATTTCACATACTAGATTCTTTATAACCTGATTTATTGTTAGTTAATAACCGATATACTTCACCACTTCTTGAGATACACCGCCTTCTGAGACACTAAATCATATGATATCAAACTCTATATAGAACGTGTTCTATTCTAACTCCTAATTCTAGACATCAGCATAGAGATGCAACTTATATCTAGATGTTGTACATAGGCTCTGTATGAATCCACTGTATAAGAGTATCTTCTTTAGATGATAGAAGTCATCCTCTGTTTGAATCAGAGGTGGTTTTATAGAATGATTAATCTTGTCATTATTCGAGCTAACTATATAGAGTTCATGGCTGCTCAGTGCTCAACAGATTTTATTTGTATAATTGAAAATATGACAGTGTAAACTTGGTTTAGAAGTATTACATAGCCTGGCAGTTTCTCATTGACTGAGTTCACACTTTTGAACTGCTAAAGCTGCTAAAGCAAATTGATTTATATTCATTATTACTAAATACTATATCAAGCAGCTATAATCGATGAGTGTATGAGGTTGAAGTTGTATTCTTCTGATTGGTATTTCTAAAACATACTATATCATGTGATTTAGTGTCCCAGCAAGTGGTGAAATAAGTTAGCTCTTGATGATATTTCGCTGATGATATCTAGTGATGATACCTGTGATAATATTGTTTAGTCAATAGCAACATGATGAATAATATGATTTCGCACTTTTGCTCTGTCTTGCCTCAACTGCATGTTCCACGAAGTTCCTGCTATAGTGTATTGGGCCTCAGCTTTCCATCCCTTTGGAGAGGTTTGTTTGCCCACCCGTACTAGGGACAGGTTGCCCCTAGTATATTTCAAATTATCTCAATAGTGAAAGATTGTTCGGCTTTATTCAACTATTATATTTTATATTTTCAGGACCTTCTCTGATACAGAATTAAGTATATAATTGAATAATTTATTTATAGTTTGTTGGCATCCCTATTGCTCGCTAGAATGCCACATGACCACACCTATTTGAACAGTGCTGCGCCCGCTAGATAGTTACAATGAACCAACCTTCCACCCATAGTTCATAATTTGCTTCTCTGTATTCTTCTATAAAGAATTTGATAGTTGATTTTATATTTTCATACCAAAGATTGATTTTTTAAGAATAGTTGAGATTCTTGATCAAAATGTCATTATGCTTAGACCCAGGTGGGTGGGGCGGCATAGGCACAATTATTATATAAGAGACTGAGGTGAAACCGCTCCTCGGTGCTTGTTTACCTACTAACTAAACTAGGGACTACCTTTCTGAAGAGTTAAGCTTTTGGAAGCTCATCCATGGAACCGTGTCACGTCTCTATTTTTGTTCTCAGAATGCTGTGCCCAAGTTTAGAACCGGAAGAAGGGAGAGGCGACCATTTGCCCCCAGCAATATGGCGTGTCATACGTGCTTGTACAACCACCGAGGTTTAATCTGTTTCTGCTTGGGAATGGCTTCATTATTATCTCTCTCCACTTCTCCGATTTTCCCCTCTGCTTTTCTTCTTCCTTTCCTCCCGCATTAGATTTTGCGTGGCCCGATGTCCACGATGTGGAAAATAGACGGCGAAGAGATCTCCGATGCGAAAGCCGGCAGAAGGAGCTTGGAAGACAATTTCGAATCCAAACACCCCCATGAGGTGCTTAACCCCGACGTCGACGACCCGGACACTGGATTGAGCACGGAGGAGAGAGCAGTAGTTGTATGTGACCGCGAAGTAGTACCCAGCAGCTGTTATCTTATAGCGAAATTATCTAGCTAACAAAGCGGTGTATGTGGAATGCAGGATAGGCAATTGGTGCGAAAGCTGGATAAACACCTGATTCCGTGGCTCAGTTTCCTCTACCTCCTTAGGTATATTACCATTTGTCACACACACGACCTCTCTTACAACTGTGTGATTGGTATTGTTTTGCTAACGGAGCTACCCGAACAGCTTCTTGGACCGGACAAACATCGGAAATGCGAAGCTAGATGGACTACAGACCGCTCTCAGGTTAACGAATACTCAATACAATGCGACTCTCACCATTTTCTTCGTCTCTTACTCGACACTCGAGCCACTCACCAACGTTTTGCTCAAGAAGTGGAAACCAAGTGTCTTCATCCCCCTGATAATGGTGGCTTGGGTATGGCCTCTCTTACACGTTCATTCTAGGGTGTATGCTCCCGTGATTTCACTAACATTCCTTGTGGTTCAAGGGGATTTGCATGACATGTATGGGTTTAGTCCGCAATTTCTCCGGTCTCATGGCCGCGCGATGGTTCTTGGGAGCTGCTGAGTCTGGTCTATTCCCCGGTGTAGGATACTTACTGTCCTGTTGGTACAAGCGATCTGAATTTGGCATTCGGATGGCTATTTTCTTTTCCGCGGCGGCGTTTGCTGGCTCGTTTGGTGGTCTGCTTGCGGCGGCTATCGCCCAGATGGATGGCGTTGGCGGGAAGCCTGGCTGGGCGTGGATTTTCATCTTGGAAGGCCTGTTCACAGTTGTCATTGGCATTATTTCATTCTGGGTTGTCCAGGATTTCCCAGACCAGGCAACTTTCTTGACAGAGGCCGACCGCAAGCGGGTGATCCGTCGTTTGGCTGCCGACAAACAATCCAGCGCCGCACACGAGGAATTCAAAGCAGAATATTTCTGGGCCAGTGTAAAGGACTGGAAAACGTATACGTCAGCCATGATATACATGGGTTGTAATGGGTCCCTTTATGCATTCTCGCTTTTTGTCCCGACGATTATCTTTGAGCTAGTAAGTGTAGCAAATATCTACAAATTGAACTTGTTTCTAAATTGGATTCTAACATCAATCTTAGGGTAAATACGACTCCTGTCGATTCAAAATAAAGAAAGAGAGACAAAAAAAAAAGAAAGTAAAAGGAAAAAACCTAACCTCATTCCCATCTAGGTTACTCTTCCACTATGGCTCAGCTTCTCACCGTTCCGCCATACGCTGTTGCGGCATGCTTAACTATTACTGTGGGATATATCGCAGATCGCACTCATAAACGGGGCATTTACAACATGGCTATATCGTTATGTGGTATTACAGGGTTCACTATGCTCCTCGCTTCCCAAAGACCAGCGGTGAAGTACGTTGGAACGTTCTTCGGCGCAATGGGCATTTACCCCGCAATTCCTAATACCATTGCATGGATAAGCAATAATGTTGAAGGTACTTATCCCCATTACCTCCTCCTTTGTTTGGCTCCCCTTTTCAAAACTGGTTTTAATTGCGTAACAGGCGTCTACAAGCGTGGTATAATACTTGGTTTTGTTATTGGATGGGGGAATATTCAGGGCTGTATAACATCGAACATATATCGAGGAGAAGATAGACCGAGATTCTACCCGGGGCACGCTACTGTACTCGCATATCTAGTCCTATTTTTACTAGGCGGGAGTGTTTTACAGTATACCCTCCTTCGCAAAGAGAACAGGAAGAGGCTGCGTGGGGAGAGGAACTATTGGGTGGAAGGGCTTGATCCGACGCAGGTGGGGATGAGAGGGGATAAGCGGCCAGATTTTCTATACACTCTTTGAAAACTTCATTCGTGGTTTAGGAAGCTGGGAATTCCTTTCGTGTATGTATGTAACTGTGTCTTGACTTGGTTATGGTTAGAATATTGCGCAGCAAAACTAATTTCTATATTGATTCTAGTCCCTCATCCTACTGTTCTTGATCAGCTCTTTGGCCCATTCTGCTGGCTAGATATGGTTAGAGAGGCAGACGCTTGATATATCTGGAATAGAACACATTCCGATTGATCGGTTTCGGAGCTGCGAATCCTTTTTGTTCCTCTCACCTCCCCTATCCAAATCCTTATAATATCGATACCGGGTGATGAAGCGGAACAACACGTGACAAGCCAACCCTGGTTGCCCCTTTCTACCTCTTATCACCATCCCCGGTTGTTGCTGTCGCTGGAACTTCACTTCACTCTTCACTCTTCGTTCTTCATTCTTCGTTCTTCACTACTACCCCCTTTCACACCTCATTCATTCCCATCTCCACCCCGCCACCCTTCAGCTACATAACACTGGCTCATCCCACGGCTTGTGTAGTTCGCCTTTTCCTCTTACCTTCAGTGACTTTCTTTTAAGCCACATAACGGCTCTCCTTTTGTCAACTTAACGTGTGTTTTGTTTAGCAATTCTCACTCTTGCCATTCGGCTTTCCATTCGGCTTGCTCAGATCCGTTGACAAATTACGTCGGAATGGAGGCCCCCGTCTCAAGCCTGTCAAGGTTGTCGGCCTCCCAGGTGGAAAGGGCTTCGTTTACTCCTGGTGGCTGCTCACAACCCAATGTACAAGCAACGAAACTGCCTTTGGAGTCGACATCGGAAAATGCTCTACAAGCTCTTCAGCGGCGTCTAGCTGAGCAGGATGTCCGCATCTCATTGCTTGAAAAGGAGCTAAGAAAGAATCGACTAGCGCCTACGAAGCTCGTGGAATACGAAGAAGATGCAAACGAAAAGCAAAGCGTGCCTGGAGCGCGTTCCGAATCTGCGCAATCGTTCAATTCCAAGTCTCCACAGCCGAGAGGCATGCACAGTGGCTTAGCAAAATCAGATGGTGATGCTTTATCCGCGCAGATGCGGTATCAGATACTCCAGTTGAAATTACATTCAATTGTACAGAAGAGTCGCTCAATTGGAGTGGTGGACTGTTCTCCATTGCCATCTCCTCCAGAACAGAGACCAGATCTCTTGGACGATGTCAGCCCGGCATCTGAAAAGCCTGTAACTCCGATCCAGGATTATTCACTTGACGACCTTCGAGCCTTTGAATCTCATTTGGAGATGAAAGCAGCGTCTTCTATGAACACCCATAGCGATGGAGGTCAGAAAGAAACAATCAAAGCTCTATTGGAAGGTATTGGGTCACCAACAGACGTGTCTCAAGACTATTATACAGAATCAAAACGCTTGCTGCCAGTACGTAATACGTCCCGCTTCCATTTAAACTCCTTCCTTAATAACTATTTCTTACCTCGATGTGCAGACCATACAGCCACCAGCAAGCGAAAGATGTGCTAGACGGCCAATCCCTGTGGCATGGGATGGAAAAGTCACATACACCCTTCCCACCACTTCCCCCTTTGATGATGCCGCCCAGGAAGCCAAAGCCCTTAACGCACAGCCTCGCACCAAATACCCTCTGGGACTCTTTAAACACGGGCTTATCTTCGACCCCTCCAAGGCCGAAGGGAATTGTTATAGAACAGTAGCCATTGCGAACCTTCCCCTCAGCTGCTGCATGAGGCACTTGTTCCAAGCTGTACGCGGCGGACCGGTCTTAGCTGCCCATCTGATGAATATGGAGCGCGTTGCGGGCTATCACATGGGGATTGTCACGTTCGTTTACGAAAAGGATGCAAGGGCATATGTCAGGTTTTCCCAAAACCATGGAGTGTTCTTCGATGATCAGCGTGCCAGTATCAAGATGTTTAAGCAGGCTACATATCCCATGTCGGTGGATATGGAACAAAAGGTCAGCCGTGGCCACACGAGGTGCATCTCCATCAAAGGCCCTCATGATCCCGAACGGTATACGGACGTTGTAACATATGTCAAAAAGGCGCTTCCCGTGTATTTCGATCTTGGGGATGATATGGAGGAGAATGCATCCAAAACCGAGTTGCAGATACATTTCAATTCGATCGAAGCTGCAAGCGCTGCCATTGAGGCGTGTCGACGATATGGTAGGCTTGCAAACTGCAATCTTAGCTTTACCGCGGACCCATGTTCAAGATCACTGCCAGCTTGTCCCTGCCATTAGTCAACTACGCAGGTCCAACATTTTACTTATAGTCACAACACCCACCCTCTTTCCTTGCCTCTCTTCTTTTGCGGGCTCGAAAGAATAAATGCACAGCAACCTACCCGCTTATATCATCGATTTATGACCTTTTTTTGTTTTCCCTTTTCTACTTCTCTCTTGTTTCCAATCTGGTTGTAGTCTTTTATTTTATTCCCTCTTAAGAAAGGCATTTTTCAGTTCGGACATATTTATTCCATTTCCATCTTCTACCTTTGATGCTGAACAACGAGACCCCACGCTTTCTTTCCCCCTTTACGCATAGAGCACATTATTTCGTCTCAATTCAGATAGCTTCTGCCGTATTTTCAATAATTCACTTTTTTATATTTATTACTTTTCCTTCTCCTACTCACACCAGCGAATTGCAAGACAGGCTGGGTCAACGCCCTAGAAACTGATAACGCGGGATTCGATCTTACGTATTTCTACGTTTTATTTTGCTCAATTTTAGGAAAACGAAGATAGATAAATGGTATAAATTGCACCCTTGAAAATTTATCGGAGCTCACGCAAGTTGCGCGAGAGGATGACAAAACGAATAACCTTTTATAGAAGTTTTAATTCGCAAAATTAGCCGATGAATGAGGTGGATAGAGGCAATAAGATAAAACTGCTGGAGACGCTACCCGCGAAGGCGTGCGGGGAAGCCGACGTACTAAGCCAACTCAAATGCCAAGGTTATGATGATACAGGTTTATCAATCGGATATCGAAAGGACCAAAATCACAAACGATTGGATGGGGAGCCTGCAACTGTACATATGAAAATAGCATTCCACATAGGATAAAAACAAACAAAGGAAACAAAGTAAAGGACGTAGACAGAACAAGGTCCACATATGACCATGATTGGGTAAAACTACATTATCCATTCTGCCGTGATACAAAAGGTAAATAAATAACCTCAACAAGAATGGATCATAAAACAACATTTCACAAACCCCTCACTCCCAAAATCCCACCCCTAGCCAAAATTCTAATGTTCCCGCAATATCCTTGTGCTTCTTCAAGTACGCTTTTTGATATATCTCTAGGCGGAATTGGTTCAATTCAGCCCTCAGTTCAGAGGAAACTTCGCCTCTTTCGATTGAAGGCACGCTGGTCCTTGAGCCATTGGCGATAGCCCTGGATACTGCCTATCTTCTCCCCATAGTAATCGGGAACTGGGTTGGAGTACGAATTGGCAGAAGGGTCCACACGGAACCGCTTTATCCGGCTATAGAATTCCTTTTCTTTCTGTTATGGAAAATAGGAGCATCGATGGTCAGTACGATGGCCATGGCAAAATCATGGAAGTCAAAAATAATGAGAGGAAAGAATGAGGACGCAAAAAATTTTTGAGTGGGAGGAAACAGAGATAAGCGGGGGTGGAGATGGAAAGAAAAAGCCAAACATACCATTGCGACAGCCGCCTTATATTTCCTATGCACAAGGCCCCAGAGCGAATTGCCCAATACCGGGCCAAGTAACCATCCCAACGCCGCACATGATGCAGTTGCCAAACCTAGGACAATGAATGGATCAAGGCCCAAAGCCTGCGCACCTATGGAATCCATATTATTCGCTGCAAACACTTGCACGCCACCAGCAGTGCTGAAAACAGATGCTACGATGGATGAGACGAGCGAGTATTTCCGGCGAGAGGCACGGAGGCGGAAGAAGGAGTTCCAATCGAGGGGCAAGTTTTCGGGAGGCGTACTGCTATGGGCGGATGGGCCGCTTGCGGACGAACTCGTTGATGACGAGGGAGCTTGTGTGGAGAATTTACGGGGGGAAGTAGCAGTAGTGGTGGTGGTGGTGGCGGCGGCGGAGACGTGAAGCAGGGCAAAGGTAGAACGGTTTGGGATCCGCGAGGCCGGATTGTGCTGGAACTTGAAGAGCGGCTGTCCATTGCATCCAGTACTCGCATGGCGCTGCTGCCGTTGCGGCGGTTGAGCTCTTGGGGATCGAGCAGTGCTATACTTGCATTGCTGGTGCAACGCGGGGAACGATGAGCAGGTTGGCGCCCCAGCAGTGTTGGAGGAGCTTGACAGAATGAACGGGCTCAAACTGCACGGGATCCTGCTGCCCAGGGCCGCAGTGCGGAAGGGCCCGTTTATCACGGTGAGATGCATTCTAGTGGGGTGTGCAATGATCGTTCGTGTGTCCGTGTATGTCTGTGTGTGTCTGTGTGCTCGTGTGTGTGTTGTGGTGTGTGGTCTGTCCGGTGGTGAGGAAGCTTTTGGGAGATCATGATGTAAGCCAGAGCCAGATTGTTAGGGTCTTGGCATGCAGCCCACGAAGAAGGCAGAACATATGTACAGATCTGTAGATTGATTCCGATCTAATTATTCGAAGTGCACATTTTATTCTGATGTCTATGTCCTTCATTGTCTATTCGCTAGATTTACCATTGCTCGTTTCGACATACCATGTAATCACAATAATAGAGAAAGTACTAGTAACTCCACAACCAAACAAACATGTACTACTGGTAATAATCATCAAGCGTCCAGCTGCTCTGTGCTGCATTATTCTTCATGGGTTTTAACAGTGGCATCAAGCTCCAGAACGAGGTCAAAATGCCAAAATGCGCTCTCACTAAGATAAGATAATGGGGGAGTGATTTGATATCGGCAAGTTGAACTACCCCCAATTTGGCAATGCAGGACATGATGATATGATAACGCAAGTCGATCGATTTCATCATATCCACACGCCAAAGGCGAAGGGGTTATAATAGGCGCAGAGCCTTTAAGCCTTTTTCAAATCTCCTGGATGTGTGCCCGAAATGGGATGGAGGAAGCCATTCATCCGACCATAAAGGTGTTTCAATAACAGGGTGTTTATGGTCATCAGGATAGCACTGAACAAAAAAAGGTTGATTCGCCAGCCAGTAGTGAGCATTTCGAAAATCGGATAAGGGTACCTGTTGGGATAAAAAGTCGAATTTAAGCATACATCAAAAGCATATGAATGGGAGCTGAGATACATACCATCCGTTATACTGGTAGCACTTCTCCACCCAAAACCAATAGCCAAACGCGATGATGCTAGCCAATCCCATGGATGGGATGGCCCCTATAGACCAAGGCGGCGAAAGGTACAGTAGATCGATGGCCAACACTATGGCTGGAATAGCATGGAATCCAATATCTATAACCGAAGCGATTATGGCAGTGTTTTGATATACGGATCAGTCCAATTGATCCAGCTTCGAAACCAATGAAAAGGAGCCTCACCAGCCTCCGTAGATAGCTCCACCCAATCGGGCCTTACAAGCTTAGCATCAATCTGGAATCAAGGCATCATTAGACTAGGCATATGGCATTGCAGCTTCAGGCAAGATTGTGAGGGGAAGGCCTTACGATTTTCAAGCCGCAATATAAAACACTGATCAACACTTCCATTGGTGCGCTGCACACCAGGAGAACGTTCTTGACAGCAAACAGGCGTATTGACAAAAATACGTCTGCAGCCAGACCCACCAGGTTTGTGAGTGTAGCCATGCACAGGCCGATGATGGTCAAATATTGGAAATGCCATCCGTATGCCTCGCTCCTGTGAATCGATTTTAATCAGCAGAGTTCATGAATGTATCGTTTCATTGAAAATGTTGTATTTGGGATAGCTACGTACGCTAAATTCGGGTGGTCGATGATGCTAAAAACATCATTTTATCCCCCGAAGCCGTCAATCAGATGAGGGACATCACGGAGGGGATAGAAGCTGACAGAGAAGAGAGGTATATGCTAGTATGAATGTATATAAAATATATAAATACATCCAACCAAGAACACCACCGACACTTACTATTTGAACGAAAAAGCGAAGCTCGATAGTGCAGCTAACTGAAAAACCAAAGGGAAGCGTAATCAATCAATATCAATTCTGACAGTAGCTACTAGTAGCTCTTTGAATGAAGCTATATTGCTATCGTAACACAGTCAAGAAGCAGAAGCGCGTGGGTATTATATAATAAGCCGTTCACTGACATGTAAAATTGCAGAAAACCCGCGAGAGGGAGAATGCAGTCTCTGAAGCGGATGCTTGACAATAAGCAGAGACTCGAGCGGGAGCGACGCAGTCCTCATTTTGGCCGGGGTTAGCTACTAGGCTATCGATAGCGATGTGAACACGGCTAACTTCGGATGCTATGTATTTCGCGGTACAGGAAGGTGGAAGAACCGTAAGGACAACTAGGTTAAGTAGGTATAGTTTCCCTTTCGCATAGAAGCGATTTTGTCATACTCCATCCAACTTGAATGGAAAAAACCTGAATCTCCCTGGCTGTTGGAGCTGAAGCATCTGAATTGCCTAAATAGGTAAGATGTTTTTCTCTATTTAGTTAGCTACTTTGAGCCATCGAACTCAAACTCCTGGAGAGATTTAACCGTCATGTACTCTAAGATACGAAATACTAAACAATTGCCATTCGCTGGGTACGTAAACATGCCACCACGTTGCGTATGAATATATCCTGGGCGCTACCTCATGTGTTATATGTGCATCTAGAATTCGGACTGACCTGCTGCGCAGGGAGCATAATCTGAGGCTGTATTTCCAGCCGACATGGTAAACCATCACACACAGATACTTCTTGAAAGCATGAGCTAACATGGTCGGACCCCTCATATCGATATCAATAAAGCCCTCCCACATGCTGGTCCCTGGGCTGGGCGGGCGACCAACACAAGCGAACGGCTAGCAGCATCTGCACAGATCTTGGCTCATTACTCCCTGCTTTTGCCCATATACCTACCATTGTTCCCTGAGTGGTATCACAAACAGTTCCCATGCAGAAGTGGGGAGAGAGATAAATGTGAGGTACCCTTTAAGGCCTCTGGAGATAATACATGTGTCTGCCATTGGTTCTAATGGACCTGTACAGCGACACACATTCATATGCCCTCGTTAGTGGTGTTAACACATATATGCCTTCAACTGCAGCCATCTTCTATGACTAAGACTGTCGAGAGACAAGATATTCAGACCTCAGCACAAGGAAATTTTGCATCAGCTCTCTCGATATGGAATGATCGGAACCCCGATCAAACTGGCTCTCCAAATCCGACTACGCGAGCAACCAATTGAGATCAATCCTTTGAAACTCGTCAGCCTCAGATATTTACATCACTGATGTGTTCATTCATTGAACATTATCATCAATGTTCTTGCCGTGGAGTTGGTTGTCTGAGATCAGTGCCGCAAAAGGAATCCATGGCCATGGCTAACCAAACCCTAGCACCGCGTACTTGATGCGAACATGCAGTTGACACGGCAAAGCTATGTGAGAGATGGTAGTGGGGTGTTAACAGAGCTATTTTTTGCATTCGCTGCGCTTAGTCCGATCGACCAAGGGTATGGCAGTTTTGTCGTTACCGACGCATCTGATACCTTTGCGGGAACATACCAGGGAAACTGCCTCCAAACGTACGGTTCGAGATGCTGAGGGGTTCGGCACAATTCTGGCGGGATCGTGTTCCCGGTTATTGGCGCTCAATGCAAAGCTATGAATCTGCTGGCCAGGATCCAAGGGGGCAGTAGTTTAGCAATTTCGGTTGTTTGATATTAGGGGCTTAGATGGTTGGCATGTGCGGAGTAGGTTTGATGCGAGCTATGCGTATCTACAATGTCCTGCGTAAAATTCCCTGGGGATCCTTAGGAGGTCAAGTGGGAAATGGTCGGCTCAAGAATTGGTCAATGGTGTCCCCTGCTGAGTATCTAAATGGGAAAAGAAGAATATGCTTAGAGCATGGCTTTGTGATGAATCCATCATTCGTACTGATTCAGCTGCTAATGGAGCCCGAAAACGCTCGTCGTGCTTCTATTGACTTTCGATGACCCCGCAAGGGTGTCGACCGTGAAACAACAAACCAGTTCCAACGGCTATGAATGAATGGCAACTGCCAATAGAACAAGAAGAAAGAAACGTCCAAGGAAAAAGGTATCAAGAGAAATCACCCGGTCATTAACTAATCACGCCATGGTCAAACATCTTATACTAGTCATTTGATATATGAAACTCGAACTCAGGATCCTTCTTCAAACTACTCCCTCAGATGATTGCCTTATCAATGGGCATCCTTGTTGTTGTCCATCTCAGTGGAGGTATCATATATATTGGCCGCACCACCTATTTACGTTAGCGGTAAACAAGAAGAAGAAGAAGAAGAAGAAGAAGAAGAAGAAGAGGAAGAGGCAACGAAGGCAAGATCCAAAACAATGTCAAAAGCAGATCCATAACCCCTTGAAATCGAAAACCAAACCCACAACCACAACGAACTAACAAACGATGACCAAAAAAACGAGGAGGAAAAAAAAAAACAAAAAAAATCTTTTTTTTGAACTCACCCCTCCCCAAAAACACCTTCTCCCCCTTACTCTCCCCTATCACATCTACTTCCACATCCTGCGCCATGCGTGCGACGGCCGGATCGTCATTGGCAACTATATTCCCCGACCCGCCACGGCCTGTGGTATACATATCCGACTTGATAGTGGGCGTTACAAGGTCAGCTGGGGTCCGGGATGTAACCGTTGCCGCTCCAGCTCCAGCTCCAGCCCCAGCTCCAGTTCCAGTTCCTGTTCCTGTTCCTGTAGTTGCAGTTCCTGGGACAGAAACCATGTTTCCTAGCCGAATGTTTTTGTGCGGAATTAGCTAGATGGAGCTATATCTAACCCGACGTGAGGGGGATTAAGGTATATATGAATGAGCTGCGTACCTGCGCCTCCGCGGCCGGTGGATATTCGTTTTTGGTCAGTCATTTTGTTCGGGGTCGGTCTTTTAGCGGTAGATCCTGGAGATACTAGCACAGGACAGGACGACGGCAACGGTATTTAATCAGGGCGGAGCGGGGCAGGGGGTGAGGCCCTGGTGGAAAATGCTGCGTAACAAGGTTTGGCACATGCAAGAAAAAATATAAACCCCCTCCATTTCGTGAAAAAATCACATCACATGTACTATATGAAGGCATGCTGGGAGTAAGTAGGAGCAATGAAGGCGGGGGAAAGGCATCTGTCGTTTGTCCCATCTTCCCTCGGATGAAAATAGGATGTACAGTAAGTACATCCAAATATTGGTTCCATGGACAAGGCAGATCAAAACCATCCTCTGCTGGAATTACGGTCTATATCTACATGCCAAACACAGTGCCATACTCATTGACTCCCTCGATATATTATATTTTTTTTATTTTTGTTTCATTTTTGTGTTTTGTTCTTTGTTTTCCCTCTTTTCCATATATTGCATTATGTCATTTTGTTGAAAAGCAGAGCCGGAAAAGAGATAAAAAATGGAAGTATCCGCAAGCGTGCAGACGAGCATAAAAGAAGCCTACACCAGATTGAACCCAAGTAACCATAACCCATCCCGGTTCATCCAATTTCGCAGGGCGTATTTCGAGAAAAGCTAAGAAAGAGAAAGGTAAAAACTAAAGATAAAATAAAAGGGGAAAGCAAAGGAAATAAGGAAGAAAAAGGTGGAGGGAAGGACAACCAAGAAGAAAAGGGGGAAATGAGAGGAAGAGAGATAGAAGAAACAACACATAATACCGAATATTAGAGACACCCAGGAAGAAGGCACCAGGGGAAGTAAAATAGTCCATTCTGCAACGCCGTTCCCGAAAAGAACCGCAGAAAGAAGTAAAAGAAAATTAAAAATTGAAAAACCAAATTTTGTTTTTTTTTTATCAAAAAAAAAAAAAAAAAAAAAAAAAAAAAGAACAAAAAGACAAGAAGACTAAAGATCACCCTTCATTCTCCCAATCCTCCCCTTCTCCATCCTGGCCTTTGGAGCCATGTGACTGTCCGCCGCGGGGTCCCTTCACCCCATCCTTACGGATGGGGATCTTAATACCCTGAAACGCGAAGCATTTACTCAACGGTGTGCTCTCGATGACGCCTGGGAACTTCTTGGCGGAGTACACCTGGAAAACCTCCGAGAAGGCCGAGGCCAGAACAGGTGCCGAACCAACATTGATCACGGGGCTGGACGGAGTTCCGCCGGGTGATTGGTCCTGGGCCTGGCTCTGGGTGCCAACGTTGACGAAGTTCATTTTTAATCTAGGACATTTTGTCAAAAGAAGAGCGTTAGTAGAGAGCGTGTGGGTGAAACGGAGAGGATAACAGAGAGAGAGAGTCAGAGGAATGTTTACCGGAACGAGCCTTCAGTGCGAACGCTGAGATCCTGCAAGACGAACCAGACACCGATTTTGTCATCCGGGTCCGTCAGGCGAAAGGCACTGGCGCTCAGGCTGCCGATCAGATTGCGGGTAAACATGCCCGTGGACGCACTTGAAATGTGCGGCCCCAGCGCAGACTGGGGTCCAAGGGCCTGAGTGGGCGTGCCTGGAGGGTAGTAGGTGCTAGCAGCTGGGAGGCCCGGGTAATATGGATCGGGGCCTCCCTGGGGATATTGGTAGCCAGCGTGAGGGTTGTAGCCTGGTTGTCCACCGTAGTAGGGCGGGTATGCGGTTTGCGGGTATCCGTGGGCCTGGGCATATTGGGGGAAAGGCATGATGTTGGCAGGAGGCGGGTAGGCGGAGGAGGTAGCGGTAGAGATAGAAGGAGATGTAGCCGAGTGTCTGACGAGGTTGACCTCGCTGGTTCCCTCAGCGTTCCACAAGTCGACGGTCAGGACGTAGAATGAGGTGTCGATTTCGCTTTTAAGACAGGGTGCGCGGTTCGAGCGCAAAAACGTATTAGATTTCATATCCAAGCTGGAAATACTAGGCAAGGGAAAACGCACTTGATATCAATCTCCTTCTGGGTGGTAGCATCGCGGACTATCAGCCTAATACAGGGTGGGGGGGTAAGAGGTCTCCGGTCCTAGATATAAAAAAATATAAATATGCATGACGCCGTTAGTCAATTGAATTCTGGTTTTGGTGGGAGAGCAGATATAGCTAGCTAGCTACGTGTAAAATAAAAATAGAGGCGAGGTGTGCAGTTGTGCCAACAATGGTGGTGGGGAGCCCCGGTGGGTGGAGGGGAGGAGGGGAGTGGGGAGGAAAGAGAAATAGCACGGACTTTGTCGCCGAAGCCGCACATTCTCGCGCGGATGGGTTGCTGGACGACATCGAGGGAGTAGATGCGACCTTCGTAAACCGTGGAAACAGATCTGGCAGCCTCTGGGATACCAGGCAGAGTAACGGGTGTGTTGGTGGAATAGCCATGCTGGAGGTGATCCATGGTGAGAGGCGGTGGTGGTGGGACAGGATGCGGGCGGTCTTGTTTGAGCGTGTACATGCTCTGGGGAAACCTGCTGGGGAACAGGAGATTGGGAGAGGACAGCGTTCCTGACCGTGTTCCTGGACCTGGTTCCTCGAGCGGTCCGGGACTGGGGAAGAGGAGCAAGTCAAGAAGGCTGGTAGGAGGACACGGTGAAGTTGACGGCGAGGGCGGAGGTTTGTTACTAATAAGACGAACTCTGTCGCCGGATGAAACAAACAACAACACAACAACACAACACCGGAAAAACAACAATATCCCGAAGGCAGAGGGCGGTGCGTATGCGATGCGGCTGCTGTGATGTGTCAATGGCCTCGACAGCACACACTCTCGACGGCGATGGGTGTCGACACGAATGTTTGCTGCGGGGGACAGGTACAGGCCCTTTTTGTCTATTTCCGCCTGCTTATGCAGTGCTACCCCAGGGGAGACCACGATAATATCACCCGTCCATGGAATGGCTGATCCGCAAGTCTGGGAGGTTGAAAAAAAAAAAAAAGGAAAAATAAAAAAAAGAAAAGAGAAAGAGAAAGAAAAAGAGAAACACCCGATGGGTTGACGAAGGAGGGAAAGATAAGGATTCCGCCAGCCAACGATGGAACTATTCACCAACCCATCTCAAGAAGAAAACGGGCTTTTATTTTTCGGGGCCCGTCGTGCAAAACGGGAGAAAAAGAAAATACACCAGGGAAACCAGGGAAATGAATGGCATTATTTGGTATTATTTAGTTACTTCACTAAGTTCCTTTCATGCAGAATGCGAAAAGCGGGCTTGAAAGAAAGTGATTGCACTTGCACGGCACAGATCTATAGCTACATATGGTTATATTAGTTACATATATATGATATACCCCTATCCGAGGAATCCTGATCTCTATCAAATAATGACATGATTATTAGATTCGCTATCAGCTCCATGCAACTGCAACGAATGGATATATCTTTATATCCTTCTTTTCTCACTTCCCGGCCCCCAGCCACCCGTCGCCCCCACGAACCACTCTATCGGGTCAGTCTAGGCTGCCAGCAGCAAATAATAAATAACAAATAGAAATAATATAATAACGAACGGACAAATCATATCCGGTGAACGCCAATCTGTCTGGCATTTTCCAACTTTCTTCAAACCACACGGGCCCTCTTCTTTGCACGTGCCATAGATTCTGTGACATGCATAGGTAGTAATGGATCAATCGATTGAATAAACCCTCCCCCGGAAAGATATGAATGGTTGACGATGATGAGTACTGGCAACTAGTACGAGCCTTTGATGCCTAAATTCTATTGGAATCACTTCACCTAATTTGTCCAGCCGAAAGACCACAAAAATATATATGATAATAATAACAGTTTAATAATAATAAGGAATCTAAGTGTCAAATCACACAACACCCGTGTCCATATGCACAAACTTGACTAATAAACAAATCATAAAGCCGTTAACCATCTACCTCTTGCCAATATCATAATTCTGGTGCCACGTATAGCCACCCTGAGGTCCTGCTTCCCGCACCAACTCCTCAATATACTCCAAGCCATCTCGTGGCGGCCGGCCCAGCAACTCGCCCATCAACGGCGCCACCATCTCCGCCTCACCCTGCCCCACTGCATCCAGCAAACTAGCCCATAGCTCGAAGAACTGCGCTGATTTCCCGCCGTGGCCCTCCTTAGCGTCCTCCACGGCAACAACAGCCGCATACTGTTCCCGCGGGATCTTCTGCAGAGTTACTTTCCTGCCTGTAGCGCGGGTAAGAGCTTCAGCGAGGTGCGCAAAGGTATACGCACCGGGCCCAGTGAGGAGGGCGACGTTGTTGTCGTAGTCGTTTTTGAGAAGGGAGGGGAGAGTGGCTGGGTCCCGTAGCATGAGCCTTGCGTTCGCTTCGCCTAGTTCGCTGCGGGAGGTCCAGGCGATACGGCCGTCGGTGGGGATGTACATGGTGGTTGTATCGGGGTACCAGGCAGCGAAGACGGGGAAAGCTTCTGCGTAGATGCCTTCGCGGATGGAGGTGTATGAGATCCCGGATCTGGGGGATGTGTTAGCGAGGAATGTACAGTACATACAGGGGAAAAACCGAGATTTCTCAGCCCGAGGGATACTTGGTACTTTTTCAGCTGCTCTTCAGTGATTAAATGGGCCGTCTGCACGACAGCCTTTGAATGCGATCCATAGCCGCCAAATGATAGGCTGGAGTAATATACCTGCAAACTCACAGAGAAGAAAATTAATTTTTCTCCCCTTCCTCCTGCGCAGGGGGTTCCACATTTGCAATTTTAGAAAAAAGGATTTCATACATGCCCAACGCCTGCCTTCTTCGCGGCCTCAATGACATTCGAATGTTGCTTGGCCCTCCTATTTGTATCGACAACAGGTGTTGAAACGAAGAACAGTCGATCGACTCCCTCAAAGGCCTTCTCCAGTGCTGGCTCGTTGTCGTAGTCGACGACCCGGAACTGGGTGCCCGGGTAATCCTGCTGGAGTTTGGCGGCGACTTCAACACGGGAGGAGGTAGCTATGATCTCCGCTGGGTCGTCGACGGATTTGTACAGGGTGGCGAGCACAGAAGCACCCAGGCCGCTCGTCGAACCTGTAATAAGGAACTTTGCGGAGGCCATGGTTTTATGATATTTTGTTCTGGAGAGATTCATACATATGTTGCAATCCGTCTACCCGCCTGTGTGTCGGCATGTAGAGAGGGAAACGGGGCCCATCGAAGGGCGGAAGGGCCGGTGCTTTATATGTTGAGGATCCCCTTGTATCCAGCTGCTTCCCCCCTTTCTTTGTGAGCTCCGTAACTAACTAACTACTTCTTTCTTGCGCAAACCTTGTTATGATTCGATAAACATGTTGCATGCATCCACAGGGCAAGGGCACGGGAGGACACCTACACCGTACAACAACCCCTTATGCGCATGTCCCAGAGCAGACCCTCGGGAATACCTCCAACCCGCTTGGTCGTCCCAAAGTCCCTCTCACCCCTTGACCTTGGTAATGCTGCATGAATAACTAACAGCTAGTTAGGGACTCGCAATCGTCATAGCTCAAGAGTGGATTCCTCGATGGAGATTTGAGACCCATGGTAGTCATGGAAGTGGAGACGCTACGAGTATTTACTAGTCTTTAGACGCTGCTAAGGAGTTTACACATTTCACATAGGCATAGTCGACATGCGAACCATCCATCACTTTTCTATGGAGAGTGTACTGAGTAGAGCTCGGATATTTACTGATCCTTGTATGGAGCTTTCTAGACTATAGATTTCGTGGTCTCGGGAGTAGTTTGTAGCGAGTTACGACATGAAGGCATAAACAGGCTCATCAAAACCAACTCAATCCAGCAATATCGAAGCCTATGTTCCATGCCCATGCAGAGCTTAATCTCTCAAAGCGGCCCAGATCGGCTGTTCTCAGCGGAGAGATGCTGGCTGTGGGTTGAGCAGTTGGAGACGAGCGATTAATAATCTATCATCTTCGCCGCCGGATGCAGCTCGCCGGTCAACCTGCTTTGTTGCATGTAGCTTTTTAAGTTCTGCAAAGAGGGCTTTGGGTTGTCGATTTCTAAGCAGGAAGCTAACTAGCTCGTAGATCGTGTAACCGATGGATCTGGAGATCCTTGTCCGGGTATCTAGGGGTTGTGCTTTTTTATTGATCAGCTTGATTTTTCCTTTTTTCAACCGGGGATGTAGGAATATTTATCCGACATTGAAGTCGAGTCCTGATGGGATATACGATATACTGTGCGTAGTTCCCGGATATAAGTTATCAAGGAGATGAAATTGCGACAATCCTGTCTGGTTGGTAAAGGCATCCTGGATATCTACGCCAATATAGAGAAAGTTTGCCTCATTTAGGGCTCATTGCTCTGGCTGAAAGACAGCAAATCATATGCAATCATACATGCAAGAACAATGACAATGGAGATAAGTCCATCCAGACAACCTTTAGTTGCCCAGTTCAGGTCCGTATAACGACGGGCCTACACCTTAGCTGGTTGTACTCGTCTCCGCTATCTCTGTCTAGCGCTATCCGTGAACGGTCGAGCATCAGAGACCTATAAATACTCGTATACGAAGCCATCAACCTGCGAAAAGACAGCCGCTGCAGGACCTAACTTCGCAGCCGTAGACAATCAGTAGTATTTATATCTGCCCATCTCCAATCAAATAATACCTTTCAACTCCCTCCAGCCCCCTCGCAGCAATAATGGCATCTAACCCACCCAGCGCTTGCTGCACCCGCGGCTTCAAGCACGAGGGAATCGCCTCGGGCGAAATCAAGAAAATCGGAGATAGTACGTTATATAACCCTCACTTTATCACATCAAATCATACATAGATCACTAAACAGTTCTCCGTCTCGATGTTGGGCGCGCCAATGATCCAGTCGACACATACATCTCCCACCCCAGCAACACCGCCAACTCCAGCACCAAGGCAGACAAAGCCGTCGTAATCTTCACCGACATCCTAGGCTTACACGACAACATCAAATTCATCGCGGACAATTTTGCTTCCCGCGGCTACCTGGTCGTGGTCCCGGATCTGTTTGGTGGCAAGCCCTTGACCATGAATGAGATTGCCAGCGGCGTGAATACCAGGGACTGGTTGAAAGATCACACCCCAGACGTCGTCGACCCCATTGCGGCTGCAACGATCAAGTACGTGCGCGAGACGTTGGGGATTAAGAGGGTTGGGGCGGCTGGGTATTGTTTTGGTGCCAAGGTTGGTATTTATTTATTTATTTATTTTTATCATTTCATATATCGTTTGCTAGTGAGCTTGCTTGAGGTTGGAGATTTGGTTCTATCCCTTTTTAACGACTCTTTTCTATGTATACACATATAGTACGCTACCCGATTCTTGAAAGAGGGCGGGGGCCTTGATGTAGGCTACGTCGCGCATCCGTCCTTTGTCGTTGCTGAGGAGCTGCTGGCTATCAAGGGTCCATATGCCATTTCTGCCGCTCGTAAGTAAAAAATCCTGTTCCCTTTTTAAGAGAGATATATATAAAGCCCACTATGCATATCCCCTCTAACAAACCCCTCCCGCCGCCGCGCGCAAAACAAAAACACCATGACAGAAACCGACTCCGTCTTCCCCAGCAACTTGCGCCACGACACCGAGGAACTGCTCATAAAAGTAGGCCTCCCATGGCAAATCACCTTGTTCAGCGGCACCGAGCACGGCTTCTCCGTCCGTGGCGACTTGAGCAACAAGGCTGTCAGGTTCGCGAAAGAACAGGCGTTTGTCCAGGCGGTTACGTGGTTTGGGGAACATTTGTGAGGGATACTTCGAATGCTCTTCCAGGAGAGTCGGCTGGAGGATAACCTCGCGTGGAGAAAGGGTTTGTCGAATTTGATCTGGATTCTTATCGCTGGCAATGATTGTTAGTTACATATATACATAGTTACCAAACCATGGCGTTCGCTTGGTGTGGATGTAGAATTCTCGGCATAGAAATGAGATTATTAGGTCGCTACTGCATTTGAGATGATTTTCATATAGCCGCTCTTAGTCCAACTCCAATTCTGTTGTAACGTAGTGAGGGTAGTGAATCCAGCTTGAAAAAACATGGATATCCATTTTCATAAACCTTATTCTCTACCCCTATTGTTCGGGCATGGTGGCAACGATCAGCATTCCCCTCACGACCCCCTCGCCCTCGTCCTCGTCCTCAAGTCCATAGATGCCATTGGGCGTCCCCAAAGAAATTGATACCGCCAACCCAGGGCCAACATAGATGGGCTTTTCTGTATCCCGCCCGCAGCAGAGGGCAGCGCAGCGACAGCCACATAAAATAAGTAAGAGGAGTATACTAGGGAATCACCAGAAGCCGTACAGGTAATGATCAGGGATATGCTCTATCCTCAAAATCAAATCTTGAGATCCATGAGCCTGTATAGTCCCTGGGAAAGTTGAGTGGCATAGAGTATGACTGAACTGTCCTGACCTTATTATATTCGGATGACACCCAATTGGGCCTTTATTCTGGGGGTGTGGGGGGGTGGGGGGGGGGAAGAGGGCTGGGGGTGTAAAAAAAAGTGAAAACATCACAAGCAGCATGATTGGAGGCTGTCACAGTTTTACTAAAGTATTTATTTAACAGGAACCAAATGTACTAGTAGTGAGTGGATCATGCATGGTTCTCAAAATCAAGACATTGATCAGATGCCAAAAACCATGTCATTGGTCTTTTTGGAAACGTGAATCTTATCATTTTATAGCCTCGAATGGCCTCACGTTCAACTTGTAACTTCCGTCAACACGAGCGCTTTGACGATGCACCCTTTTTGTTTCCTCCGCGATTGGATGCCTTGTAACAAATTTTGTTACAGCTGTTGGGAAGCACTTTTACGGTAGATGTTTTGGGTATCAAAACTCAATACGAGTTCAGCGAAGGGTGGTGCATCAAAAGAAGGTAACGAGAATTTTAAAGGAATAGAGACATGAACAGGTAACAACGAGAGACATTACCCGGATTACTGAAATCCATATATTCGTTAGGGGACCTCAACGAAACCAAAATAAAATAAACAGGAAGAAGAGAGAGGGAGAGACGGAGGTAGAATGAAATACAAGTGAAAAACCTCAAGAGGTTTCATCCAATAATCTCCTCCGTCTCGTCAATGATCTCCTCCACAATCTCCTCCACTACCATTCCCTCTGCCTCCGTCTCTTCCTTAGCCGCTGCATCCAGATCCTCCTCCTTCTCCAAGCCAAGCATCTCAATCTCCTCATCCAGCAGCTCCTTCTCCCGGCGTACCCAAGCAGTCCATTCCTTAAGGACTCTCTTGCGCATCTCGACAATAGCCGTGTTGGCAATGTCGACGGCGTACTTGTCCTCCTCTTCGAACTCTCGGGAGTACTCGCGCAGGTTCTTGCGGACCTGTTTCTGCTCCTCCTTGCTGAGGAAGGTCGGGGGACGCGGGCGCCAGACGAACTGCTTGAATTTCTCTGTTGGGTGTTCGGCGAGCGTGGTGCCGGCGAACGTGTGGATGTTGTACCCGTTTTCCATCTGTAGGTAAGCATCAGTTGGTATTGAACGTTATATTATATATATAGCTAACCAGCAACGAAGGGATGTAACTTACTGTGTGAGTCCAAGCACTGGCACTGCTGACAACGTAGCGGCCAGTCGGGTCCCAGTCGATGTCAGTGACACCGTAGTGATCGGAGGTTTTCATTAGTTGGAGATTCGCGGAAAGGTCCTTCTCGCTCTCCTGCTTCTCACCCTCGAAGTCCAGGTCCCAGAAATCAAGGTCGAAGTTCTGTTGCGAGTGGACAGTGGCTACAACCACGAACCGACCCTTGGGAGACCAATATATGCCGTTGCTCGTCTTCTTCTCGATGGTACGGATAAGTTTGAAATTTCCCGTACCGGTGCCCTTGACTTTCTCAGGGCAGAAGAACGAAACGGCTGTCTTGGGAGCAACCGCGGCGCCAGGGGTGGCTTCGCCGGTCGTGATGAGAACGAACCTATCGCCCTTGGGCTCCCAAGCGAAGTTTATCACGGTATCTTTGATAGAGTCAACCACCTCAACAGGGACGCCTTTCTCCTTGACACGGAAAATCTCGAGATTTGTAGCAAGAGACTTCTTGGACTTGGAGTGCCGGTCAACTTTGACGCAGACGTATGCACCCTGCGATTGCCAATGGAGTTTAACGTCGGAAACGTTGAATAGATTTCTTGTCCGGACAATTTCCTTGGAAGGGATGCTCATCAAACCGACTTTCGCGGGGTTGCTGCCGATTTCTGGGGTCCAGAAGGAGAATAGTTGTTCGTATTGTTTAATGCCGTCGCGTTGGGGTGCCGCGGGTGCCCATTCGAAATCAGTAACTCCTTCGATTTTAATAGATGTCTTATCTAGGAGGTTCATGCGTGGAAGCTCGTAGACAGAAATGGATTGACCTAGGAGCATTCGTGCAACGTATTTTTCATCTGAAGACCACTTGAAGGCAGGCCATTGGACCTTCTTCTTCACAGACTCTCCCTCTGGGCCAGCAGCCGCGGGAACGTCATGGTTGACAAATGATCGCAGGGGCTTGCCAGTTGTGATGTCCCAGATAATAAAATGTTTGCCGTCCTCTTCGTAGGAGAGAACCGGGTGAGGGCCTTCGATTTGAATCGGCCGTGCCGACCAGGTTGTCAAGTAACTTTCACCGGGGGAAAACTCAATAAGCTGAACGAATGGATGGGGGAATTGTTTTTGCTTGGTGAATTGGGGCCCTCCCCAAAGCTGCACGCCTTGTGGATGCACGGACGCAAGGAAAGTGCCTTGTGGAGACCATTGTACGAAAAGCTGGGTCCAGTGATCCCGGTCGACGACATTCTCCGGAGGGTCCTTTTTCATATTCCAGAACACACCAACCTTGTCGCCTCGGAACATTGCAAACTGGTCACGGGCATTGGGGTCGCCTAGCCACGACCGAAGGTGTTCCTTTTCTTGGAATGGCTCGATGGTCGGTGGTTTATATTCCTCATCAACACGGCCCTCACGTCCATACCGATCGATATCCGTAAGTTTATTAACAGCCAATGTGTGCTTTTTATCCAGGGGAGTGCCGTGAAGATGTTTCGTGGCCTCGAGAGCCTGTTCGGGTGACTCGTATTCAACAAATGCAAATCTGAAAATATACTCATGGAATAGTTTGGAATTAGTCTAAGAGTCCCCACTGCTTCATTGTATCGCTGGTGTGTGTTTCAATTTTGGTCTGGACGCACCCTTCTGACATCTTATTCTCGTTCATGGGCATAAAAATGGCATCTTCGCTCGTCCGGCCAACGGTGTTCAGCTTTTTCAGCAAGAATTTCACAAGCCGCGGTTTGCTCTCTTCGGGCACGATTGGCAGCCCATCGATAACCACAAAGGCATCCAAGCCCTCCTCCAGTCTAACTTCATATTGTGCTTTAAGGTCTGTTTTCAAAACATGATTAGCGGAGAGGAAGAGGTTTCTCCTATCAATGAAGAAGAATTGAAAACAGTAGTAAATAAAACAAGGCACCAGCCCTGGTCCGGGCTTAAGCATCGGTTGGGAACAAAAAACGCACCTGAAAAATCGATATCCAGCTCCTGCTCGTGGAGGTCCTGCTCTGAAAGAGTGTCGAAACTCGGTGCCATGGCGACAGAAAACAGTCAGACAGGCGTAACAGAAGAAGAATAGGAGAGCAGCAAGGCGATGAGCAGCGACAGCGAGTTTCCAACGATCAAGACTGCTCTTCTTCCCTTGTTGATTAGGGCAAAAGATGTGTGTGCAAGCGGACGCTATCCCCGATGGGGCATGGTTGGAGATCGGCACCATCACGTGCTTGTGCAGCTGACACATCGCTGACTCAGCCTTCTCCGCCTCCAGGTTCCCGGCTCCAGCTCCGACATTTTGAACATCGCAACTTCAAAGACATCAAACGTCAAACATCAGACATCATAGGCGCCGCCGGTGCGTCACGGTGTATCTCGTCCATCTCCAGAGCTTGCGGCATTCCCCATCGCTGTTAATTCACCCAACTTCAGGGTTTCCTGGATATAATCAACCTGCACGCTGGTCCTCTCCCTTGAGCTCTCCGTCCCCATGCTCCAGGCCTGGCCTAACTTATAGTTTGGCCCTATTTACCCGCCCTAGGCCTTCCCATAGCCAACCAAGGGCTTGGTACTATCCGCCCTGCCGCTGCCTCTGCTTCGTCGCTTGCTTCACTTTTTTTTTTTTTTTTTTTTAGAAGCGGGCTCATATTCACTGTCAATTCCTATCTCTGTTTCATCTGATCATACCGTGTCTGCTCTTTGGTTATCTTTCTCTTCTTTCTTTCATCCTCTATTTACCTCTATTTCTCATCTCCTCCTCACTTATTGCATATATTATATTTTGTATTCATCCGATATCTTCTTCCTCATTCTGCCAGCCACCCGTCCTTCGCCCACATTGGTCAACTTTCCTCCATACCGTTCTGCTCCCGAATACCCCGCCAACCCCAGCAAGCGCCAGCAAATCGCACTAACGCTTTCTGGTGCTACTTTCACCGCCGGCTTTTTGTTGCGACACCCAGTCAGGGCACCTGACCAGCTCATACATTTGTTTCACCCCATGCTCCAGCTCCGAGTGCACCGGCGTCATTTCTCCTAGCGAACATTTTCTCTACGCTTCAACGGGCTGGGAAGGTACAACGTATCAGGGTTTTCCAGAAACATGGAATGTGAGAGCTCCCGATATGTCTTTACTGTGTCAATGGAATATGGACATGATTTTATGACATCAAACCTGACATTTTCCCATCATTGCAGTGTCCGACGACGTTCAAGCGTCATATATCAAAATCATCGATTCTATCTTAGCAACCAGTGACCTGAACACTATCTCAGAAAAGCGCATACGGAGAGGATTGCAAGATGCCGTGGACTACGATATCACCCCTCAAAAGGTTGGCTATCATTCCTCGACTAAGCTCCGTTTTTACCCACATTCTTGCGGGGCTATTTTGTTGCTAATGCATTGTGGACACAGGCGGCGATCAAAGTCCTAATCATGCAGCGCTTCGATATCTTTGCGGAACAGAGTGAGAAGCAGGCAGAATCAACTCCGGCGGTCAATGGCCATTCGTCGAATGGGCAGCCCGACATTCCCACAATCGAGCCCATCTCCCCCGCCCTGTCAACCTCCCCGCAAAAACGCACGCCAGAGCCGGAAAGCGTCTCGGATTCCGGCGATAAATCCCCACCCAAGAAGAAGAGAAGGTCAAACCTGGTAGATGCCGACGCGATCTTTGCGGCCAAATTGCAAGCGGAGGAGAACCTGCGCGCGCGCCCTACCAGGGGCGCTAATTCGAGGAAGATTGCACCTGTCAAGAAAAAGAAGCCGGCTACGAAATCAAAGACATCAAAGAAAGTGAAAGCGGAGGATGATTCAGATCTAGATGCGCAGGACTCGGAATCCAAAAAGGAAGTAACGAGAACGGGTGGTTTTCATGTGAGTTGAAGGCGATCTTCCAAACTGCTATTGCAGCTGATATTGACTTTTGTTTCTAAGAAACCCCTTGCGTTATCTGCTCCTCTCTCTGTCCTCCTAGGCGGGGAAGTAACCGTGAGTATTTTTCTCTTCCAAATCGTTCCTTCAGCCACTTATGTTAACTCAATCGTCCCAATCTCCCTCCAGCTTTCCCGACCCCAAGCCGTGAAGAAAGTGTGGCAATATATCCGCGAAAACAACCTCCAAGATCCCGCTGATCGCCGGCAAATCCGATGCGACGATCTCATGCGAGCCGTCTTTAAACAGGACCGAATACACATGTTCACAATGACCAAGATACTCAACCACAACCTCTACAACCTTGACGAGTGAGGACAGAATATAGAGAAGAAATTATTCGAAAACTAACGTAGCCCCACGAACCAGAAGAAGAAATTCCCTTTTTCTTTTATCGGTAATCCATCATCGCAATCATCATCTTGATCCGGCGTTTAAATGACGGACAAGGGAGGGATATTTACACCGCGTATTCTTGTTTCGTTTTCTTTTGTAATCCGCCATCGGATTGCAAATTGTGCTATAATGCCTGGAAGATCTAATATCTTTTCATCGTCTTTCCTTTTTTTTCCCTTTGTTTTCTTCGCTTCTCCATTCTAGCATTAAACATCTATCATGCCATATTTTTGCTTGCGTCGCCCGCCGAACCTGAAACCCACAGAAGAAAAATGCAAACCTCAGAACAGGTCATCTCTCTCCCATGATATTATCACTCGAACCACTGATTATTTCCCAATTCCCAAAGCCAGGGCGACCAATCCAGCTATTTTCATGCATGCTTCCCTCTCTCCATTTACATTTTCCTTTTATCTTTAAAACATTATTATCATATTTTCCATATTTTGCTCCAGCGGGTGGAGTTGGTTGGTGGGATCCTCCCTTGTGTATGTTTGTGCGTGCCAAATTGATATGAATCTGTTAATTCACATGTTACTTATTCCGCGCGCCTTGATATATATTCGCGATTATCTTATGCTTCGATCCAAATTTTGTCTTTTTTCTCCTTTCGTTCTTTTGGCTGCACTATGTTCTCCCTTCGGAGATTTCCAATATTGAGTTTTCTTGCTTCTCTTTTTTCCTTCTGCTGCTGCTCCTCATGATATTCCCGAGATATTCGCAGCTCGATTCCTTATTTGTGCCATTGGCTTCACTGTAACTCCCTTTTTAGCCAGGCGATTAATTATATTTTGATAGTCTAAATACGTCGACTAACTTCCGTAACTACCATAGAATAACAAAGGAATTCTTCGAGCCAGAAAAGAAAAAAAAAGAGATTTCGTTTCATTTTCCTTTTAACACTTACCGTTCCGGATGGCTAATGCTTCTAGCCGTCTTTCACTTTCACTTTCACTTTCTTTTTATTCATGTTTTCTGTGCATCAACCTTGTCGGATACCGTACATCGTGTAACAACGTTTCTTCAATATTTTTGCTTCAGTATTTCATTTACATTCTTCCTTTTCTCCAGGAAGGGGCCCCGGGGGCAAAAGAAGGACAGGAATAAAGAAAGGGCAAAAAAAAGAACGGGGGGAAAGCTGCGTGAATGATCCATCAGTTTTATCTGAATTTCCGGATATACACCTTACATACATGGCGTAATAATAAATTAAACGAAGGGATGGAAACTTGCTGGAAATACCCCTCCCCCCAGCACGACAATGCTACATCCTGTTAGGAAGTATGTTAGGTAGTTATATGCTAGTATAAATGCATTCCCCATATCATTCCAACTCTTTAGTAATGAGGGAAAGCCCATAAAATGCATCTGACATTGATCCGGGATATGTATCTATCTCCCTCCGCCCTTTTCACAAGCGATTACCTGCTGCTTAACGCCAGAGGGGTGTCAAGCACTGCTACAACTCTTTGTTTGTTTCTATATGATACCCAACTCCCAAGAGTAGTATGTATAGAGCCGGGCCTGATAACAGCGTTTGCGGAAACCGCCGCCTGGGTTCATTTTTCTTTTCTCTTTTTCGGAATCTTCCCCCTCATTCAAGCGGCACGGGTCTTAAATATCACAGTGGCATCGTTTCACAATTTGTCGAAGAGAACTCATGGGTAGAAACCGAGTCAACAAGTTGCTTCAATAAATAGCGTCGGTCAGCTTCGAATATAAACACATCAAGCTATACATCCATCCAAATTATTGCGACGCATATTGGGACTCCCGTCTTCTATATCTCGTTTGAGCAGGCATCAAAAATATTTCGAATATTCGTTTCACTTCGCCGGGACGCTTTCATTCAGAACCTTTTCTATCACGCCTCTTCAGCCATCGATCTCTATTTTGAATACGTTGGATACCTTCACATATCTCGACATAGATATTCTAGGTAAGATTCCTAGATCCATTTTGGTTAGACAGGAGTCACAGGACTACTTAGTGATAGTAGTGCGTAGCTGTGATTTGTGATTTTATACATGAAAATTAACAATACTGGTGGACAGGATAATCGTAAAGATGTGCGAAAATACCTTCACGGAGTACGACGACTGCAAACATTGGGTCAACCAGGTCAAACTTTGTGATAAATTCGAGAAGGGAGAGCGTAACAAGCATTGCTCAAACGTGCCGCCGGCTACGAATCAGGACAAAAAGCCTGGATCCGACTGCCCGAAGTGCCACAAGCGGGTCCCAGACCACCTGGACTGGACGGTCGGTCATAAGACTGGAGCAGCAAATATCATTGATTAATTCGGGAGAAGGGGTCTATCAGGCATCAAACGAAATCGGCGATCGCCAATTATATCACCCAATACTGAGTCTCGTTTGTGCTCTTCTTTCATTGGAAATCGTTCTGCCGGAATTTCATCTCTGTGGCTTCTGGTTCTTTCTTTTCTGTCGTCTGCCTGGCTGCCAACTGTACCGTCCTATCCATGCTATCCTTCAATATCACAAAGCCCTTGAATTGTACTTCGTGCTGTAGGTTAACTAGCTATCAGCAATGATGAATAAGTGAGGAACAGCTGAGACAGAGCAATAGAGAATTATATTGAGCCATCGTTTACAGTGGTTATGATGTGGTTCTACCACATAAAAGAGTGCATCTGACTTTTCAGAAGTAAAGAAAATCAAAGAACCTGAGGATGAAAGTAGAGTGAGGCTTCAGTTTATGGCCCAAGAACATGAGGTATCAGCTCTGTGCAGAGGGTAAGAAGTAAAGATACTCACTATCTTTACGAGTAGTAAGCTAGTTAAAAACATCCATGTTTGTTTCAAGTGCAAACCTTCTATACAGCAAGCTCCACACTCTTGGCCGGCGCTAGGCGTCGTTTCTTGCAGCCTCCGGACCAACGTGGATCTAGTGATAGTGGACACTTAACCCTAAGTATGTACAGATAATATGGAGAACAATTATAAGAGGAAGGGCTTCCCTAACAACTTTCGGCTCCTGTAAGCTATCCCGTGTGATAAGAGTGGCCTCAGGCTTAATCCGTCTCCGAAAATGGAGATAGAAATCCACAGGCTCCTTGTGAAATTGTACTGTGCATATGATTTTCACCAGACTGTTTATTAGGTGAGGCAATTGGATGGGGAATTTCCCCACGCTGGCACTTCCAGATTTGCTCACCAGGATGTTCGCTCTTGGCTACTTGCAAGTGCGGTGAGAATAGGCGTGTCCAGCTTGTCTGCCACAAGGCCAGCACTGTGCATTGTTCGAAGGAATGGCGTACAGGAGCCGTTTAAAGAGCGAGCATCATTCATTCTTTTCTTTTCTTTTCTTTTTCATTACAGCGGTTCACGTTGCGCTCTTTGAAGATAAGCTTTTGAGCTTTGTTGTCCCAAGACAACGAAACAGCAGTGGACAATCAGGAGAGAGAGAGAGAGGGAGCATGGATCGGCATCCTTCTTCGTTTGAATTGACACGCTGGGAGCGGACTTGGGATTTCGGTTCATCGTCAAACGATGCTTATCACCGCGCGGCCTCCGGTGCCGGTGACATAGACAATAGCATGGTAAGAGTGTGCATTATCCAAGGGTAGATATAGTCGCAAAAGGGTGGGGTTGGATGGCGTAGTGGTAACCACTGTTCATGGAATGCTTTCTCAAGTAGGCGCCTGGTGTTGGGCCACCACTGCTGACACAAGGAGATAGTGGATTCGAATTCCACCCTCTTCAAAAAGGATATTATCACATTTTGATGAATATTGAGGGTACCCTTTCCTATCTCATTTCTATTGGCAACTGCCGCTGCAGGGTGGAGCAATGTTCAACACTATGAACAACAACAACAACAACCGCCCGGGCGACTGATTCTTCATGCCTCGATCGGCGCGCATTAGGTCATACAGAAGATCCGCAATGCTTGAGTGGGGTTGGGATGGCAGACGTCAATGGGTGGATTGGGCGGTTCTTTTCGAATGGGCATTTGAATTGCTCATTGAAAGCCACGGGAGAATCAAGTATGTCCCAATCCAAAAGCAGACGACATGATCAACCCCCGACAGAATGGGTGGGATTTGAGCATCCTTCTCCTCTGAAGAATGGGATTGTTCATTTACGGATGGATGCATGCAGAATGAGGAAGATCATTTTTCCTCAGTCGCCGTTTCGCCACGTCAAAACCTTATGCACAACCCATGCAAGCTCACAGTTGAAAGCAACTCAGTGTACGGAGTATGTAGGAAATAAACCAAAGGCCCCCAGCCGAACTTCCACAGATTCCGAAGGCGCAATTTTAGGGATACTGTTTTCTTTCGAGACTAACTCTCTGCGAGACGTGCCCTCGCTTCTCGATCAAAACTTCGTCTTGTATTCCATGCGATACTCTGACAGGGGAAGTACGAGGAGAGAGACGAAAAGGAAGAAGATAGGAAGAATATGTGACATGCTGATACAGATTGGCCGGAAGATAGCCAGTCGAAACCTTCCGGGCGAAGATCAAATCCCTTGACCATTCATGATATGCGCCCTTGGTGGTCGCGATGAGAATTTTTGGGAGATCCTCCTCTTGAGATCAACAACCTTTGACATGCTCCAGTCAGTAAGTTAAGGAGTCGAGCGAAGCTTTCAGCCAGCCAGGCTTCACCGTGTTCCTGGGACCCAAACCCCTAGGCTTGTTCCTATCGTGCGCCGGCTCGCAGCTAAAACGGCACTATTTTTCGTAAAACCCTAAAGCCAACTGCTGTTTTACCTTTAGTCCTGGTAAGCGGACAAAACGGAGGCCATATGACAGCTGGCTTCCTGCCAGTCACGAACTGAGGAACCCCTTATTATTGGATTGAAGATAACTTTAGCTACGGGACGTCATCCATTTTCCCGCCGCTACTTTGTTTACTTTCTTAAAGTTCTGTTGGGCACCTTTTGCCTGCAACAGCACAGATGTTTTGCAAATGTTGCAAATACATCCTGCAGAGAAGGATAAAACTCAAAACGTGTAACTACAAGTTGGTAGTCGCACATGAGAAGTCATAATTAACGCCCTGTTGAGTCACGGCGGTGAGAAGGTTGAAAGATATTTCGGGAAATCCCTTCTGGCGCCTTGAAAAGGCAGAGAGACCCGTTTTGATTAACCTCAGGATGCCAACCTGATCTAAAGTCAGTGCGTTGAGTGAGAGCAGCGAAAATTCTCCGTCCTGAATTCAGCCGAGGGTTCGTCGATTCTTCCGTCTGGAATTGATTGGATGTGCGCTGACTAGCTCGGGGGGCTCCAGATGTCCAATAGTGCAGGATTGGCGATAACCATGGTGGACCAACCTCCCAATCAACTGCAATCGATCCCATCTTGACTCTCCACCATCAAGCCCACGCCGCCCACAGGCAAATGATTTCCCAGCTGCAGCAGTGGTTCGATGCTGATTTGCGGATGGAATTATTTCTCGTCGTTCCTGTCATACGAGTCATCGTTGGAAGTCTGCGAATCCCACAACACAGGCTTGGGCCTCCAGGCAATTAAGCTTTGTCGATGAAAGCAAAAGCAAAAGCCCAAAATTATGAAAAATATGACTGCTCATATTCTTATTCGTCCCTTCGGGCGCCCCACTGGATTATCCATGCAGAGGCGGAGGACCGAAAGTGCCCGCCTCTTTCGAAGGGAGGCCAAAGGGCTGGTTTTTCAACGGCCTGCCAGAGAGACCCTGAATGTTTTCTCAAAGGAAAACCTGTACATATTGTCCAAGAGCTCCCTCCTTGATCGCAGTATCGCAAAAGCCACTTATTGTTTTAGATTAAGGGCTTAATTCAGCCCATTGCTATAGTGGGAATGTGGTTATATTTTCATGGTATAACCATTCCTCCCATCAAGTGGTGAGACCATTCTTGGACTTCCTGAAGCTTCCTCACAAGGCGCGGGCACAATGGCAGACTTTCTGGTCAGTTTTATTTTCCGTTTAGAGAGACGACGATTAAGGGTGCTGGACATTTTGTAGAAGCTGATAACTGCCTTCAGAATCCAAACAATGATCCAAACATTGGGTCCTCTCGCGGGGACAACCAGTCAACTGTAGACTCAACACTTAGCTCGCTCGGCGTGGATGTCTCTACTTCTGCGACGGCCCTGTTGACAACTTTTGTTCCTGCGTTTATTCTCTTTACCCTTTGGACTCTGGTTTTTATTATCTGCCGACGAAGTCAACAGCGGTTCTACGCTCCCAGATCTTACCTGGGAAATATACATGAACAGTAAGTATCCTTACCTCTTTCAAGCTACTACAAATTTTTATTCAAAGGCCAGCCTCATAACCTACCTACCATCAGTGAGCGGAGCCCGGAACTACCTTCGGGTTGGATTAATTGGATCGGTGCCTTCTTTAACCTGTCCGACACCTATGTGCTTCAGCATTCTTCTCTGGATGGATACTTCTTCCTACGGTTCCTCCGGCTTATGTCGGTAACATGTTTTGTGGGATGTCTTGTGGTTTGGCCGATTTTATTCCCTATTCATGCCACGGGGGGTGCCGGGAATACTCAGCTTGATGCACTGAGTTTCAGCAATGTGACAGATCCCAATCGATATTATGCTCATGTCCTCGTCGCCTGGATGTTCTTTAGTGAGCCTCCTTGTCCCAAAAAGAAAATTTTTGATATATGGGGCTAAACAAGTTATCGCAGGTTTCATATTTTACATGGTAACCCGAGAAGGCATGTTCTATGCTACGCTTCGACAAGCATACTTTCTCTCGCCTCTATATGCCAGCCGTATTTCGTCGAGGACTGTCTTATTCATGGCGGTCCCTAAGGCCCTTCTCACTGGGTCTAAGATGACGAAGGTTTTTGGAAAGTCTATCCGGCGGATCTGGATTACCACAGACTGCAAAAAGCTGGACGAGCTAGTGCAGAGGAGGGACAAATTGGCGTTGCGGCTTGAGCGCCTAGAGACAGATCTAATCAAATCTGCAAACCTGGCAAGATCTAAAGCGATGAAAAGGCAGAAGAATGATGAAGAATGTGCAGCTGATGACGGAGCCCGCCCCGAAACCACAGGCTGCGATTTTGATTCCGTCCCTTGGGCCAAGAAAGTGAAACGACCCACACATCGTCTTCGCTATTTAACAGGCAAAAAGGTTGATTCCATTGAATGGTTGCGGTCCGAGCTTGAGAAAGTGCTTCCGGAAGTCGAGAAACTACAGAAGAAACATCGAGATGGGGGTGCAAAGCCAATTCCTGCTGTCTTTATCGAATTCGATTCGCAAGCATCTGCGCAGACTGCATATCAAATGCTGTCCCACCACCAGCCATTCCAAATGACACCCCGTTATATCGGAATTACGCCTCAACAAATTATCTGGCCTGCCTTGCAATATAGCTGGTGGTCCAGAATTGTGCGGAAATTCCTGGCCCAAGCGGCTATTACTGCCCTGATAATATTCTGGTCGATTCCTTCCGCCTTTGTCGGAATGATATCGAATGTGGCATATCTGAGCAATCTCCTCCCATTCCTTAGCTTTATCAATAAACTCCCCCAAGTGATTCAGGGCGTTATCAGTGGGTTGCTTCCCGCCGTAGGACTTGCTTTGCTTATGTCACTGGTACCCGTTTTGCTCAGATGTAAGTTTATTGTTCAACCTCCAACCCGATAGAGGATGACGGCTAACGCTTATTTGCCTGCAGTTCTGGCACGACAAACAGGACTTCCAACCACCGTCCACGTCGAATTGTTTACGCAGAACGCCCACTTTTGCTTCCAGGTCGTGCAGGTGTTCCTTGTAACGACGCTAACCTCCGCAGCCTCAGCCGCAACAAGCCAAATTATCAAGGATCCCATGTCGGTGAAAGATTTACTCGCAAAGAATCTTCCAAAAGCTTCAAATTTCTATATTTCATATTTCCTTCTTCAAGGTCTAGTCTTGAGTGCTGGTGCTGTGGTGCAAGTGGTGGGATTCTTGATTTTCAAAATATTCGTTGCATTTTTTGACACCACACCGCGCAAACTGTATGAACGATGGACATCAATGAACGGATTGCGTTGGGCTACGGTTTTCCCAGTTTTCACAAATATGGTCGTGATAGGTAAGTGCATTCAAGTTTTTTACCGATCAACCTCGTTATTATCACTGAACCCGGGCGTCTATTCAATATCTAACCAATTATAGCAATTACCTACTCTTGCATCGCACCTCTTATTCTCGGGTTCTCCTCATTCGGCTTGTACCTAGTCTACCAAGCCTACCGCTACAATTTACTTTTCGTCTACGACTCTGATGTTGACACCAAGGGCCTAATCTACCCGCGTGCACTTCAACAAGTATTAACAGGCGTATACCTCTCCTCCGTCTGTATGATTGGCTTATTCGCCATTAAGGGTGCCATAGGACCGGTAATCATGATGGTCCTCTTCATCATATTGATGATTCTAGCGCATATATCCTTGAACGACGCACTGCGCCCACTCCTGTCCGCACTTCCCCGGACGCTCGAACAAGCTGAAAGGCTGGGCGATGGTGATGATGACGACAGCAACAAAGACATGGGTGAGCAGGACGACAGCGCAAGCAGCTGCCAAGACGATGCAACAAGCGAGAAATCACCCATCAGCCCAGCAAGCGGCAGCAACGAAATTCCCAGCCCAATCTCCACCTCCTCCAAACTCAAGCGCGCAACCCAGACAACGATAACACTAGCCGAAATCACGCGAGCAGGCACGTCGACCGAAATTCCGGCCTTCCCACATCGAAAACCCAGTGCTCTCCAAACAATTCTGCGCAAATTCTCCTACTTCATTCACTCCATAGTACAGCCACATATCTACATCGATTACTCCACGCTACGTAAGCGGATCCGGCAGGGCACGCCAATCGAGTACTCAGACGAGGTGGCGGACAATGCATATTACCCGCCCTCAGTGTGGAGTCCGACGCCGCTGCTGTGGGTACCGCGCGATGCGGGAGGGATTAGCCGTCGCGAAGTGGAGTTGACGAGCCGTGTGACGCCGATGACGGATGAGGAGGCTCATTTGGACGAAAGAAATAAGGTAAAGTGGGATGAGGTGAAGAGTCAGCCTCCCATATGGCAGGAGAAGGTATTTTATTAAATTCCATTAATCTACAGGTATTGAAAAATTTGTACGGGAAGGAGTACGGGACTAGCCTTTCACTTTTACTTTTTTTTTTTTTTCTTTTTTTTCCCTATTTATATATATACCATGGGGGAGTAAGTGATTAGGGTTATTGGTGTGAGATTTGCTGAGCTTATTGGCTGGATATCTGGGAAGTTGATCTTTTTATGTATAAACCCATAAATCGTAATCGGATTTAGAACTTACACTTTCCAATATGAATGACTTCGGCCGTCAAGAGAAACAACCCAAGAATTATCTCACCTTACCACATAAAAGGTCGACCTGGCCTCTCTTGCTGCATTCTACTGGAATATTTCCGAGTATTAATGATCTGGATGTTGGCGACGTCCGAATCTCAGGTTGCTTACGCCTTGGTGAACCCGCAGAGTAGAGTAATATATCTCCGAAACCCTTGAATCGATTAGTTTCCACCCCTGCGAGCTGAGCTAAGAACCCTTGTCAGAGAAGGGACAAGAATGAAGATCCCAGCCATGAAATCCTGTGCAAGCTATGGCATGTATCAGATTACCCCGCCTCTGGGACATTGTATAAAAGGTCATTCGGGAGAAGATATTTGAGATAATAGTCTTCTTCTTCTTAAACATTTACCAAGCCAATACATAGTTACCTACGGGACCTCACCTCACCCTCTCCTCTGCCCCAGATCAACAGCATCACGACCAACAGCAGGCGCAGCCATGGCATCCCCATCCAAGCGTCTCGAAACGGCCAAAAAATTCGTCGCCAACTTCAGCACGCTTTCCACAGAAACGCTGGAAGCCATCCTGGCAGAGAACTTGGTCTATCAGTTCGCGCCAGCGTCAATGAATCCACCCGGCCCATTCGACAAAAAGGGCTTAATCCAACACATTTCCGGCATCCATGCCATCCTGAGCGGTATCCCAGTAACAGCCAAAGAGTACGTTGAGAGTGAGAGCAGTAATCAAGTCACTGTGTGGGCGACAAGCCGGGCGATATTCCGCGAGGAGTTGAAGGTTGAGGGGCTATCTGAGGCGGGGTGGGCATTAGAAGGGGAATTGGTGTTTCTGTTGTGGATGGACGAGACGGGGGAAAAGCTCGTGAAGATTGTGGAGTTTTTGGACAGTCAGAAAATGGTGAGGTTGCTAGAGCTGGTACAGAGCGCGAAAGAGAATAAAGCGAAGAATCATTAGTGAGTGAGTGGGGGTTGAGCTGGGTTGGTTGGTTGATCGCGCGGAAATCATGTTTTTGTGACTCTTTTACTTGGCGTAACGCCGCGCTGCATCATAGACAGGACACCCCAATGACTCAGATATCCGATCTCTCGATATCAAGCGGGCAGCCATCTGTTCCGCTGTGTTCTCAACTTGAAGCGCTGGTGTTGCTGATGGCTGATGGCTGATGGCTGGGGTTGTGGAGGCTGAGAGGATGGATGAGTAATAACTGTGACGTTGGTACTGGAATACGGTAATTTACACAGTCATGGCCAGAACTCTTACGTCTCTTCTGTATTATTACACAATCCATCCTCCTGTTCAAGATTTTCTCTTCAACAACCGCAAACCTCCCACCTGTATATATATATATATATAGCCCACACCATTCTGCTCTCCGCCTGCTGTAGCGTTAATTTCCTTCCCGCTCCGGTTCTGATTGCTCTAATTCGGATTCTGTGGCCGGTGTCCCTTTTTCATTATCGAGAGCCACAAACCACCAAAGTGTTCCCCGCAAACAAGTGCCTGCAGAAATTCCCCTCATTTCCAAGTGAATTGAACAACAATCTCGATTACTAAATATGGCTGAGATATCCCGTAATACTCCCCATACTTCTCCTCCACAACGAGACCAGAACCCTACCAGAGGCAATCGGAGACAACGTGGCGGCGCATCAGCCAACGTGCGTACAGATACCCATCAGCGCCGCGAAAAGAGCGGCGGCAGAGGCGGCAGAGGCGGAGGAGGCAGAGGTTCGCGGGGTGCACGAGAGGGGGCACCGGATGGAAGAAGGCAAACAAGACCACAATCAGAAAGTCACTCTACGATTCGGTCGGGCCAATTCACAGATGGGGACTACGGCGAACCACCCGGCTCAACCCCTCGGAGTGGAGGCACCTCCGGTGATCGCCTGGCCGGAGATGCCAAACGTACTGAGGGCGAGGGCGCGGCTGTGACTGCAGCTGCCGCGATGGATGAGGAGGCGGATACCGGCGAAGTGTGCTTTATCTGTGCGTCGAGTATCGACCATACTGCCGTTGCGCCTTGTAACCATCGGACATGCCATATTTGTGCGTTGCGATTGAGGGCCCTGTATAAAACTAAGGCTTGCGCGCACTGTCGGGTATGTCTTTTCGTCATTCAATTTCCTCTGTCTTTGAGAATCAATTGCGAAAATTAGGGAATGCCGAGTGCTAACGTACAGCTGCTTCCATCTGTTACGTCACATGTTGAATAGACTGAGTGGCCGTTCGTAATTTTTACCGATGATCTGGTAAAGAAATTCGAAGATTTCAGAGACAATGACTTCATCCGTACGGACGACAACTTGGGAATTAAATATGAAACAAACGATATTTTTGAAGACACGGTTTTGCTCCTGAGGTATAACTGCCCGGATACCGAGTGCGATGTCGCATGTCTGGGATGGCCAGACCTACATCGCCATGTAAAGAGCCAGCATCACAAGGTTATGTGGTATGCACAGGTTTCACTCTGCTCGATTGGTTACCTTTCAATGATTTTAATGTCGTTGCTAACGGGAAAATAGTGATTTATGTACTCGAAATAAGAAGGTGTTTACTCATGAACATGAGCTCTTTTCGATGACCCAACTGCGGAAACATGAGAAATACGGAGACGATAACCCTGGCGCAATTGATCAAAGCGGTTTCAAAGGTCATCCAGAGTGCGGATTTTGCCGACAGAGGTTCTATGGGGATGATGAACTTTACACGCACTGTCGAGATAAGCATGAGCGATGCCATATCTGTGACCGGCGCAATGGATCCCGGCAGCACCAGTATTATATCAACTACAATTCCCTCGAGGACCATTTCAACAAGGATCACTTCCTCTGCCTTGACAAGGAGTGCTTGGAGAAGAAGTTTATAGTCTTTGAATCACAATTGGATTTAAAAGCCCACCAATTAGAGTGCCATCCAGCCGGGCTCTCCAAGGATGCAAGGAGAGATGCAAGAACAGTTGATTTATCCACTTTCGACTATAGAACTCCCTACCAACCACAGCGGGGTGGAAGAGAGGGAAGAGGTGCAGGAAGAGGACGTGATCCTAATGCAGAAACTCTCCCTGTATCCAGCGCGCAACCTTTGAGACGGGACGAGCTGGCTTACCAAAGACAAATCGCCATCCAAAGCGCTCAATCTGTCACTAGCAGGACATTCGGCGGCCAACTCACACCCAGCGGGTCTCAGACAGTTCGCGTGCCACCTCAATCAGCTGCTCCCCCTCCCTCCTCCACCCCAGCGACTCTTCTTCCCGCTTTCGAAGCGCTAGACCTTGGCCGTCCCAATGTGACACCCTCTACTCCCCAGGAACAAGCCCGCAAAATTGCACATGGCGCTGTGATGGCCCGTGCGACATCTCTCCTGCGCAATGACTCACTCAAAGTATCCGAATTCCGCAACAAAGTGTCTTCCTACCGCACTGGTGCTATCAACGCCCCCTACCTGATAGAATCCTTCTTCTCACTTTTCGACGCTTCATCTAGCGAACTAGGCACTCTAATAAAGGAGCTTGCCGAACTCTACGACGACAACTCGAAACGCACTGCCCTTCTCAAAGCTTGGAATGACTGGCGCGCCATAAATGAAGACTACCCCGCCCTACCCGGGCCCAACGGGGTGCTATCAAATACCAGTCCAAGTACCAGCGGCGGTGGAAAACGCGTGCTACGCCTAAAGTCGTCGACGGCGCAATCCTCGCGCTCGGCTGTCGGGCGCAGCGGAAGCCTCTTAGGAACATCAAACGGCATCAGCACCAGCAGTAATCCATTTCCGCCCCTTGGTGGACCCACTGGCGGTAGGAACGCACGAACATCAGCATCACCTTGGTCGACTGTAACCCCTCCATCTCGTTCAGCAGGGAGTTCACCGGCCCCTTCCCGCCCGTCTCTATCAAGTGGTCCCAAATCTGCCACGACCGCAGCTCCCTTCACACGAGGCACTAACGCGGACGCCTTTCCAGCGCTCCCTGCAGCTCCGAAACCCAACACCCTCATGGCGGGACTGACGCGTGGTACGGTTCGATGGGGCGGTACATCGTCAGGCAATGCGGCACCTTCTCCATGGGGCAGGGGAGGGGTTAATCCTACTCCTGCGGAGGCTGTAAGTGAAGGAGAAACGGGTGATGGTGGGGAAGGAGGTGGCAAGAAGGGAAAAGGGAAGAAAGGGAAGCAGGTGCTATATCATTTTGGGTAGGAGAATGAGCTCTGGTATGCACAACGGCGTGGTGAGATGTGGGGGACAACAATATTCTTCCCGTTGATCGCTTCCAAGCTTGATTTTGCTTCGGAATTTATATAGCACCTGGGGATTGTCCATCTCCGGTCGATCTTTACATAATCGGAAAAACAATTCTTGATCTGTATCTTTTATTTGGCTGGCGAAGAGAATGACAATGTGCCTGTGCGTGTACGGGCTGCATGTTTTATTCATCCCTCCGTAATGTTGCACCAATCCAATATAAGCTGAAGTTCTGTGGAGGATCTCAACTCTACTACGGTTCAATACCTTATTTTTTAAATACACAGATGGAGAATACATCCCAGCACAAGTAAACAAAAATGAGCTGAGGCAGCCATTTGACTTTTAGAGTCCCTGAGGATCGATGGCGAGATACTGTTGCCGCCTTCCACCTCCATCCTTAAGGAATAACTGTTTGAAAGGAGACAAAAACACAATTACCTCTGAACTCGTAGCCGCGCTTTTCTCAATGACAGGCAATATGCTACTTAAACCAAGGTGAGTAGCAGCCATTGTAAGTTTCATTTATTTACCGCAATCATGCCATCATCGCAAGTAGACTTGTTTTTAACCCGCGCTCAAACAGAGATGAAAAAAAAATGTGTTGAGCCACCCCCGGCCAGCAGGAGAGGGATGGTCCTCTCTGTGCCGCGGTTCATTTCGTTCGCCTCCACTTGTATCACTATTTTGGGCGGATATAATGTCAATAGGCCCCCGTAGCGTGAACGAATGTTTCTGTGTCCCAATGAAATAGGGCAATGGCAATGTACGCGGCTGAGAGCCGGGGAGTGGATGGGTTATCACTGATAGAAGTAGAGGTGAAGATATTATATAGCTATTATGCATATACATGCTGATCAACGGCAATGTATAAGTGGGAATTGAATCGACATGTTACCACACATACCATTTTGATTATCGTAGAAATAAACAGCTAATTGAACGTAAATGAATAGGGTTTATTGGGCCGCTAAAATATAAATATAATGAATGCGTATATCTCGTAATTTTAGGACAAATTAACGTGTATATGCACGGGGGCTTCTTCAATACCTGATAATTGTAAGGGTGATAGAAAATTAATAAATGGAGAGTATAATCTCATAAAGACATGTTAAATCACACTATTAGAAATGGAGGGATCTTCCACACTCTTCAAGCATAAATCCTTGATAATTTTATAAAAGATGACAGTGCTAGTTCCTCGGAGGCAGCGGAGTATCATTCCATGACGGATGGAGACCATGGAATTGAAGGAGATTTCTCTAGTTGTGATGAAAAATGGGACGGTCGGGCAGATGGGGTCGTAACATTAGTAATGGGCTTAGATTCTGTTGGAAGAATCGCTTCGGGATCAAGGTCAAAAGACACTGACGGTTGTATACTCCGACTTTCATCCACATCCATAAGATCATCATCTGCCATGTCAACTTCCGCATCGAGGGCTACCATTCGCAACGTGAATTCATACTGTAATTTCTTCAGCCAGATTCTGAGTGGCTCACCATTTAACGCCCCATCTTTAGCTTGCAGCAGTTGCTCTTTAAGATCTAGAATGAGCTTTCTCCGTTTCGCAATGGCGAGGGTTTTCGAGCGTTTCCGTTGATTTTCGATTTTCAAACTCAGTGCTTCTGAAACCTCTTGAGCCTTGTGCAGCATGGGCTGGGGGAACGGGAGAAGTTTCGCGAGGAAGAGACCATAGTGTTTGTCCTTTACAAATCCGTCCGAGATTTTATAAAGCATTGTCATTTTTGAAGTAGACAGCGACATCTCGACGGCAAGGTGCAGATTGACAACACCATTCCTCTCTGACATGATCTTGGCCAGATCATGGAAATGGGTAGTGAACCACACTAGCGCGTGGCTTTCGATAAGCGCTTCAGCGATCGCGATAGCAATGGCGAGACCGTCATTGGTGCTAGTACCGCGACCGAGTTCGTCGATAATAACCATGCTCTTTGGTTCTATATTGCGAAGAATGAAAGACATTTCACGCATCTCGGCGGAAAATGTAGAAACGTTGGCTTCGACATTGTCGTCTGTCGATACTCGTGCAAAAAGCTGATGCACTATTGGGAACGACGCATACTGTGCAGGAACAAAACAGCCGATCTGGGCCATGATAGTCATTAAAGCCAGAGATCGAATGTACGTGCTTTTGCCGCTCATATTGCAGCCGGTGATAATCTGAAACCGCGATTGTTGGGTGGCGTATGCATCATTGGGTACGTACTTGTCCGAATGTATCTTTTCGCGAATAGGGTGCCTACCAGCTTTGATTGCTAAGGTATCTGTGAGCTCTGGCCGAACATAATCCTGTATAGTTACAAGATGTGCGAAGGCTACAAGCACATCTAGCATGGCGATACTTTCGCTTACACGAAAAAGCCCGGCTATTTGTGATCGGATGTCCTCTATCAATTCTTGAATTGTTCGATCGCTCATATTGATCACCTCATTGTGAGAATCGGTAATTTTTTGGTTCAACTTAACAAGATCCAGAGTTTGGAACTCGATGTACGTTTTCCTCTTGAAGATATTAATGAAAACATCGGGTAGTGGATTGTTGTCCAGGATCGAAACAGATAAACGCAAATAATACTGTCGACCGGTTTCGAACCTCAAGTCAAGGGCCAAGTCGTATTCATCTAAATTTGAATTAGGTTGTGGTCACCAAAATTGGGGTTGCTATTTGTAAAATACCGCCTAATCGCGAAGCCAACTCAACAACATCGTTATTTGCTTCTTTGTATGTCTGTCTTGCAACGTCGAGAAGGGTGTTAATTCCAGCCTGCACAGATTAGTAGTATATCCTCATTGAAAGGTTTCAGAGGGGAGGGGAAGCTTGCTTTAACTGCATAGGTGCGCTGATTTCGCAAATCTAATGGCCGTGATTGATATGTGACATCTTCATTCAGTGTGAAATTGATCATCTCTGCGATCGTATTGTACTCTTGGGGCGCACACAGCTAGATCGCGTCAGCCTGCGAAACGAAAAAAATTGACAAAATAGAACGAACATTGCGGATTGCTAACAAAAGGGTGCTCTGGGCGCCCGATAACGCTTGATGTATAGGTTTAATCGCGTTAACGTAGGTTTTGAGCATGATGATGTTATTGATTGATTGCTCCGCATGCTGAAATGTTATTTTCGTCGGCATTACAATGAGCTAGAAATAATTAGTTTCGACAAAAAGCAACGCTATAACCACAGCAACTAACAGAGGTGAGGACTTTGTCGGAATCAACGAAAGACTTGAGAGCTGGAAACACTATGTTAGCACTGTACGCCGTCGGAAACTCTTGATCACAAACCCTGCCGAACAGAGTAAAACATTTCCTCCTTCATGCTAAGTTCCTCAACAGCGTTATACCTAGCTAGAAGCTTGGCCTGTTCTGTGGAGGGTTGCAGAACATTACTGCGGAGGAGCCTAGAGCCCATTGGGGTAAGAGTTTCGTTGAGTACTCCGAAAAGGCAATCCCGAGATTTAGAATTCTGGAGATTTTGGATCAATTCTAACGAGACGATTGTTGACAGGTCAATCAACATTGAACCCTCAGACGGTTCATATTTGATGCGAAGGGAATGGTGAGAAAAAGTTTTGGAGAACTCCGTCTCAATATAAGTGAGTGCCTTGAATGCTCATGTCAGAGCATGTTAGAAGAAACAGCAGTGAGTCAGACCAATCAGACACGTTTGAATACAGCAAACATACCGCAGCGAGGCAGCATGTCGCGAAATAGTTTCCTTCAAGAGACATCTTGATAGACTCAAGATCATCCCTAAACGCAAGCTGCTCGACATATTCATGGCCAGCGCTTTCCGCCCAGAACCGTCTATCAATGGAAGTAACGGTCAATTGAGGTAAATTCTCCTCCACGATGGAATAAAGCTTTGATCGTGGTTCTCTAGCAGTTTTCATAAAGAGAATTTCCGTTGGATCAAACACAGCCAATTTATGGATGGTTCGGGCGTAGGTTTGGCTGTCGCATATCTGGCACAAGACGGCCTCTGATGTGGAAAAATTGACAAAGGCCAGGCCAACAGTAGGAGATATTCCGCGGGATTCACTAATGGCACAAATAATTTCCTGAGAGGCAACACTTGTTCCCGCTGTTGTTGGCCTCGCTGTCCTAGGGTATCCAGAGCTTGACTGGTCTGTTGTAGGCCGTCGAGCAAAGACATTGCCGTGACTTGGGAAATATGAAGTATTGGTTGAGAAACGGGTTGAAGGCATCCTCAACAAATTGGGATCCCAGAGAGACGTGGTTGGACGCAGCTACAGGTCCATAACAGAATTGGCTCAGATATGGTCGCTATCACTGCCGCTCAATGTCTGGTGGGGATATACGTGACGAACATTTTTTACATTGTTTTGAATGTAGTCGTTAGATACAAAGAGGACGTTGTTGGAAGTTGAGGCTTGGAAAGGGGGAGGTGATATACTATGCCGTTTTCGTCTTAGTGTTAAATTACTTTTCATATCAGTGCTTAATCGCATCTTATCAAAATTATTTTTTTCGAAGCTCAATTTTGGAATATTTCGCCCAAGGCAGCTCACAACGACAATTTCAGTAATACTTAAAATCCTGCACTATGGCGACAGTGCTTCCTCCTCCCAGCAAGCGCCAGAAGCGGGAAACTGCGGAGAAAGCGCGGCTGCAGCAGGAAATCCAAACAATCCCTTCTAACCTAGGCAGTATTCGAGTACAATTCTTCGACCAGACAACGGGAAAAGCTACCGGGCCCCCAGTATCTGTTCCAATTGCAGACGCATCTGTTAGGAACCTTGAAACACTCGTGAACACGTTACAAGGGAATGTAGGTACGCTCATCTTCAGGGGAACGTCATATATAGGGAAACAAAGGGAGCTAATCCATCCCAATAAACAGGATGAAGACGAAAGAGTCCCTTATCGATTCGCATATAATCCAACAGGAGATAATGGAGAGGTTGTCGACATACTATCAGACCTCTATCATTCGCTCCTCAAACCAGGACTGAAAACGCCCGAGGATACTGTCCATCTCCACTATACCCCGCAGGCCGTCTTCCGAGTAAAAGCTGTATCGAGGTGTTCCGCGTCAATATCAGGACATGGAGAGGCAATTTTAGCGACAGCATTCTCCCCAGCTTCGTCATCACGCATGGTTACTGGAAGTGGGGACTCAACAGCGCGGATATGGGACTGCGATACGGGAACTCCACTACACACCTTGAAGGGACACAAAAGCTGGGTTCTCGCCGTCAGTTGGTCGCCGAACGAGCAGATCATAGCGACAGGGAGCATGGATAACACCGTCCGGCTGTGGAATCCGAAAACAGGTGAAGCTCTTGGTGGACCACTAAAGGGACATACGAAATGGATTATGAGCCTAGCATGGGAGCCGTACCATTTACAAAGGCCGGGGCTTCCAAGACTAGCATCCGCCTCCAAAGACAGCACTGTGAGAATTTGGGATGTGGTGTCGAAGCGTATCGACACGGTGCTCACTGGGCATAAGGGGTCCGTCACCTGTGTTCGATGGGGCGGGGTTGGCCGCATATACACCTCGTCCCATGATAAAACAATTAAAATTTGGAATCCGGTAGACGGCAGCTTGCTCCAGACGCTCTCATCGCACTCACACCGCGTGAACCATCTAGCGTTATCTACAGACTTTGTCCTCCGAACTTGCTTTTTCGAACACAACGAAAAGGTTCCCGAGACTGACGAGGCTAAAATCGCAACCGCCAAGCGTCGGTTTGAAAAAGCAGCAACGGTAAATAATAAAATTACTGAACGACTTGTCTCCGCCAGTGATGATTTTACAATGTTTCTATGGGACCCCGCGACGTCGAATAAGCCCGTTGCACGCCTGTTAGGCCACCAGAAAGAAGTAAATCATGTCACATTTTCTCCAGATGGGGCGTACATTGCCTCTGCCAGCTTTGATAACCATGTTAAGCTGTGGAATGCTCGGGATGGAAAGTAGGTTAAAGAAACTTAGAATTTTTATCTCTATCAGACAAACCAACCTTGGAGGCTACAATCATATTCATTTCTCTAACTAACGTCGATAGATTCATATCCTCCCTTCGTGGACACGTGGGCGCTGTATATCAATGCTGCTTCTCAGCCGATTCACGCCTCCTCGTTTCATCCTCCAAAGATACCACACTGAAAGTCTGGGATGTCCGCACCGGTAAACTGTTCATGGATTTACCAGGTCACTTAGATGAAGTTTACGCTGTTGATTGGAGTCCAGATGGAGAGAAAGTGGGCAGTGGTGGGAGGGATAAGGCGGTTCGCATCTGGAGGCATTGAATCCGATATTTCGCTATCTGTTGGGAGGTTTTATAGAACCAAGTGTCTTTGAAGGGAGAAAAGACCTGGCGTTTTGCAATTTAATCTTCATAAAAGGAGCCAATGAAAATTGCTTGGGTATATAGTCGAAATGAACATGACTCGACCTCGACGTATGATGCATATTGTGGCAAGGACAAACCAACCTGTAAAATTATCACTACCTACCAACCTAACCCGGACCCCAAATCCCCAGAAGCATTGCAAACAATGTAACCACCAACCCCCATCCCTCATATACCCCAGTCATCAACTTCACGGCACCACCATGGACCCTATCCTGAACATTCTCCTCAAAAAACTTTCTCCCTATAATGTTCCCCACTGGGAAATATTGACAAACAATATACCATCCATATGCATCATCACTATCTCTCCTATTTTTATAATCTCCACAATAGAACCTCGCACACCCCACAGTCCTGGTGGCCTTCCAGACCAGCTGTGAAAAATGGCCCGTCTCATGTGTGAAGTGGGGCTTATTGAAATTAAAATGGGTTCGTTCATCGCCCCATCCCTGGACTGAAGCTGTGACGTTCGCATAGCCCATGACGAGGTTTTCACCGCTAGTCTGTGGGTGTGTTTGTTAGCTGGATGTGGAAAAACTATTGTGCTGTACAAATATATATATATATATCTTTATAAATAATAAGATGAACATATCGATGCGCAGAAATTTCGAAACACGGGACGAGGTATGTGTGGTACTATAATTCATCCCGAAGAAATACGTACGGAGTGAGCCCAGTGACATTGACGTGCCCAACGCCTCGAGCTGGATTCGAGAGTGCGGTTCCATGTGAGTGCTGTGGCGTTGTGCTCGCGCCTGTATCTGTTTGTAACAGTGAGGATAGTATTTTGGAATACTCTGTCGGAAGCATATGAGAGCGGGATAGCAGGTGACGTTTGATGTGGTGTAGGTAAGCCAGGGACAGTAGCCGTAACTGTAAATATAACTAGGGAAGGGGCTGCGAAGGTGTCAGAAAAATATAGGAGAAAACAGAAGATGGTGAGGGGATGTGATGACTTTAGCATTTCCGGGCGTGGTGGAAAGAATTTAATGGTTATTGAATGGGGGGCATAGTTTGGCATAAATCGTATTGATGATAATCAGAAGACGAAACAGGTGTTCTAAGGCGTGCCAGAGATAGTAATAGGCGGGAATGTCATGATCCAAGAAAACTTGGAGGAGACATGATGCAAAACATCTTTGTAGACCGTGTGTATCAGGGCCGGGGCCATGGATTTCTTTGACTGGCCTCCCATGAGTGTTGTCGCTGTTGGTGCGAACTGTAAAACCCCTGGAAGTTGCCTGGCGCCTATCGAAACATCGACAGGCGGTTATTCGGATTATGTAATCAGTGGAGTGCTTAGGTTGGGAGCACGAGATAGCTGGAAAGAGAGGCGGAAAAAAAGTGGAGGATCAAACATTGATTATGGACGGCGGCGCCACCATTAGCTGTATCCATTAGTTAACCAGCGATAGCTGCACCCAGAAGCTGGGACGGCGTTTTACCTAAGTTAAACATCACGAAAGTCCAGGTATCAAAACCCACAGAGGTCCGTCAAGGAGAACATCCAATTCACATCACGAAGCATCCAATACCAAACATAGCCCCTTCTACACTTTTTTTAACCTGATACCAATCCGCGCGTCTGGTGGCAAATTCATATACCTCCTCAGCGCGAAAAATGCCCTGAAACCGGTCACCATCAGCGATGATAATGGCCATCTCCTTAGAATCAGACGGGTCAATAAGGTAGACCTGTGAAAGTTCCCGGAGGGCAATAAAGTACTGGAGCAACTGATCGTTTTTCATCGTTTTGATGAGGTTGAAGTAATGGTTCATGTCGCTATTGCTCAAGAAAAATGTAGAGAGTAAGTTACCAAAACCCATGTTTGCAAATCCATATGAATATTCGAATGGGATTTTAAACTTTACCTGATAAGTTTAATGGACCCCTCTACCGCAATACGCTGCATTTTTAGATGCTTGCACAGCGACGCAAAAAGCCGAAGGCCGATCTCCTGATTAAACACCTCAAGCGTACTCTTGTCTGTGCTCCCCACAAGCATGCGCGTATGCGACGAAATAACTTCCACAACCGCCTTCGCCGCCTCGCTTGGCCCAACATCACTCGTATTCCGACGGGTAGGGTCTGCCTCAGGGTTGAAATCAGTCGCAGGCTGCTTCGTCGCCAGTAGGTAATCAACCTCGTCCATAAGCACGTCTATCCCCTTGTTAAGACCTGCCGCAACCCGCTCATCCAGCATCTGCTCGAATTTTTTCTTCTCCTTCACTGCTGGATCGAGGAAGTCGCTCCGATCCGTTAGTTTCGCTGCAACCAGCTCCTGCTCGTAGAAGACGTCCATCATCTGGAGAATCAGATCGCCGACATTGACCAGTTCCAGGAAGGTGACTAATGGCTCCACGCCCTTGCCGTCATGCTTCTCCTCGTATCGAGGACGATATTGAGAAAGGTGGTCGACGGCTTTATCGAAACCTGCAATGACATGCCGATGGCCGAGGATGTGCAAAAGGGAGACGAAAATAGACTCGCATTGCAATTTCGCATCATTCCCGGATTTGCCACCCAGTTTTAGGAACTGGGCAGCTCTTTCTAGACTAACTTTGGCAACGTGGACTAAATCGAGGGCTACTTCGATGCTGAACAAGGAGCGTATTCCCTCGAGTCTTGAGTTCAAGATTGCAGCTTTCGCAGCAAGTTCCGTTGTGGGAAGGTCATTTGACGGTGTCGAGGGCGTGGATGGAATTGACACGGGTGTTGCAAACTTGGGGTTTGGGATATATGTTGGATCATGCAGTTGTGCATCTTTCTCCGCGTTGTCCGCTTTTGAGTCATTGGACATCATAGAAGAGAAATTGGGTAGAATGTTTACAGGAGCCATAAGAACCTTTTTAAACGAAGTGAGAAAGTCTTTTTTATCAGCTTGTCGGTTGACATTGGCCATGTAGAAGGATTCCGTGGATGCTGCTTGCTCCGAAAGTTGTCTATCCCATTCCGACACGACAACTTCACAATGCTTGCGGAAGTGATTGAGTTCGTCCGTGAGGTACTGATCAAGACAAGGCTCAAATATAGTTTTCACGATTCTATTCGCCGCCTCGACAAAGTCGTCACCAGAATTTTGAACCGGTTTGCGCAATTCCTGGGTGAAATGCAATGTCTGCACAAACGTTCCCGAAACAGCCCTAAGGTACGACTCAACGTTCCGGGAGCGGAGGTCGGTAAAAAGGGCAGTAAAGTAAGGAGTCAATATATCCTTCTCGACCTTATCTAAAAATAGTGTTGAAATCTTTGTAGGCGTAGAAAAACACATATCTATAATAGCAAGTTCCTCGTTATACGCAACATTTAGGCGAGTGAGGAATGCCTGCGAATGGCCCAACTTCACAGCATTAGTGTCATTGTCGACACAATCTGACGGGCTTCCAAAATCACGCTTCCGCGCAAAAAGGTGATTGTGTTCAAAGAAATAATCCATAGCGGCACCGCCACCATTCAGCGTGGTCAGTACACGTGCATATTTTCGCATTTGGCCATCGATATCCCCCTGTTCGTAACCACTTTTAAATTCCTGCAGAGCAGCCTTTTCAAAAAGAGATACAGCACGAGAGACTTTATCTTTTCTCGCCTCCCCGCTAATGGCAGTATCGCATTTCGCGAAGGCCTGCAGTGAAGACAGCATCTGAGCTTGGTCTTCAGGCGTATCGTACACCCGGAAAACCATACTATCCATCGAGCCTCCCGTTTTGTCAATATCGTTATAGAAGGGATAAAGCACTGCATGGATCTTTCCGTATTCCTCTCTCGCTTTCCCACGTATAGATCGAACACGGGACAAAACGGATAAAGCAGCCGCCCCCTTCGGGTCGATGAATTTATTTGATCCCGGTTCCGTAATGTGCTCAACACCACTAAAGGCGCTCGGTCTGGTTTTCGTCGCATTGGTAATTGCAATCCCTCCCGCCGTGTTCTCTTTAAGAGATGTACTAGACAGTGGAACCTGGACGTGTACAGTCGGTACAGCCATAGAGAGCTGACCATGGAGATACGGATTCGACTGTTCTGCCAACTTCCTTGCCTCCAAATCATCCCAACAGCCAATCCGCTTCAGTCTTTGTACCCATCTTGAATCTTCGTACACCATCTCTCGCATTAACCTTGAAGCTCTGGCAACTCTGATAAGGTCAGTGGGTGAGAGGTAATCTAGGATAGAGGCTAATATTTCTAAAGCCGGCAATTGTCAGCAAAGCAGCTTTCCACGCCCACGCATGGCGTATGTATGAACAAGAGCGTAAACTGCTACTCTCCATACTCACCAACAGGGAGGGCCGGTTTAGAAATCTCCAGCTGCGCCATTTTCAGCGAGGCGAGGATATCCTTCCGTGGCGGCCTCCCACCAGAGACCTGAGCCTTTGCAAAACCCGACATCACGGGTCCAAGAGCAGTCTGGGGCTATGTGTCAGTAAAAGGGGCGGAAATCAATTGGGCTCGCGATCAATGTAGCGGGGTAAACGGGGGAATCATTCCCAGCTGCTGCACCCGGATCGCTGACAGTGTTGCATGGGGACGTTAGGAGCTTCGTAATATCAGATCTTTGCGGATCTGCATGGCTGGAAATGGAGCGGCGGGGACCCCATATTAAATAAAATATCCACGCGGGAGGGATTGCCCCTTGGATTCGAGATATGTGAGGGTGTCTTCGGCGAATTAGTTGGAATAGCGAAATCATGCATGAAGGTGCAGTCCGGAGGTATGGAAAATAACAAGTCCTTGTACACGCTAGAAATATAAATGGAAATCTCAATATCACCTGGGCGGAGCTCGAAGAAACAAATCCAGTCCTCGCAGTAGAAGTTATGGGGCCTTAGTGCCTAACTTGATGGTCAAGTGTTGGGCCTCAAGCCTCTAAACCCACAATGCCAGTTGGCATAGGCATGCTTATACGTTTCTGGCCTGTGTAAGGACTTTTCTTCCACACCCTTTGTAACCGAGACGGCTTGGGCGAACGCGAGATCATCTCACACCAAACCACCAGTTCTTTTCTTTTCTTTTCTTCTTTATTATTGAATGCTTGGGGAATTGCAGAGTACATCTACGCGTAGTGTTTTTAAAGTAGTGCACATGAAAAACATTGGTTCTGTCGTGTGCCATTAATACACATCTCCATGTGTTTTGTGGTCAATAGCTACAGCGATTTTCTCTATTTCCTTTATCTCATTACCTTGGTTATGGTTATCTCTGCCATTCTATCAGTTTATCTACTGTATATGATGTCTGAAACCCGGAGTGTCCTGTGATGGTTGAGCGCATCAACGCGTGGCCGTGTTGGAGTCCGAATTCTCTCTTGCTGTGCTGGGAACAACATCTCACCTAAGTAAGCCCCTTAACCCCTTGACCTCCTTTCTCGTTCTATCAACCTCCCAGCAAACGCACCGTCAACACAATAGCCAGAGAGATTCATTTGCCACATCTGTTGCGTTTCTTAACGTTTTACTTATCGTAGTCCGTCTACCTTTCCGTCTATATTACATTCACAATGGGATTTCCACCCAGAGGGACGGAGACCATTTCCAAGCCTATCCTCCACGTCGAAGCACGTATCAGGAATGAGGGAAACATCATTGTCCGGACAGACATCGTGGGTGCTTAGTTTGATCCATCGATTACACACCACTCTGTCATTTCTACTCTTTTTATAATGATATCTAAACATGAACAAAAATATCCTTACACAAATAGGTCCGCGATGAAGTCACAAAGTGGCTCCTGGAAACTTTCGCTGTCCTAAGCCTGGGACAGGAGATAACCTCCTTCTGTGAGACAGCAGAGCAAACCTGTGAAAATCATTATAATTAATCCATCTGAATTGCCCCAGCAATTAAGACTGACCAAAAACCAAACAAAAAATAAACAGCGGACCTAACAGATACTTACTGCCAATATCTTGACGTGGTAAAGGTGATGGAATGCGCAGGGCCCCAGCAGGAGAGCGGTGCATACCGACTTGAGGACGTCGAATTGGACGTGCAAGCATACCAGCTGCATGGATCTGAGAGCATAAACGACTCGCCGCAGCCGACGTATGCTGACGTCAATGGGAAAAGAGATGAGGAAGGCCCGCAGGCACGGATTATCAGCCTACCAAGCAAAGAGTTGGATGGGTTGTGGGAATCGTATGTTATCAGTTTTTGTTGCCATAGGGTCCCATTGATTTCACGGGTGTTGGTTGTATTGACTTGAATCACTGCGTTGAAATAGGCTTCTGTTTGATGAGCTGATACCGTCGACATTGCTTCGAGCGGTGAACAGGATGCGTATGTCATCGTTATTATTCTTAAAGAAGAAAAAGAAAGAAAAGGTCTCAGGATCAATGGTGTCTGTGGCGTGGCTAATAGGAATAGTTATGTTTTCCGGGAGGAAACTCAACACCTGGACGATCAATTGGAACAGGCTCATTCTGCTCTATGGTCCACCAGGGACTGGAAAGACGAGTCTTTGGTGCGTATAGTTCTATTCATAATATACCCTAATTTCTCATTATAAAAAGATACTAACTTAAACTTCAGCCGTGGATTAGCACAAAAACTGTCAATCCGCCTGGGCAAACAATTCCCCCAGAGCAAGATGGTAGAAATCAATGCGCACTCGCTAGGGAGTAAATTTTTCAGCGAAAGCGGCAAGCTAGTTGCACGGATGTTCGATAACATTGAGAATATTCTTGAAGAGGAACCGGATACTTTTGTATGTGTGTTCATCGACGAGGCGGAGACATTGACTGCCAAACGGGAACAGAGCGTGCACGGAAACGAGCCCTTTGATGCGATGCGTGCCGTGAACGCACTTTTGACGGCGCTGGATCGGCTCAGACACAGGCCGAATGTGGTGGTACTCTGCACCAGTAACCTTATCACGGCGCTGGTGTGGGACCTTTTCTTATGATAAAACCAGAGAATACATCTTCTCTTTAGTGTTTTCCCTGCTGATACAAAAAGAACAGGATTCCGCATTCCTCGACCGGGTGGACATTAAACAGTTCATGCCCAACCCGTCCAGTAGAGTGATCTACGAAATATTCCGGAGCTGTCTGGAGAACCTCAATCACAGCGGTTTGATACACGGCGCGACCTTCGATGTGGTCCGCGTCGACCAGGACAATCCAAACACACCGTTGAAATACGTCTCATGCCCGGCAGAAACACTTGTTCTCCCCAGCCACACGGAGATGGTTCTCTGGTACAAGCTGTTTCCTGAATCCGCACCTAGACAATTGGCAGATGTAGCTGAAGCGAGCGTGGTAAATGATACTAGCTATCTCCCCCGGAAGTCATAAAAACTATTAACAAGCATTATTAGGGATTGAGTGGCCGTAGTCTGCGCAGGCTTCCGGCCCTATCGTTGGTGCTACACTCAGACTATTCCAAGTGTACTATCGAGCAGGCCGTGAGAGCTTTGGCGCTGGGAGTGGAAGAGGAGAAGCGGGCCGGAGTAGAGGCAGCATCAGGAGCAAGCGGGCGATGTGCTGCCAGCATGTCAGTGAGCTAGAGCGCGCATGTATATTATATTTCCATACCCAGTTGCCCAGGTATGTAGTGATGACGGAGAACACTACACAGCAGAGATAGATACGGTATTGTAATCATCATACTCCTTCATCCTCGCGGTTTTCGCCGAGATCACATGACCTAAAAATCTTATCAGCCAATCATATGACTTCTGTTGTCACCGGCGCCAAGCCCGTTACCGCGCTAACCCGATACAGCCAAACCTGCTTGCATGTCCAAACCTCAAAACTTCCACTCCGGAAATCACATATCGGAGTCTCAACGACAAACGTGCCCTCTCTTCTCCCCGCCTCAGCACCCCCTCCGGCTCTTCCCCACTGGCGGGAATTCAATCCTCTGAATTGAAGAAAAATGTTCGCCAGATCTGTCGCGCGCAATGTGCCTGCCAAGGCCATCTTCGCTCGACAGACGTTCCGCCAGACAACCGCAACAACGGTAGTGCCCATCCACCCGCACAATCAAACATATTTTCCAGGTCCAATTGGACTTCCCAGATCGCCGACATTCTATCAGTGGCATTCTTACGTTGTTGATTATATTGCTGACACCCCGTCTTCTCTAGCGAGCCTCTTCCACATCTTCTGGGTCCCGCGCTGAATCGCCGTTCTACCTGACCCTCTCCGCCTCGGCTGCCACTGTGACCGCTGTCGGCGCGGTGGCATGGTATTATCATCTCTATGGCCAAGAGGCCTTTGCTATGACGCCCGCTGAAGAAGGGTAAGATTTTTCTTGGAGGATTGTTGGACAGGAATTGACAATACATGTGTAATTGTTCGTCGAATATATTGACACTTGCTTTTCTCCAGGTTACATCCAGCTAAATACCCATGGGAACACACAAAATGGACAAAAACATTCGATCACCAAGCGTAAGTAGGCCATTGGCTCATATGCAGGCTACCAATTACCCTCTCAGTTTAATTCTCCCACAAAACACAAATAAAAATCAAAAGCACAACGAGATGTAGCTGATTCGTACAAATCGATGATATATAGTCTCCGCCGTGGCTTCCAAGTCTACCGCGAAGTATGCATGGCTTGCCACTCCCTCACTCGTGTGCCATGGCGCGCATTCGTCGGCACCATCCATACCGTGGACGAGATGAAAGCCATGGCCGAGGAATACGAGTACGATACCGAACCCAATGACCAAGGCGAAATCGAGAAGCGGCCAGGCAAATTGTCCGACTATATTCCCCCGCCCTACAAGAATGACGAGGCCGCCCGCGCCGCAAACAACAGCGCTCTACCACCAGATTTGAGTTTGATAGTCAAGGCCCGCCATGGCGGCTGTGATTACATCTTCAACTTGCTAACTGGATATCCCGATGAGCCGCCTGCGGGTGCCACAGTACAAGAGGGATTGAACTTTAATCCCTACTTCCCCGGAACTGGTAAGAAACAACGATGCTGAATTCTCCGAGAGTGTAAATTTTTACTTAGGAAAATTTGATATCAGGAATTGCAATGGCCCGCGTCCTCTTCGATGGCCTTGTCGAATACGAAGACGGCACACCAGCCACCACCTCGCAAATGGCCAAGGACGTAACGGAGTTCCTAAACTGGGCGGCAGAACCGGAGATGGATGAGCGAAAAAAGATGGGCCTCAAGACTCTCGCCATCACTGCTATGCTCACTGCCATCAGCATCTGGGTTAAGAGATATAAGTGGGCACCTATCAAATCGCGGAAGATCGTGTATAGTCCGCCAGTTGGGAGGCCGCCCATTGGCAAGCGCTAGTTGTTTGGTTGGTTTTTCGTTCGTTTCTGAATTATGCTCGTTTTTTTCTTTGTTGTACTTTGTACTTTGCATAGAAGGTGCAAGAGGAGGTTGTCGGTTGTGGACGGTGAGATAATGGATAGATGGAAGTCATACTTGTACCAAAACACAGAACCAGGTCAAAAAAGCCCTCAACCCTCTCCCTTTTTTTTAAGATAAAAAATTATTTGGATGCATCTAGGATGGAAAGAAAAGGAACGAGGAGAGGAGGAGAGGACCACTACATCCCTCACCCAAGTCACAAAAAAAACCCGCAGAAATATCACCGGAGCATATGCTTTTTCATTTTATCATTTCATATGCACTTTTTTCTCTACCATTTTTTTCTATTTGCTGTATTGTTTTAAAAGTACAAACACACACGCCTTACTTCCCTTCTCTTTCCTTCCCTTCTTTCACTCTCTCCTCGCACTCTCTTTCTCTCCATCCTCTATACCCATCCATTTCTAAAACGAGAATCTTGTTTCAATTAATTCGTTTTCACCTATATTCTCGTCTCCCTTATCTTTAGCGATGTAATATTATTGTATTAGCGTGGTTTTATCTGTCTTCCCGCTCCAACATATTATCATCCTCATATTTTTCCATTTCCTGGTTTCCTTGGAAGGCGTCGTCGATACCATTCCACTCACTCCCCTTCTATTTTCTTTTCCTTTGCGATATAATGTCACAACGATAGGTAGCAACGGCAGGAGTGAGGAAGCCCACGCGTCGATGAAAACAATGTCTAGATGAAGATGGGTGGAAGGATAGAGATATATATATATATATTAAAACTTTGGCCTGGGCAGACCCTTTTTCTTTTTCTTTTTCTTTTTCTTTTCTTTTTTCTTTTCACTTATCACATATGCATTCTTGTTTTTAAAGTTAAGCGCTATCACTGAGTTGAGTTCAGGGACATCGCCAAAGTTCGTTTGGGATTGACTTTCACGGAGGGGGAGCGATGAACTCTGTATTTCGCCCCGGTTGATATCGTAAGATAGATGGCGCTTTTTTCTTTTTCTTTTTTTTTTGTCTTTATCATTGTTCTTAATTTCGGTCTGGGTATTAATGGGATGGAGAGCTTTGTTTTCTACTGTTATCTCGCTCTACCCGGATCTTCGAATGCTCTTTAGTTTGATCTGACGACATGTACGACATTAAGAAAATGAATCCTGAAGCTCTAGGAAAAAAATATCCAATTTCCAATAGAAAAAAACGAACGAGTACTCCTGTAATATTTCATTCAGCTACCAGAAACCACGGGGACGGGGACAAAATACTTAAAACGCCATATCTCAATTCATAATTCTACATTGATCACGTTTAAAAACCAGGCAGAGGGCATCTGCCGAAATCTGCGGCCAAAGCTTGATAAATAAACAAGTGAAAGGAAAAAGAAAGGGAAAAGGAAAATATAGAAGCTTCATCCTTCATGCTTCAATCACCCTCTCCCCATCCCCAAAAATCCTTTTCGCAAAACGATCATACCACCCCCACAACCCCAAAACTAAAAACTTCTGGGTCGTCACCACCCATCTAGGCACTCTCCCATTTTTATCCGTAGTCAGCGACGAAAGCATCATTAGAAGTAACGCGGGCGGTGCCCACAGTGTCACCGTGGTATACCTGCCGATCTGCTGGCGGGTGGTGGTGACTCGGTACGCTGTTATGGAGGAGAGGTAGGCGCAGTATTCGGCTGGGAGATCGTGCTCGCGTGCGCCAGTGACTAGGAGGTTTTTATAACGTGGGGATGGCTGGGCCGGGGCGTTGGCTGGGTGGACGCGGGTGTAGGGTCTGTTGCAGGGAGGGGGATTCGTTGCATGGGCATTTTCCTTCGCATTCCCAAGAGGACTTACGGTTGTGTTGTTCGGTTCGTACTTGTGGGACGGATAGAGGAGGGTGTGCGCTTTAAACGGCTTTGCGTCTTTAAGCGGGTGGGCTGGGACAGGGTCCGCGGGATCGTACGATTTCGGGAACGGGTAACAGTCCGTCACGATATCGATGTAAGAGGCGCCCCCGCCTTCCGTGGCGATGATGTGCGCGTAGTCGGAAAGGGTGACTTCGTAGACAACACCGACGAGCGGTTTGTCCCATGTTTGGTCCGATCTGTGGATCGGGGCTTGGTTGTCATCTCGGTATTTCGTTCCCGCCATGCAAGGTTCAAGGTAGGGGAAGCCAGGAAGGTCAAATGTGAGGCTGAGGCCAGGGACGTAAACATTCAGTTGCGAGACAGGCAAAATACCGCGGGTTTTGCGGAATGATTGGGCACTCATATTCGAGCCGTAGGCTAAGTACAGGACCGTTTCTTCAGGTTTATGAGCTTCCGCATCCAGTCCACTGGTTTTGGTCTCAGACGAGTGCTTCGCCTTTGGCCCGTGATCGTGAAGTAGGGTGATGATATCCAACGCATGGTCGTGGGCGGCCGCTTGCAAACGCTCTTCTGATATCTTGGGGATTATGATGGATGGATCATAGGTCTTTCCTTTTCCCAGATTGAGCAATTTTGCGAATCGGTTCGTTGCCTTTGTAGATGTCAGGTTATCAACAGTGTCAGGCTCAGGGAGTGGCTGCTTCTGCAGCATGTCTTTATCAGTGGGTTTTCTCATGATGACGGGGTTTGGGGTTTTCTGGAGTCAAGAATGAGCTACCAATGCTGGATGGAACTTCTTCAAGTTCCTCAAGATCACTTCCGATGGGAAAGTTGGAGTAAGCTGATTTATTAGGCAACAGCATCCATAACTGAACGTTCGGCCATTTAGCACTCTTCGCGCAACTGATAATAGTAATAACCCATTTTGTCCATGGAGACTGTTTCACTAGGTGCAAAGTTACCCCAGCAAAGAGGTTTGATCTCTGGCCTCCCAGTCGTTAGCGCAAATCGGAGCGGATTTGATTCATCCGTTTAGGAGCAAAGGCCGGAGCGGAATCAGGGCAAACCCGAGATCAGAAACAAATTCACTAAGGACTCATCCCAGATGTACTCCGCCTTACCCGATATAGATCATTCCTGAACATAAGTTGGAACTTTGTGCACTTCCATCCTATCAGAGTTTCATGAATCAGCAAAAAGGTACGAGAGTTGAAAGTTTCAAAAGAAGCTATTCCAGACCGTTCCAAAGCTTATGCTTTGGTGTAAAGTTTGCCCTTCTGCCCTGCGGGGGATCATACAACAGCAGGTTGGCTCCTAAGGGAGATGAATAGGTGACCAGCAATCGTGAAACCATTTCCACCTCATGGTATTTTACCACCGTATGTACCCTGGAAAATTGATGAATCCGGCCCAGGTTATGGATGGCATTCTGCTGTTGTATTCTCCAGACAATTAACTGCGTGGATGTTTGCGGATGTTTTTGTACCCCTAAGAAAGCTACAACAGTAACTTGTTTGAAATTTCTTCTTTCCATTGCCCGAGGGATGATTGGATATTGTTTGTTCGATTATATTGAGCGCTATCGCTATCGTTGTCGTTGTCGTTTGTTTTATCAGCAAACCACCAGCTTATTGCCGTCTGCGCTGTTGTTGCGGCTCCAACTCCTGCCATTTCCTCGCCCAACGCTTTGCTTGATGGTTTCACTTTTCAGTTTAATTGCTCCTTTCCCGCAATGTCTTTCCGCTAGCTATGTAGCATCATATTATTCCCTATACGATACATACACTCGTGCAATGCGATTTGTTTGATATACCCTTTGTATTTGTTGCTATCTCATCCCCTTTCAAGCATCTCTCGCCATGGCCATCCCCAATAAGACGGCTGCTTCCGGAGGGGAATTCTCTCTGGACAGATTGGTAGCATACCTACAAGGAGCTATAAGTAAGCTCAGGGAAAACGACCTGCTGGTGTCAGTTCACTTAACTCTCAGGACTTTTGGTCGAGCGAAGCATGAGAGTGACCAGCTCACTAACAATGTCTTTCCTATATAGTATTCCCATAGATATAGTCAATGGCTTTCTAGGATCATTCGATCGTTTTGCCGGGGCTGGTTTTCCACAGTTGATTGAATTGTTCGATGGAGAAAATAGAGGAAAAAGCTCGAGGCTCGATCTCGTTTCTTTCCACTGCATGCTCCATATTCTCCTTCGAGGTCCTCCATGTCTTGCTCGAGACAGGGGGTTTTATCTTTTTCTGGTTTGCATCTTCTTGATATCTACTCGATGTGCATTGAACTGTTCGCATATCTAATATTTTGTGAAGAAATCTATGAGAGATCTCACAGATGCCATCCAAAGGTCTCCGCATTATACTCTGGTTGTTGCTTCTCGTCAGCGCAAATCACTCATCGGACAAAAGGCCTTCAAACATTTGTTACACACTTTTGTCAGTGGTGATGTCGACGCGCCTCGAGAATGGGTATGTCGTTGACGTTTTTCGTACTACTATTTCGTGAAATGCTAACGTGTGTGTGTGGCCAGAGTGGCCAACTCATTCTCGAGTTGGTTCGGAAATCTAAGGATAATGGGAGCCTGTTAGTGTTGGGCGGTGAGGAGAATATGTTAAGTTTCTCTTCTTAAGGACAAACCAGCTCGTGCACACGATCAGCTAACGTGTTCTTAGCCGAAAACTTGGTGAGACTGTTCTGAGCGAACCGGAATACGTTCTACGATTGTTGGCTGGTGTAATTATCCAAGATATGGTTGCTTCACAAGTCAAACCCTGTATCTTTTGGCCTCCGGGCACACCACAACCAGTCATGGACATGTTTTCATCAGGAACCCTGATCGATTCAAGCTGGATACAGAGGTTCAATCACTTTGCTTCTGGTCGGGATTCACAGCCAAGACCAGAGATTCAAAATACGTGGGTGGATACGAAAGCTGTCAATTATATCCTTTCTGACCCTGCTATATAGGATGCATATCGTCCAATCTATCAATACTGGAACATGGAGTATTGGTTACAGAAACTGTTCGATTGGGATATTAGTTTCGCGTATCCTCACCATCATGATAACTGAGGACAATCGGTTCCGGTTTATGAAGATTCGTCTCGACCATATTGACAAGCTAATACAGCACGCAGGAGCCGCAGTGCTTGATGTCTACCTCTACGACAACGGGGTTTATATGACAAATGGTTTGACGGAAAAGGCAGACAAGGTCTCAATGGTATTTGAAAATCAAATCCAAGGGATTGGGGTTCGCGATGTTCTTGAACAGCAATGTCGATCCGTCAAGGGAACCATGGGGCGATTCATGGGTGCCGGCGGTGTCTCTAAGGTTGCCGACCGAAGAATCTCACCAGAATCTTTTTTGTGTACGACGGGGGTAATAAGAGATTCAATCACTTTAGACCCCAATCTTGGTAAATCTACAGCACAGAACCGGAAGAAACGGCCATCCTTTGCGGCCATCATGCTCTCCTTTGACGAGGAAGCCATACGTGGTTCCAGTGTCCATTTCGATTTAAATGCGTCCCACTCCCAGAATGAAAGAGATCAGGAAAGCCCGCCTATTCGAGGGAAGCAGCTGCCAAACAATAATGTTGATTGTTTGGGCCTCGTAGATAGTTGGAGATCATATCCGTCCAAAGTTGACGAGATCCCAGAACCTGGATATCCTCCTGGAAGCAGTCCCTACGACCGGCAAGGAAACCCAAGCCCCCAAACAACCCCCAGCATCGTAAATCTACCCAATGCTCAAGATCAGTCTTTCAATGGAAACGGTGTTGTTGAGCCGCAGATTAGTCAGGAAGGGGGTGACACCCAGTCTGTGCTGCCAAGCCTTGCACGACAAGCACTTCGACTCCGGCTCGAACCTTACAACTCCAACTCACTTACAAATAGTGTTGGACAACACGATCAAGGTGTGGAAAGCGGCCTGGACTTGGGTGGCTTGGTGACTGAGAAAACGTCCACTGTTGATGACCCCACCGCTGGCCCTCAACGACCAGCCGACATCCTGGTCGATAAGAATCCCAACCCAGTTAATCCGACAACCATGGGCCAGCAGATCAATGTTCCCCAAAAGCACGTATCTGGAAGTCATAATGAAGTAGATGTTCCCAATCAAATTGCAGGCAACCCGAAACTCAAACGGCCCCATAACCGGATCAGCATTTCCAAAGCTAACCCACTAACTGTTGACTGGGACCAGGATCTCCGTGTGGAGGACAATCTGCTTGGTCTACCAGCAAGTTCTTCTAAGAAGCTGAAAGGAACCCCCCATCAGTCCCAGGGCCCTACCAAAACCTCCAAATTAAAGAGCGCCTCATGCTCAACAAAAAAGAAGAATAAGAAACTGGCTCAAACCCTCCCCTTGACACCACATGAAGCTCGAACGTCAGCTAAAAGTAATACGAAGAAAACGGGCCGTCAAGTTACGAAAACCTTGACATCCGCTCGTCAGCGGCGAGCTGCGGCTGAGAAAGCAAATCAGAAGCTCGCATTAGCCAACGAATATGAAAATGCAACATATGACCTTGATGATCCGATCGAATCAAGTCCACCGATATTGGTTGCCAACCGGCAAAATTGGACAGGAAACACAGACGTAGTTTCACCTGGAGTAACTTCTGAAGATGTTCAGGTGCAGCCCATGCATTCTATCGAGGGTGTCGTCGACCTTAAACCAAATCCTGCGATGCCAGAAACCTCCAATCATGTTGAACTTGTTGGATCTGAGCTGACCATGAACAATAAGGAGACTGATCACTCTGACTTCCTCATTGGACGGGTAATCGACCACAAGCTTGATTTGCAAGGAAGCAATGTTCCTCGAAGGGAAGCCAGCAGCTCCGCTCAACCAAACGAAGTGGGAAATCCCGAAACCCTATCCGGTGTTGACATTCCGCAATGGAAAACGGTTGGTGAGTGCAGGGAAATCAATTGGGGAAAGAGCCTTTCCAAAGCGCTAGCGAAAGCAGGGATGCTTTCGTCAAATTCTTTGATAGACAGCAAGAATGTTGATGGAGAAAGCAGCAACGATTTGATTGATGGCACGGGGTGTCAAGTGGGGAAAAATGTATCGGAAATTTCGAAAAACGTTTCTCAGTTCATCGCACGGCAGGCTGTTGAACATGACAAGCTGGGTCACTCAGGCGTACGGGTCGTGGAAAATACAGAAGAGTTCACCAAACCAAATGACGGAACATACCAGAGTGTACAGGCAGGGAGTCAACCTGAGAAACATCCTACAAAGCCAAAAGTACAAAGTCAACTTACAGCTGCCGCTGAACTTGACAGTATCCCGAAACCTAATAGTAATGGTCAAAATAAAGTTGAAGGAAACAAGAGTGATGAACTCCTAACGATGGCAAGAGCGCTTAGAAAGGTTCAGGTTGTAGGTTTCGACTCAAAGGGGCCTAAAAATCAATGTGTCATATCCGACGGCGCAGCACGCAGAAATTCGACGAATTCTGATACCGTTATAAATGACACTCACGAAAAAGAAGAAGTTTACCTTGGAAAAAAGTGTCCAGAAAATTGTGCAAACGATATAGTTGACGAATTCGACGACCTGGATGAGGTGTCCCTGATTCCAACGTCGGATTGTCGTAGATTGGTGATCGGCAATCAACACAGCGACGTAGGCTCCTATGTCGATTCTATCTCGGTTTGCAAAGTTACTCACGTTGAATTTCGACCGCAAGGCCGGGATGTGCAACCAATCCCAACCCAGAGTCAAAGGGTGGATGAGAATGGAAGCCCCCAGCCCCTCCACAGAGATCTCCACGCAAACAGGCTCGCAAGTAGTAATATCCCACCTGGTGTTGAACTTCCAATAGAGATTTCGGGAACATCACAGCTATCAGAGGCTTCGGTTTCTCTGCCTGAAGAAGAAGTTAGGATTGCGCATCATATGTCGCCATGTTCTGTTCCTGCCAGTACATGTGTAGATCCCGTCAGAGCTCAAGATCTCTCCGTGAGCAATGAGAGCTCCCTCAATTCCAAATCTGAAACTTCGCCTCAACGAAGAGACAAACTGCCAAACCAAAAGGATCTAAAAACGAGAAGTATTTTTGCGATTCAAGATCAACCAAGTCCAAGGGAAAGTTCGTTTTGGAGAAGGAGTGCTCCGAGCACATTCGCTAGACATCTCAGGGGCCAGCAAAAAACAAACCGGAAGAATAAATCACAGAAGAACAAAAAGACCCGCAGGCAAGTGCTAACAATAAAAAATGCTTCGCGGAAATCGAATGCCATGCCTTTTGCAGAATCTAGTAGTGTACTCGACCATGATATCAATAGTTCAGAGGATGAAATATACGACACGCGCAGCAGCAACTGGGGCTCAGTCGAGATTTCTTCTGGGTCAAACTCAAACCTGTCGGATACTCTAGTGGAAGAGTGTAGGGATGTTGAATCTGAGTGGCAGAATGCGCTGCGAGCCACCCAAAAGACCAGCCTCGACATCCTGCTAGAGATCAGCGGTGTAAGTATAAAAATGAAATTGAAACCGTGCTGCCTTCTTTGAACCTGCTAACCCAGTTGTCTCAAAGCGGCTCATTCGACACATGGTGGATGAAGAGCAAGCCATCATCAAGGTCGTCGACACCTATAGAAAAGGAGGGGCCACATTGATACAGCAACTGGAGCAGAAATACGGCGAGGAGCTTGCGGAATGTGAGAATCGGCTGCAACCAATCAAGGAAGAGCTTATTGAGCGTTGCGATACGATGATGACTCGCCTCAACAGTGATAGACAAAGCCTTTTGAAGCAACCGCCAATGAGGGATCTTTCCGCAGCTGTCCACAAACGGAAAACAGTGCTTGTGCAAATTGATGCCATGATGAAAGGATACGAGACTGACGCATAAAGCTCCCAACCCAGAACTATGCTATGGAGGAGCGAGTTGTCAATTTTGTGGCCAACCTTTGACTTCAGCTGGTCTTGGCATAAATTGTTGTTTCTGTGTCTGACTTCGGGACGGCATGGGATTCTAGGAGGGCGAGAAATGGTTCAATGGCAGAGGAGGGACGGGGGATTTCTCTTTATCGCTTCTGGAGGATAAGGTCTTGTTTGCCGGATGTATTTAACTCGGGTCAAACATGCTATGGCTGTGTTGAGTTAATGAGGCAAAACCCTGTGGTGATTATTGTTACGGATAAAGTGGAGGCGCGGGGGATAAGGATCAACTAATGGGGGATAAAAAGGGATCATGTCATGGCCATGTTGCTGGTTGTCAAAAAGCAGAACTAGTATTGTTCTATATATTTTATATTTTATTCAAAAGCGATCAAATAACGTTTTCACTACCTTTATGGATCTCAATTGTTGAACTTAAAATTGTGGGCTTGAATTCTAAAGAAAAAAAAAAACCCGGTCATCGCTCGGTGAGATTTCTATCAACCCCAGGTCCAAAAGCGTGAACGATCAAGACGACGAAATATCTAATGAAGAAATGAGCCTAGGCCGTCTTCTCGACAATACCTCTCTTCACTTTATATCCTATGATCAACACTTGCAATTGACCTCCCCGTCCAACCACTAACTAAATTTGTCACATAACCCTCCGTCTTCGTCGCTGTCAACTGCCCCGCCATGGCTACCCAGGTGAGTTCATGAGCTGCGGCCTGCCGCAAATGACTCAACTAACCCTGAATAGTGGTATATCGAGAATAAAAATGTCGGAAACACAGAACTTGCGGAAGACTGGCGAAGTATGTTCCATCCATTAACACTTTGTTGCTTCAACATCTCGAAGCACCGTGCCGCTCCCCGCCATTCTCCGTCTCAGCCCAACTCAGCTAACGGACACACCATACAAACAGTTCGGGGTTACAACCCTCTTACCCCGCCAAACCTGCTACAACATGAGATCCCTCAGACGCCCGCATCCAAGCAGACGGTCATAAGCTCGCGCAAGGAGGCTGCTGCTGTCGTCAATGGCAGAGACCCGCTCAATCGACTCCTAGTCATCATCGGGCCATGCTCCATCCACGACCCAGACGCAGCCATGGATTACTGCAACCGCCTGCTCCAGCAGAAGGAGAAACACAAGGATGAGCTACTCATCGTCATGCGCTCCTATCTCGAGAAACCGCGCACCACCGTCGGCTGGAAGGGGCTCATCAACGACCCCGACATTGACAACTCCTTCCAAATCAACAAGGGCCTGCGCGTCTCGCGCCAACTCTTCGTCGACCTGACGGACAAGGGCATGCCGATCGCCAGCGAAATGCTCGACACCATCTCCCCGCAGTTCCTCGCAGACCTCCTCTCCGTCGGCGCCATCGGCGCACGCACCACGGAGTCCCAGCTCCACCGTGAGCTCGCAAGTGGCCTGTCCTTCCCTGTCGGCTTCAAGAATGGCACGGACGGCTCTCTAGATGTCGCCGTCGACGCCATCGGTGCCGTCAAGCACCCTCACCATTTCCTCTCCGTGACGAAGCCCGGCGTCGTGGCGATTGTGGGCACGGATGGCAATGAGGACTGCTTCGCGATCCTGCGGGGTGGGAAGAAAGGAACCAACTACGACGCCGCGAGCATTGCGGAGGCTAAGGCGAAGCTGACTGAGAAAAACCTGAACTTGCGGTTGATGGTTGACTGCAGCCATGGCAACTCCCTGAAGGATCACCGTAACCAGCCTAAGGTAGCTGCTGTGTTGGCGGAGCAGATTGCAGCTGGGGAACAAGCGATTATGGGGGTTATGATCGAGAGTAACATTAACGAAGGTGTGTGTTTTTATCGAAGTCTTGTCCTTTATATCCTTTTGCATTTCTTTCACAGGGCTGGTTTTGAACACATGATCTAACCTCGCTTTTCCGTTGATCTCTATAGGAAACCAAAAAGTCAGTCCGCAGGGGAAAGCAGGTCTCAAATACGGAGTCAGCATCACAGATGCTTGCATTGGCTGGGAGGATACGGAGAGCGTATTACAAACCCTCGCGGACGCGGTGCGACAACGACGGGAGCGCGCACAAGTTGTGTCATAAAAAAAAGAAAGGGGAAAAAAAGACGAAAATATGAGTGATTTTAGACATTTTGCTTATATTCTCCTTCGATGATGGGAGCCTTATTATTCCCCTGAGTTTTTTCTCCATCTGTTTCGAATTTGTCTACTTGTTTGTGGTTCTCATCTTTCTCTCCTCTTGGTCGATCAAAACCAAGGGAGCTAAGGAATAATAAAAAGGAGGATATACACATATGTGGCTGTTTAGAGCTTCGGAAAGACAAAATATTGAATTCTTCACAAATGCGTTACATTATACACAACTTGACGGGTCTGTTTTCTCTCAGAAGGGTCCCGGCCACTGTGAATAGAAGAACCGGACATAAGAACAGGATTGCTTAAACAAAATTTGCCACCCATATCTCTTTAGAAGGGCGAAATGACGATGCGGGTTTTGATAGGGTAACCCAAAACAATGTGAGAAAAATTGGGAATGGGCAGGGATGAGTTGTGGATAAGAGATTGAAGTTATATTAGGCAAAGGGTGAGTGGCAGTACGAAGTAGCTTCATCATGGAAAATGTGTAATTACGGTGCGCTGGAGGGTTAAAGCCGACAAAGTAAAGGAGAAAAAGGAAAATGATATCAAAAACCGTCATACCTAACACCAGCTCTAAAATCTCAAGCATAAAGATAAATAATACCGATCCAATCCCAATATCAGCTTCGGTTCTCGTCGCCCAGTGATCCTGATCACAAGTCCGATTCTATATAGTCGATGTACTTAGGTACGTATATGTATGTATAGACAATAACCTTCTATTCAAATCAAGAGATTTAGTGCCCCATATTCCTCCGGATCCCGTTCCCATTCGTCCGTGTACCAGTGTTATCATGGTGACTACTTTCGGTGACAGTATCACCACCCGTATCAGGAGAATTAATAATCGCATGCGCGGCTGCCCGTCCCGGAATCCACGGTTCGTCAAGAGGCACGACCAAATTTGGATTGACATACTTCTTCAACTTGGACGCAAGGTCCTGACCGCGGAAACGGAGAGGGACAGCATCTCGATCCCACTGTGAAGCCGGGTAAATTGTTAAATTAGGTGTGAGTACTTCATCCTGATCAACCGTAGCGTGGGAGCGGTCGATGGAGCGTAGCGCTATGAATTTCATGAGCGGGTCGTAGGTGCGAGAGAAGAAGTAAAAGAACCAGACTGTTCCGACGAGTAAGGGGACGACGAGGATGGAGCGTGTGACGGCGGTTCGGAGCGCAAGAGTACCGATGATGGCCAGTTGGAAGACGATGAAGCCTAGAATGACGCGAGAGCAAATCATGGGCCATGCGCGGCCGGTGCTGTGTTGCTGGTGATCCATGGCGTAGAGCAGTTGGTATTTGTAGATGAAGCGGCCGATGGAGAAGTAGATGAGGCCGAAGAGGCAGACGATGTACGAGCTGGGGAAGACACTGTACACGACAGTGATTATGAAGATGAGGATTGTTTGTGGGAGCGCAAGGCCGTAGCTGAACGTGGGGGGCTTGTCGAGGCCGGCGTAGTCGCGGGGTGTGCGCGCGCTAAAGCGTTGGAATGGATAAAGAAACACACTGCCAAATTCGAGAAGACGGAAGGGGAAAAGCCCTAAGCCCTGGAGGACGATCAGGTTGGTGTAGAAGGGGGCAAGCGTTTCCAAAGAGCGAGCGAGAGCTAAGGCAATCGTGGTCGTATCTCTCAAGACATCGCGGAGGTTTTCGAAGAATCGGTAGAAGTTGGAGGCAGTTGCAAAGACCGTGAAGACGAGGAAGAGGTTGAAAAACGTAAAGAAGAAATTCTTAGAGATAAGAGATAACTCGACGTCTCCCTGAGATGTCATGCCTTGAAGGTTGCCCAGCCCTTGAACAATCAGATATTAACGACAGGTTTGTGGATAGACAGGGGGATGGATGTGACAAAAACTTACAATCATAAATAAATGGAACGGCAATTGTCATTAGGGAAAGAATGAGGGTAGGCAAACCGGTTTGCACAAGAGATTTGGCTATGGCATGTCGTGAAAGAAAATCCGCAAGACTCGGAATCACCTTTTCAATGGTCTCCAAATTGAGCAGGTAGGCAAGCGGGATCAGGAGCACAGACCAGAACACGGTGAGTACCCCAATGAGCAATGTGATAGACCAGCCTCGCAGCATCCGGCTACGCCGAGACAGGTATGTGTGTTGCCAAACAACGTCTGCAGGAGCAGGTGCTAAGTTCGCAACCAGTTGCATGGGCCAAGGGTCGAGAATAGCCTGAACAGCCATCTGGCAAGCAGCAATGGACTCCATGGTGACGAAAGCGAGAGGTATAGGCTCACATTCCTTTTTGCGAATCTCCTCAATTCTCTCGTCGAGTTGCCGCAGCTTTTCCTCATAGAAATCAATTGCGTCGATTGTTTTGAACCGCAGGTTTAACGGGCCATACCAGATGCGGGTTGTGGGTCGCTTGAGGTTATAGCTAGACACATGAGCTCGCGCAGATTCCTCGGCGGAAAGCAGGCGGGACCGCTCGCTGTTTTCGTTCGAGTCGAAGGTTGCTGCCATCCGGTCGGTTTGAACAAGCGGTAAGGCGTTTCCCCTGGTATCGGACCTCTGCCATCGATAACCAACATGTTTAGTCCATGCTTCTTCCAATTTCTGGAGAATATTCTTTCTCGCTTCCATCAGGCCATCCAGCTCGCTCCAGTCCTGGCAGAGCATAACCTGATCCACTTTCCCAATCTGGAACTGTTCGATGCACTGCCTAATCTTTTCCTCGGAGCGTAATTCGGGAGGAATCCCCGACAAACGAAGCGTCCTATCCGTAAGCGTCGTTTGGGCACCTAGGCATCGCTGGCGGATCTGGATGATTTTATTCGTGTGATCGATGAGAAAGGATATTCCAATGCCGGTGAAAATATAGGCGAACACAACATGCATCCATAGGTATGTCGGGTTGGCCTTCGACTTTTGTGGATCATCTTTATGATCCTCCGGCATGTCCCAAGGATAGCCATATTTATTCGTATATATATAGTGTATCGGGAGGATGACCGCAAGAGTGAAAAAGAACACCACCCTCAAGAATTTAATGGCGTACGTATAAAATGACAAAAACTGTAGTAGAAGAACATGGTGAGCACCATCATCATATCCTCAAAATAGAGTCCTCGAACAGTAAAGAACTAAGAACCAACCACAAACGCATCTAGTCCAGCCGATGCGAGAACCTCATCGTCCGAAATCTTATGGACGATCGGGATCCAGCCAAACAACGTATCCGGCAATTCAGGCAATCTTGACGCGGCCGTTCTCAGCCTCCTCCGCGCAGCATATAGTTCTCTCCACTTCGGTCGAAGGATCTTCACCAGGCAATTAGCATTTTCCCACGCCAAACAAAACAAGTTCAAAGAAACAAAGTGAGAGAGATAGATAACTGCCAAATCGAAATCTTACACAAAAGCCCATAAATGCAAGAAACCCAACAGTGCAGCTGACGATAACCTGCGTCAACAGGTCACGCTGACCCTTGGTCTGATCCTGGAATTTATGCTCGCCATCCCCGCCACCATCGCCGGAACTATTTTTCCCTGTCGCGAGGGACAGGGCCGAAGAGACTGTGGTAGTCGCGGTCACAGATAGCAATGAGGATAACATTGGGGTGGGCCGAGAGGGGGTAATCGTCGCCGTCGTCAAGGACGAAGAGGAACTGGCCCGTAGCTATTGAAGAGCTGGATCCTGCAGAAGGTTTCCTAGAGATGGCATGCCTAATCTTCGTTAGGTTGACTCATATTCCCACTTTTCGCGGTGATCTTAGGGCAAACCACTGTCTACATCAGCAGTATCGGTACTCCGTAGTTATCACTGGGTTGTTGGCTTGTTGATCCATATTTAGAAGTCCATACTTTGACAGAAATGCATCGCATAACTAACTATTTAATGCAGTGACCTAAGTTACAGTTACATGACTAATAGCTGACTCATTTCAATAAGCCGACAGGGGTTTTAGGTTTTGAGCCAGCTGTTAGTTAACGCACCTACCGTGCACTACATTACCAGCAATTTTCATATTGAGGATATTCTTTAAGCGAATAGCTGTGGGGACGGATTCATCTGTGACAAATGTTCGAAGAGGTGCAAGACACGCTTTCATTCAACACTCTTAGTACCGAATTGTAAACCCCACCGAGCCAGAGGAAGGGAAAGGTGGAAAAAAATAAGAGGTAAAGAGAAATGCACATGTAGTCAAGGAGAATATAAAATCAACAGTACTTGTCCACAAGAGCTATAAACGATGGATCTTGCAGAAGCTGTGTTGCAGTTGGCCGCTCCTCAGGAACATAACTAAACCCTCTTGACAAGACAGAGAGTGCATGTTGTCGTTCAACAGGATCAGATTCCGGACGCCGGTATGCAATATTTGCTTCAAGGGAGTCTTCTGGGGCTGGCTTTCTATTCTGATCATACCACATGTCAAGGCTGCTCTCGGGGTCAACATATAAGCCTTTCCATTCTTGGGGAAGAGGGCCTAGGGTGAGAACCATAGAGCTTACTATCCCGCCACGTGACAAGGTATTGAAAGGGACAAAACCTAGGTAAAGCACTGAAAAAACACACATATAGCTCCACATGTCACAAGCAAAGCTTGGAGGCTTGTTGTGAAGTCGCTCGGGTGAACAGTACATGCTGGGTGGGCGGCCTTGAGTTGCTGGGCCTTCGAGCCTCATTGCCAGGCCAAAGTCACCAAGATAGAAATCCTCAGTGCGTAAGTTCTCGGGGAACACTAGGGGTTTAACAAGCTCTCCTTGTTTCCAGAGTTGTACATATGGGATAATCTGCTTGAGTGGTCGGCCAAGAATTTTGTACTTAGCAGCTTTGTTGAGATGGTGAAGTGGTTCTACACCCCACATACAATTTTGACTATTTAGGTCTGCATCGATGGTATTAGGACATTAGTTCAAGCATCCAGGCATCAATGGAATATAGTAGGTTTGGCCTGACTCACCGCGGTGCACAATCCCAGCACTGTGTAGGCTTTCTAAAGCCTTCAGTAATTGCCGAGCAGCGGACATGCGAGTTGACATTGGCAACGTCCTGTTCACATGTATACTGCCCAGGGATCGACCTCTCAGAGGAAATACCAGGACTCGGTGAGAAGATTTGCCCGCAGGAACAGGAAGAATGAAGGTTGCCAGAGATGTCACAAGGTGGGAGGTGTCCTGCACACTTTTGCGAATTTCTTCTTGCATATCGACTTCATGTTCTCCAGAGTTTTCCCCCGAGGCCAGTACTTTGACGGCGACATCACTCTTAGTCTCAAGGTCATATGCCATCCAGACAGTAGAGAAGTGGCCGTGACCAAGTTTATGATCAATGCGGTACCTTTGGTTAAGTACTTCTCCAATACAAATGGGATAAAATGTGCGGGAGTCTCCTGCTGTCTTATATCTATGCCAGGGCTCAGCAAGGATCTCAATGTCGTCCTCATCATCCTCAGTGACAGCAAAATAACCAAGGTCAGTCGTGTCGCTATCCTCAGGGGATCGAGGCATCATTGCTGTTATTGTTATATCCGATACATCTCTCGCGGAACTTGTAGCTACAATTCATGTTTCGAGAGTAGGAGGTGGCGCTGGAGGCTCTATATGTGGAATGGTAGGAAACTCGGTGGGTCGAGATCTGCCCAGTTAAAGAAAAGCTAATTTACCTACTTACTACTAGTCATGTGATGGAGTGAGTGCTCACTGCTCTGCGTAATTCCCTTGTCTATTTACACTTCCACCTCTTCTATTTATTTAAAGTGTATCTATCAATCAATGAAAACTTTAAAATTCAAAGGGCGCCCGTCAGCCGCTGATTCCTGAGGTCTCATTTTCCTATCATTTCTCATTCTCCACCAACCCCCAGCCCTTTACTGATACTGAGTCGCATCGTAGTAAAGATCCAACAGACACGACGCAGACCATGCTTGTGTCGGGCACTAGAATATGCAGGCAATTAGTAAACAATAACACCCACACAGGCTTGGTACATTTCATCACGAGGGATGGAGAGATGGAGCGGAATGAAAATAAAAACAAGATTGAATGAACCAGGAACGACAACTTACTGAATCTGCACAGAAGGCTCCACCTCCATCCGTCAGCTCCGTCAGGCCCTTCCACCTACTGTCCACAATCATTCTCTTACACCCGTTCAGCCTACTCGACACAAGTTGGAACGCCTCTGCTCTCCCATCTCCCTTCCCCTCCTCCCAGCCCTCTCCTAAACCAGACCGTCTCAAAATCTCAAACCTCAACAGCGCCCGCAAGAAATAACCCAGCGGCCACACCCACTCAGGCCCCTGATGATAATTCCTCCCCTTCGCCGTAGCAAAATCCGTTGAATCCTCAGCATTGTTATAATGCGGTCGGTAATTCAAGTCAGCAGGATCGAGTGTAGCCATCCCCACCTCGCCGCGGAGGACATTGTCCGCAACGCTGAGCGCATGAAGGGCATCATTCAGTGGGAAAAGAGTTGGAGCGACGGCCATGGCGACTGCGAAGTTGGGACGGAGCTGGTAGTCCTGGTAGGGGGTGGAGGATTTGTAGAGATCCTTGTAAATGCCACGACGGTGGATGATGGACGGGTCGATGTCGTGTTGTGAATCATCGCCTGGGTCGAGGGGGATGTAGTAGGCACGGTTGAAATTCTCATGGATACGGGAGGCCCAGTTTGAAAATGTTATTTCCTCCATCGTCGCTGTAGAGATTGAGCCAATTTTAACGCCCTCGTGCTTGTAACGTCCCTCACTATGGAGCTTTGCCACCCAGCGCAGAGCACTGTATAGAAGCCCTGTAATCTCAACAGCAGCACCATCCCTGGGTGTCCCCGGATAGCCCTTATTTCCCGCCTTCTCGCTCTCACCCATCTTATCCATCCACGTCCCGCAATTCCACTGATTACCTCCAAAGATAAATCCAGTCTTCCAGTCGACATGAACATCAATCTGGAATCCTTCAGAATTCATCTGCCTGTCCAGATCTGGACCGGCATTGTACTCCCGAAACGACAACCCGGATGCATGTCGTTGGAACACCTCCTGGATAATTTCTGCAATCGTCGAGGACTGACTATACGCCCGCTGATCATCGAAGGGGAACCAAATATCATCATACGGCAAGAAGCGACGGGGTACTTTCACATCTAGCAGCGAAATCCCATCGGGGACGATGGTGGTATAGTCCTGAATGGCCTGGAGAAAGAACCAGACGGAGTCCCGCGAGTTGTAACGCGGCAGCTTACCACTCCCGAGCAAGTTGGGGATCATGCCGTGTTTAAGCACACTTGCGAAAGCGAGGATGTGTGCCTTCGCGACGTCGAACCGGCCAGTAACCAGCAGGAGGCCGCGAAGTGAGATGAAGACGTCGCGGCCCCAACATCGAGCCCAGTCGGTGGCGAAGTGTGGTAGACCGGCGGCGAGAGCGGGGACCTGCTTGTCCGGGTAGAGAGAAGCTGATTTTACATACCCGACCATCTGGACGGCAACCATTGCGAGTGAGTGGATGAAGTGTGTGCCGTATCGGACGCCGTCAAGTAGACTTATACCACGCTTCCGCGCAGCATAATACGCCGTTTGTACGATCATGGCGAAGTACCTTGGCAGGAGGAAATCTGGCACGGAGCGAATCGCATCGAAGCGCTCTTGCAGCCATGTTGCCGAGACTTGCAGGTGGTCATATCCATATACTTCTACCGCGTTTTTCATGCGTCCGACGATGAAATCAAACGCCCACTGGCCGCTGCGAATGTTATCGCATACTGGGTGGCCAAGGTCGTTGGAGCGGACGATAGGTTCAAGCACGCTCCACCAGCCCTGCAAACCGGCATAATCAAGCGGAGCAAAATTTGGGATATTGTAAACACCGTCCTTGCCTCCACTTGAATCCCTCTCCTCCGCATCGCACCTGTAAAGGACGAAGTTAAGATCGATAAGGTCAAGATTACCGAATGCCTCGTCGGCACCGGAGATGATAAAGGAACGAAGATTTTCGGACGGATCTTCACCAGGAATCCACGTCTCGAACACCGCAATTGAACCAGGGGGGAATTCGCCGGGAATTGTAATTGCCGTCTCATTCCCCTTCCCATCAACTCGCACACCATCTAGGCTAAGAATGCGGCTTGGTAGACCCCTAAGATACTTCTTATCGGAAAGAACACGCTCTTTCGACGCATCAGAATCATCAACTTCCAACTTCCAGGCACTAAGAAGCTTGGCATCAGTCCTCGTTAAGCACACAGGGTCCAGCGTGGCATTCGAGTTCCCACTGTTTGAAAACGCCGTATGAGCAATGAGGAAGATGCCCTTTCGAGTATTCGGTTGCACACGATGGACAGTGATGTACTCCCCCACATGATGAATATGGGTCTCATCATACCCATCCACAGCCATTGTCATGTGTAGTTGATTCAACAGCATCTTCGCACAACCTATACCCTCCTCCCCAACAGTTGCTACCATATTCCCTTTGACACCCATCTGCGTTCCCTGTCCCTCCTCCTCTTCCGAGAATCTAGAAGAATACACACGCGTCTCTTTCACCAAGTCCAGATTTTTTGGATAAATCTCATCGTAGCCCATTACACTCCCAGATGCAGATGCACACATGGCGACCAGTGCCGCATTGGGCAGCGTATCTCTAGCTTGGCGCTTCTGCGCAGGTACCTCATTGTCATGCGTGCAATCCATAAACAGCACCTGTATCGGCATCTCACGGATGTGTTTGATAGCCTCATTCCTGTCGCCACCGTTGGTGTGATCGGGAGAGTTTTCTCGTACATAATCGCCCGTCAGCAGATCGATATCAAAGCTCCCAATAGGCCGCCCACCATGCCGATGGACAAGCCTGCTGAGCTCTGTCGCATTCCAAGCCTGCATAGCCTCGCGGATCAGCGCGCTGAGACCTAGCCGCTTCGTAAAGAGATAATCCGTCTCCTCAGAGCCAGTAAATAGTTCCGCGAAAACCGTAAGATCTGGGCGAACGCGCCTGGCTTCGTTGAGGAGGTATTCTGCAACAACAAGCGGGGTAGAGTGGCAGTTATCAATGCGGAAGCCGGCGAAGTGTTTAGCCATCAGCCGTGTATAACGGGCCATATAGTCCCATAGGAATGGGTTGTCATCTGGACAAGCACCATAGCGTAGTTTGACACAGTCGCCCCAGGCCACCACCTCGCGTCGGAGATAGGCTCGAGAGTCTGCGCCCGCTGTGTCTCGCATGGCATCTGCGTTCCACACCCATCCATTATTAATCAGCGCCAGGGAATTTGGATCGTGATTCTTCGTCACTCCATTCACTGGCAAGCGGGTGAAGTATGTCTCAACAAGAGGATTCTCTTCAGTAATTGGCCCCAGCTTCGGCCCATTATCGTCGAGCCGTTGGTACTTGACGCGATTAAAGACCTGGTCAAAGATCTCCTGGGAATCCCTATCAAACTCCAGAAAGAGCGGGAGATTAACCTCGTCGAGGATCTTAACGAGCTCTATTCGAATTTGTGAAATATCTGACGACTCTTTTTGATACCGACCATATAGCGCCCGTAGCAAGGCCGCACCCACCGCAGCATCGACATCCCGACTGTGTCGACCCAGGATCCGGCTGTTATTATTCAACCCCCTCTCCCGAATAAAGGACGCTTTTTCCTTTAAGCTCCAATTTCTGATCTCCTGCAAAGGGCCAATAGTATCCACTCCAAACCCACCCTCGGGAATGCGAACATCATCGCTCACATAAGCCTGAATCGTCCGCTCCACGTCCCTCTGCACATCCACAGCGTAATACTCCCACAGCCGTATCTTATCAATGACATTTCCCTTTATCCCATTGACAACTTCTACCACGTCCTCATTCGATTTAAAATCCACAGGCAATCCCAGCTTGGCCAGCTGCTTGGAGTAGCGCAGCAGTGCCGTATCAAGCTCCAACGCCGCCTCTAACCACGGCGCCGTGGCCACACTATACCCGGCCTCCGGATGCTCCAACAGCCAACTAGCATTATTCGCTGTGTGATTCCACACGACATCCGTCAATGCCAGAAGGCCATATGTGCCTTCCATACGCTTGACCAATGCCGCCACGTCAGCTTCACCATTTGGGAAACAGGCCGGGTCAAACGCCAATGGGTCGAAGATGCTGTACGGCGAGTTCGACTCGCCACGTGCCATCAGCGGGGTGAAGTGGACCATGTTATAACCACGACGGGAGATGCTGGCTAGATGCCTGTCCCAGTCTGTCGGGTACTGACCCATGAATTTTGAGAGGACGGTGATTACTGAGAGGGATGTGAAGGGGAGTCTAGTATCGTTGAGTTTTACGCGGGGAGAGATGGTTAGGTAGTGAGTTTGGGAGCGGAGCTGCTCTTGACTCTTCTCCCGCGGGATTAAAGACGAACTGGCTGAGAGCGACGGGGGCGCGGCATATGTTACGTAAAAGGCGAATGCACCGGGAGCCGTGATGGGTATGTCAATTTCAGTCGCTTGGGTTGAGGAGTGGATTAATCTAAGGTTATTCTCCTTATTATTATCATTACCCGCATCTACAGTCAACTCCTGTTTCCCTGGTCGTAAACAGACTGAGAGGGAATAATATAGGATAATGGCCTACTTATACTCCGTAAATACATCCTTCTCAAACTGTTTCCCTTCTTTCGGGATATTGGCCCATAGACTGCCTCGTCTGCAAATGGGACTGCTCCCCTCAGTGACGAAGCGCAGAATGTATGGGGGGTCTGTGGGGGGCGGTAAGGAGATGAACTCCCGCGGGACATCCGGGCTGCCATTGTCGGTCAGGGGGAGGAGGTAAACTTCTCTCTTTTGAGAAGCCATGTTTCTGAGTTAGCTATAGAAGATCTAATGTCTATCGAGCCTGTTCTTTTTTCCTAATCTTTTATTTGCCCAATGTGCTAGTATCTTTAAGATGGACTGTGATGAAAAGGGTATGCGGCGGGAGAGAGAGCGCGGGATGCAACATGGCATAAGGGCATGAGAGTGGAATCCAGCGCGAGGGACTCATCCATATAAGATATAACTCCCGTGCAGGAATGAACCGCTAACAGGAACTCAAGGGAACTGACGGGACAAGGCGGCGGGCGTGATTGAAATGTTGTTTGAGGTTGTCAGGTTTTCGGCCGCTGACATCATCATCTGCCACATCTTTGTCAGGCCTGGACGCCGGAGGAACATCCGCAAGATATATAGTCATATGTGACTTAAAACCAACTGACCATGGGCTGGTGCCAATGGGAAATTTCCTTTCAGACTAGTGGAAAAGCTTTCGGTTTGGTATTATGACCATCTCAACATATGGTCCTAGCATATATTTCGTTATGTGTCATAATAAGGTGTGCCATTTATACCGTATGCTGTATCTACTTGGCAGATGACATTAAGTATCGCTATAATTTTATGATTTAACTTTTGGAAAGTAGGAAGAATGAAACAAAAATCAAAATCAATGCCCCTCTCAAAACACCAGCCCACCATTTTTAAGCGTAACAATCATACGCGCGCGACACAGAAGTCCGTGTTGACGGGTCCCGTATCCGTGAGATAGGCATAGGTCGACACGAACTTCGAACAGACGGGAAATGCAATGCAATGCACGTCGGAGAAAATCGGAAGGGGTCGTCAATCTTCAAGCATATATGTGTATATAAAACCACCTTCTTGAAAGGGAAAGCAGGGCAACCACCAAATATGCAGCAAAACATAAAAACGATCATGATAAGGATGATAATTATAACGCATGTGCCGAGACGAATGGTACTTCCATCATCCCATGTTTAAAAACCCTTTCCATCTAGCGTTCAATCAGGCTAGGTAAATCTTCCACTTGCACCTCTCCTGTCAGAATCCCTGTAGCATTGTTAGTTTCCAGCTCATCTACTCCGAAAGGGGGAAGGAGGAAGAGGAAGAGGAGATGATGATGAAATACATACTATAAACCGCGGTGAAAAGCGGGAACTCCCCTTCCAGCCCCTTATTCTTCAAAAATATATTAACCTCCTTCGCTGTCAACGTCCCCTGCAGCATCTGCCCGTTGAGCTCCTGCTTCTCCACTTCGTCAACACTCAGCCCCCTCTCGATACTCAGCTTTGCACAGCGATGATTCCTTCCGCCATTACAGCTCGTGATCAGATCCGCAACCCCGCAGCTCTCTTCCGTGAATGTCTGCGAGTTCACCGACGCACCAAAGAACATCGTGCCAAACTTGACCATCTCCAGCAGCCCAACGCGCATCACAGCTGCTTTTGCATTGTCGCCCCACCCCTTCCCATCGACGAAGCCTGCAGCTAGCGCAACGATGTTCTTCAGTGCGCCACCCAGAGACACACCCGCGACATCGCTGACGACACGCACGTGGAAGTACGGGCGGTGGAAGAGAGTTTTGATAAGCTTGTGGTCGATTGGCGGGTATTCGGGCGGCAACGCCTGGAGTTTGACTTTGGAGAACTTGCCGGAGGAGTCCTTGTGTTCAAAGTGCACGACGACGTCCTGCGGGCGGGGAATATTGATGTTCGCGATGGAGGGAGCGGGGGAGAGGCCTCTAGGCGTGGGGGCTTTGGAGTCCATATGGGGCGGGTCGTAGGCTATTGTAGTTTCAGAGTAGAGCTCCTTGGCGATTTCGCTGGCGATGTTGGCTCCCGAGAGGGCGCCGCAGTAGATACCTAGCTTGCGGCCGATGGTTTCGGAGAAGAGGCTTACGCCATCGTCGGCGGTGACGTTGACGCCCTTGATGCATGATATGCCGCGAGCATAGGGGACAATGTGGCCCTTGAGCCTGTCGCAGATGTTATTGATAAACTGGTGGGGTAGGTTGAAGACGAGGATGGTGGAATTCTTGACAGCGTCTTCCAGGGAAGGGTTTGCGCGGAGATTTTCTGGCAAGGTGATGTTGGGCAGGTATTTGACGTTCTCGTGGAGTTGGTTGATGATCTCAGTCAGGTTCTGGGATCCCGTACAGATAGGCAATTCCCTGTTGTAGTGTTTTGAAGATTGGGGCACTTCGACATTCTCCTCGTATACCCACATCTGCACTGTTGGCTCGAAGAGGTCCGGGTTAGCTGCCGCATTTTCAGCGACCATTTTGGAAATGACCGAGCCCCTGCAAACATATATATCAAGTTAGGTCAGAAAATTATGTCGTTCAAAGAATGAGAATACATACCAATTTCCAGAGCCTATCACGGTCACCTTGTGCCGCCTCCCGTGTGGTGTCAGGCCAGCCATGGTGTACGAGCGCGCAAGTAACTTGGGACAAAAGGAGGTATATGTGAAAGCTAGACGAGGATGGGGAGGGGAACAGGCAATACTGGTATTTAAATGATAGGTGTGGCGATTGACTCGGGTGCCAGCGCAGAAACGTGGGGCCAAGAGGAAGAGAAACGGTGCTGCAGGCGGTGAGACACGAATTGGCCGTGGAGAGATACGGGACATTCACAAGGCGCAGATGGCAGCGAAGGTGGATATCTAGGCCCGGGACTCGATCTGTGGCAGGTTCCCAGATGCAAGATCGCAGAGATAAAGATCTATCAGGAACCGAGGCCACATCTGAATCGCCCAAACAGGAAATTTCTCCCACCGAGATGGGCTGCGGTTAGATAGCGGCCTGTGATTGGCTGGCCACGGCCCAACAGGGAAAATGGTGGGGCAGAAGCCTCAGCCGCCACTGCCCGGTCCAGACGCCGGTGGGGTCTGTTTGGTCTGTTTGATCTGTTTGGTCTGTTTGGCGGAGGAAGGTTGGAAACAGAGAGGGTTCAACAACCGGTATTTTCTTGTGCTGGGAGGAAAAGAAGCATCTGGATTACGGGAAGGCCATTGCAGCTCTGTCACCCAGCAAGTCCCGCACGACTTTCCCTTTGGATAGACACCTGGAAAGATACGAGCAGATGGACAATTCCTCTCAAAATCCGCCACTTGGGATATGGGCGAAAATTTCCACCCGGGTCCCGGAGTCCCTGAACCTAAAGCTTGTTCTTATGGCCAGACCCTTCGGCGGGCGGACGTTCCTGGATGTTCTTGGCTTTTCCACTGTTCCCGAGCCATCCTTTGCGAGAGACCCAACCGATGCTGTATAATCTATCTGGTGGATCAGATGTCCAACCTCGGTCTGGATGGAACAGCCCATTTTATTCCTCCCATGTGCTAACTCAGATGTATTCCATTGCCTATGCAAGTGCGTTTTGTACAAGCTAGTCTGATTCTAATTGAACAAGTCGAATAATTTGGATGGAGAACTTTAAAGTTATAGTACTACTCCTCGTATTCGTCATTTTTATGGATATTAGCCGCGCGTTTATTTCAGCGAACAAACTTTATTCTCCGCGCGCTTGCTACCATTTGAGACTTGATTAAACAGCTCGCAGCCGTACACGAGACCAACGACCACTCTTCATAACCCGATCACCATGGTATGCCTACCTTTTGGAACCCCCTCGTTTCGCCGCTTTTCACTTCTAACGAACTCAATAGGCCCCAGTCGCTCCCAAAAAGCGTACCACAAGCCGGGCCAAGATTGTCCGGAAACCAGCTGCCATTCCCATCCCCTCCTCCAGTCCCTTCTCTGACACCTCAACCTTCCGTACAAACAAAAAAGACAAACGCCAAATAAAACATTCCGTCTTCATTTCCAGAATTGAGAAGCCGCGCACCAAGACCCTAAAGCGACGGCGTCCCTCGAAGAAACTAGTCGCCAATCTCGATTCTCTCATTGATGCGCTGCCTGATGCCGGTGATGAAAATAATAACCCTAATCATAGCGATGGACATAGAGAGATGATAGCTGGCCAGGTGAACATTATCCGGCAGAAGAGTTTGAAACATAAGCCCGGCGCAATGAAGAGGAAGGAGATGCTCGATCGGAGGGAGAGGGAGCGGTTTGCGAGGAATCTGGCGCAGATGGCGGTTGTGGCGCCTTCGCCTCCTATTGATGCAGAATTCTCAAACCATACGCAGCCGCATCCACGGCCGCAGCCAGGAGCTGAGAGCGTTCCCACGTCGAATCGTTGGGCGGCGTTGCGTAGTTTTATTACACAGACAATCGACCAGAATCCAGAATTTAATAAAGCTGCGCGGCCGACGTGAAAGGGTGTATTGTCGCTTTTCTTTTATTTTACGAATAGTCACACGTTGTTACCATAGGTTGCCTATCTCGGTTTCTCCTCAGTTGGAGCAGAGCTCTGTGCACGCTGCTGGGGTTGTTTGTTTGCGCGGTTTGCAGTTTTGCAGCCTGCGGAGAGGATTTAAATTACATCAGTGATAAAGCTTCGGACATGGAGAACCAACGTGGATGATAGCCATAGCCCATGAGAAACGGTCCGCGGGATGTGTAGAACGGTGTACGGAGTTTCTTTGGTGGAGTTTCGGTTTGAGAGTATCTGAAAAGTTCAAATACCATGTCTTCCTTCAACAAAATGCCATGATAAAAAAAAGGTATGAAAGAAGAACGAAAGTAGTACATAATGATTTGATTCAATGCTATTTGCAAACTACATACTGAATCAATTCGCTACTCTTTTTGAACAATCAAAGTTAAACTTCGGGTATAAAAAGCCTCTCTCACCCCGCCTAACCCCACCCTTTTCTTTTCTGAATCGGGACATACTGCCAACACCCTCTTGACCAAGCGTAGTCGGAGGATAAAATGAAATGACAAAGAGATGGAGGACCTCTTAAAATCCCGCGAATTCCTCCAGCAGCAAATCGCCACCACGGAAGCTCAGCTCTCCCAACTCAATGCTGCGCTCGAGCGGACTGAGCAGCAGATCGCGGCGGGGAGGCCAACAACAGCAACAACGACCACAAACAAGCCGGAAACTGTGAACAAGGGAGAAGTGCCATCTGAACAGAATCGCAGATATCCACTCGAACAGGATGAGTATCGACGCTATGGACGGCAGATGATTGTGGACCAGATCGGGCTTGACGGTGCGTTCCGGCCTGGAACAAGCGGCTAAACTAGAGAACTACAGGCTAATTTGTGAATCCTTTTTGATACAGGGCAATTAAAACTGCGCGAATCCTCGGTTCTCATTGTTGGCGCGGGGGGATTGGGATGCCCTGCTGCCATGTATCTGGCTGGAGCTGGGGTTGGAACCATAGGAATCATAGATGGAGATACGGTCGAGGAATCGAACCTGCATCGACAGGTGCTGCATCGGACGAGGAATGTGGGGAAGTTCAAAGTTGATAGCGCGATTCGGTATTTGAAAGAGTACGTCATATTGCTATTAATACTGGATACGCAAACATCTCACCAACACATAAACTCTCCAGATTGAACCCGTATCCCAAATACATCCCCTACCGCGTCAACCTTACCCCCGCCCATGCGCCTTCGATCTTCAGTCCCTACGATCTCATCCTCGACTGCACAGACAACCCCGCAACCCGCTACCTGATCTCCGACACCGCTGTCGTCCTAGGCAAACCACTCGTCTCCGCCTCCGCGCTTCGCACCGAGGGCCAGCTAATGGTCCTCAACTACCCTCCCCAAAAGCCAGTAGACCAACTATCCGCCTTGCCAACCGAAACCACCACCGGAGGACCGTGCTACCGCTGTGTGTTCCCTAAACCCCCTCCCGCCGCGAGCGTCACGAGCTGCGCCGACGGCGGCATCCTCGGCCCCGTCGTCGGAGTCATGGGCGTCCTCCAAGCGCTCGAGGCGATCCGCGTCCTCACGCAGACAACGTCAGCCACGTCCACAACAATGTCACCAACCCTTCATCTCTTCTCGGCCTTCTCTAGCCCTCCATTCCGCAGTATACGGCTGCGCCAACGGCGACAGGACTGCGCCGCTTGCTCGCCGACGGCGCGGACGATAACGCTGGACTCGCTGCGCAGTGGGTCGATGGATTATGTGCAGTTCTGCGGCGGGGTGGTTGGCGCGCAGGCGCTGTTGGGGGCTGAGGAGCGGATATCGGCTCGGGAGTATTGGAGGCGGTATCAAGAGCGGTGGGGAGAGGAGGGGGAGGGGGAAAGCCCGATTCTAATCGACGTGCGGGAGGCGGTGCAATACGGCCTGGGCGCGCTGAAGGGGAGTGTTAATATTCCGATCTCGTCGATCTTGTCATCTTCTTCTTCTTCTACCTCCGCGACGCAATTGAACTCCGGCTCCCTTGTTGAAACAGCGCCCAATGGCACGTCCGCAGTAGCAAGTACAATAGCTCTCAATCTCCCGTCCTGGTACCCTTCATCTCTGCTCGATACGGACCCGACCAGACCGATCCATGTCGTGTGTAGATTGGGGAATGACTCTCAGGTGGCGGTGCGGAAGCTGAAAGAGCTGGGTGTTGATAGGGGCGGTGAGAGGTGGGTGGGAGATATCCGGGGTGGACTGAAGGCGTGGAGAGAGGAAGTCGAGCCGGAGTTTCCTGATTATTGATCGTTTTGCTTATGAGTGGAAAGTTTTTGGGTTTGTGAGAGGGGCAAACTGGAGGTGTTCCATTCATGTCATGTCATGATCAGAGTTCATCAATTGAAGATAACAAGCCGCTTTCTCTGGCGGTGGATATTAGACGCAAGCAAAAGATATAAATAGAGATATAAGCATTGACAACCTATCATTCACTCGATGTATATATTCGATATCAACAATAATCAAAGAATGTTCCTAACTACCCACCAAGAAGTTGAAAGGGTATTGCCTTTTTATACAAAAAAAGGGCTGGGTGTAAGGTGGGTATCATATCCAAGAGGAGCAAATCGCAACAATGAAAACAAGTAAATACGCATGAAACGTTTCATTCGCCCGAAACGAAACAGAAACGAAACGATGAAGCAAGAAACATAGGTTTTCTTTCATGATAAAAACAAACAAAAATAAAATAAAATAAAAAAGAAAGCAAAAACAAGAAATTCAAGTTCGTATCTCGAAATCCACAGGATAACCACATATCACCAGGGGTGGACCTTCCAACCTGCTACCCTGGCGTGCGTGGGGGCGTGCGCGGGAGGGGTGTATCCTCCAACCACGCCCACTGCACATCCACACGCCCCTGCTCTTCCAACGCCAGTTGCGTGAAAACGCTAATCGAGACATCGATATCATTTGGCTGGCACCCAACACCTACAACAGAAACAAAGTCAGCAAACGCCAGAAAAATAAGAGGTCAAAAACCTACATCGATCCACAACTGTAACATCCACACTCCTCCCCGCCCTCCGCAACCTTAACTTCTTTCCGCACAGCGGATTCGCATTCGGATTCGGCCCTACAGACACCGCATCATACAGATAATGCGATACAGCACACACAGGCTCCCCAGCCGAACTCTCAATCCCACAAGCGCCCAGCCCCGGGTCATAATACGTTAAATCGCCCATATACGGCCCTCCATGGTTGTTGGGTAGCGGGAGGTCGACAGAGGAGTGATGATTGATATTACTGCTCTTGTTCCGCCCCGAAAGACCCACTGTCAACCCAATTACAAGGATGAGGTGGAGAAGGACTACTCCGCCGACTATTAAGAAGACACGTTGTTTTTTCTTGTTGGACTGGAAGGGGAGTTTTGGTTTGAGGTCGTTGGTTTGCGCTGCTGTCGTTATTAGTGGTGTTGGTGGTGTGGGTGGTCGTGATGGACTTGCGGCGACGGACGTCGATTTCATGAATGGACGTTTGAATTTGCTGGTGAGGGATCGCCAGGGAGAATTTGCGGAGGTGGCGCCAGCGCCTTTCTCCGCGAATGGGGAGTCGTGGTATGGTGCTGCTGTTATAATTGTGGTGGTAGGATTGGGGGGAATGAGGACGGGTTTGCGCTTGGGAATTTCGGAGACGGAGACTTGTACACAGGAACCGGCTTTGATATGTTTTATCGAGGTGGACTCGGACTGCGGGAGTACAGGCGCTGCCCGGAGAGGGTGAGGAGATACGGTTTCATCATTACTGATGCTCCGAACACTGGTTGAGGAGACGGTGCGGGTGAGAGAGGAAACAGTCTTGATTGATTGGGCCATTGTCTATATTCCTTTCCACAGGGCTTTCGTCTGGAAGTTTCCCGGGGATATGTGTTTAAATGAGTGTGTCCGAAATGACAAATCAGGGTCGATTGTATTCATGAATCTGCCCTGCGAGAAATTGTTTTCTGACCAAGGATAGCGAAGGTGATGGCTGTATATCAGCTCCGAGTATATCTATCTGGATGCCAGTGTGGGCCAGACAACAAAGTCTAACCCAATTCTGTGACTTCAGTATATTTTCTGCCTTTGCGCCGGGATTCAGGGGCTGGACGTAGTATAGCTAGAGTAAGCGCAAGCCTCCTCAGCAGTGGATGAGTGAATGAATGGACGGCAGTCGCCAGAGTAGATAATAGGGGAATGAATGAATTCGCAGGACAAACGAGTGTGGTCCCTAGCGGAATGTCAGGCCATGGTCGGGACCAAGGACAGCAGCGTCTCATCAATCTGACACGGTCCCAGAGATGGTTCCCGTCCCCTGGATCAACAACATGGATGAATGGAAGAGGTTGGCCTGGCCGAAATAGGGAATTAGGGCTTGCTGGAGGATGTTCATCACATGATTAAAAGCTTGGCAGTGAAACTAACTGTTGAAGATGGAACAAGGTTCATGTCAAAAGTTCTTGCCCACAACTAAAAACGCTACGAAAGTATAACAAGAAAATAGCAATCATCATAATCTGAATACAATTATCTGCAATCTCCTTTATATTGATTTCCACCTTCTAGCTCTATAATCTTTTAACCCCAGTGGCTGAATGAATAATGCGGTCACCAGGTAGTGCCTTGGTGTGGGCATCCAAGGTGTGTGGGTTCAAAACCCACAGGGAACAACTGTAACGGGCGTGCCATCGATTAACTAGGCACTACCTTGGTTGCGGATTATATGTACCATTCGTACCGCCTGAAAGGTTCGTATGATCTACCGGCGTCACCAATGGGCTAGACACTATTCTAAATATAGATTGCAAATCGATTAAGAAAGGAAAGAGAGAGATCAGAAGAAAAGATCATATGAAGAGAGTTCTTATAGAGAAGAAATCAGAATAGAAGAATATCAGAGATGGTACTATAGTGAAGCACAGAGCAGAATTGTGAGAAGAAGAGTGTCTATATATATATATATATAAGTATATAAGTTATTATTATTATTCTTCTTCTTCTTCTTCTTCTTCTTCTTCTTCTTCTTCTTCTTCTTCTTCTTCTTCTTCCGTTATACTCGTATGCAAGCAGTGCTTATGATGAGTCCTTGAGTGATGTTAAACACAGGCAAGAGTGGTTATACAGAAGGAATGCTGGTGTTGAAAACACACCAAGATATAACTAGTAAACATAGGAAAATCAAATGAGAGACAGGATTGGTACATGTAATGCGGGTTCCCAGCTCAGGAGCAATAAGTTAAATCAGATAGTAGGTCCGCCCGAAGATACCTTGCTAACCAGTCTCTAACCTAGCAAGCTTCTCACTGGATCTAAGGTAAGATCAAGGCTTATATAGCGCTTCTGAGCTTGGTCACTAGATCAGGACGTTGAAGCAAACACGCCAAACACATCAAATGTTGTTAAACTGCTCTGTCTCAAATTTAGTACTTAAATGCTAAGAAGTGTGGATCTCAAAACAATCAACATTGATTTCTCTCTTAGAATGTCTACCCCTTTCTTGAACTTTGACGGGACTCCTCTTAGTGATCCCGTTATCGGCTATGGTGGAACCGGAGTCGTTGTTCAACAGGATGGCATCGCAGTTAAGATTCCATTAAGGTATATCAGTGATAGTAACATTGATGCCCAAGCGAACCTGAAAGTCATCAGGCATGAAATAAGTGTGTATCAACGGCTACAGGGTTGTGATGGTGTTGCATGTTGTTTTGACTTCCTTGGTGATTGTATTCGAATGGAGTTGATGGAAAACGGAGATCTTGCTGCATATATAAAGAAACGACGCCCACCTCGATCGGATCAGCTCTCATGGTTTCGGCAAATGGCTCATGGCCTTGCCCACATACACGACCGCTGCGTTGTAGTAGCAGATATTGCTACAAAGAACCTTCTTCTCAGCGCCGACCTCTCCATAAGATTCTGTGACTTCTCCGAGTCCTCTATTCTGCCCCTCAATACTGATATGGAGCGCGTCGATGAGCGTGGCTACTCGATTTACACAGACATGGGCCAACTGGGTGCAGTGATGTATGAGGTTGTAACTGGGTACCCTTGCGAATTTGATCTATTTAGGGATCAACCGTCAGGGCCCGCCTGCGCCGCCTGGCCACGACGGGATATTTTACCTTCCACCCAGAATGTCTGGCTTGGTTCCATCATTGAAAGGTGTTGGGTTAAGAATGCATTCCAGAACGCGAGAAGTCTGCTGGCTGTGCTGGAAGCGGTTACTCTGGATTGTCCACTTGAACATGAAAGGAGCTCCATGAACATTTAGGTCCCCATGCCAACATGCTCGCAGATTTGGAGATATCGCTCTTACAGGACAGTACTCTTAACAAATACCTATCACAAACAAAGCTAAATCGGAATCAACAATTGAACTTCATGCGGGAAGCAGCCGCCGCTGTCTCATATGCACATTCAAAACATGTACTCATTGGTGGTTTTACTGCAAGAAACTGCCTAATTGCGGATGGCCAAAGGCTCAAATTATGTCATCTTGGGAACTCTCGTGTCGTTCCGGAACATCTGGATATTGGTGAAGTCAAGGAGGACAGTCTGTTGTTCAAGCATGACATAGCCTGCTTCGGTTCCCTTATCTATAATGTTGTTACTGGCGAGAAGTTCGAAGCCCGTATCTGCCAGCCATCCAACCTAGCTATATGGTATCATGTGGCGATTTCTGAAAATGAGAACTACGCGATCCCAGTTCGAATGGCTGAAGCCAGGCGTATCCATTTTCCCAATTGGCCTTGGGACAGAGAGCTTCCCAACACAGAGGGCATATTCCTAGGTAATGTTATTTGGGATTGCTGGGCTCTGTCTCGGTATATGAGGATGGAAGATGTCTGCAGTGCACTCTCAGAACTTTCAAAGCGAGATCGCTCTATGTTGTCAGGGGAGAGCGGGTTTCGTCTATTATGTCTTCCTTTTGTTCCCGTGCTTGCGGTCGCAGCTGGTTCGCTGGTATTTATTGCATTCCAACGTCCAACACGTCTTTCGCTTCTTTCACTAGTGCCCAGGTTCTTCCGGTGTTTCTTAGGGTTGTGTCTGTCCAACACAACAGGGAGTTTGGTGTCCACTTATTTCTCCGTACGTATCTAGATTAGAAAGGACAAACGTTGAGCCAGGATGAGGGCACATACAATTCTCATTTTGTTTAAAAATTTGCTATCTGGGCCATAATCTGTGGGATGGTTAATCTTGTTATTGTTGTGGTCAGAATATATAGGAGTGGTAATCACAGTCCCGTGATTGGCTAACTCTGCTTACATAACCGTGACCTTGCCGCTTCCCGAGGTTGGCGAAAACTGAAGCAGACACACTCAAACAGTAGACATCGACCACGACGACAGCTTCAATTGACCCCACGCGGAGAGCGGCAAGCACCAGGGAGACGCTTTTGAAAAACTAACCGACTGCGAGTCGCTGATATCCATCTACATCCAACTCTGAGTTATTGCCCCTCTTCTCGGAATTGGAAGGCAGCTGTCGATATGGCCTCCCTACGCCCTACATCCCGCCTACTCGCGGCCTCTCGACCTCTATTCCGCATCTCCGTAGCCTCGAGATCTTATGCCACCGTGGAGCCTGCATCCAAGGTCGCGGATCAATCTACCCCATCGACTTCGCAATCCCCAAGACTCAAGACCTTCAAGATCTACAGATGGAACCCGGACAAGCCCACCGAGAAGCCCTACATGCACGACTATACTCTCGACCTGAACAAGACCGGGCCCATGGTGCTGGATGCCCTGATCAGAATAAAAAACGAACAGGACCCCACCCTGACCTTCCGGAGAAGTTGCAGAGAAGGCATCTGCGGGAGCTGTGCCATGAACATTGACGGCGTTAACACCCTGGCTTGCTTATGTAGGTTCACCACTGTACCTTTTAATGTGGATTGATACTGAACTATAAAGGCCGCATTCCTACCGAGACCACCAAAGAGTCCAGAATCTATCCTCTCCCTCACACCTACGTGGTCAAAGATCTAGTTCCCGATCTAACCTACTTCTACAAGCAATACAAATCAATCAAGCCATACCTACAGCGCGACACACCTTCTCCAGACGTATGTTCTTCAACGCCCCTCTTCACAAATAACAATATTCTCATAAAGCAAACTTTCTCATGTTATTTTGTAGGGCCGCGAAATCCGCCAATCGCCCGCAGACCGCAAAAAACTCGACGGTCTTTACGAGTGCATCCTGTGCGCCTGCTGCTCAACCTCCTGTCCATCCTACTGGTGGAACTCGGAAGAATACCTCGGCCCCGCTCTCCTGCTGCAGTCTTACCGGTGGCTAATTGACTCACGCGACGAGAAAACCGAAGAGCGCAAGGCTCACCTCGACAACAGCATGAGTGTGTATAGATGCCACACCATTCTCAACTGCACGAGGACGTGCCCCAAGGGATTGAACCCCGGTCTGGCCATTGCGGAGATTAAGAAGATGATGGCCTTTGCGTAATAAATAGGATCGTGCTGCTTTTTCTGCTTCTGTTTTAAATTTTGGTCTCCTTTTAGGTTTTGGATCCTTCAATCGGTTAGCGCCTGTGCTTGTGGTGCCATTTTGCTACTATGGCGCCGCAGTCCTTTCGTTCTCTCTTACAGCTCGCTGTGCCGTGACTTCCTACGACATGCGTCACGGGTCCAGATCCGTACTAGCAGCAAAAGCAACCCCGGCTCCCCCGTTTCCGGCATCGAGAGTGCAGGTGTTGGAATACGGAGATTCAGTTTGTTCGTTATCTATTTTCCTTTGGTCATGAGTTTCTAGCTTTCTCTTGTTGACATAATGTTCAAGCTGTTATTTATTTTCTCGTTTCCTGTTCCATCTTTTTCCACCTCTGTACATATATGGAGAATTATCAACTAGTGAAATGTCTTAACCATGTATAAAACCACCGTTAAATAAAACAAGCAGACCAAAAATAAATGATTGAATCAACAAAAAAATGAACATAAATATGAGGCGATGCTATGCCTTCCCTGTTGGATTTTAGAGACATGATGTGACGTGTGTGGAGGATCGGTGCTGGGATGTGTATTATATTCGGTTGAGTATTTTGTATGGATTTAGGAAACGACAATAGGAATATGCACCGGGAAAAATAAGGAGTTAATTCCGTCAAAAACCTCACTGCGATATCATCCTTCCCACGTCTCTTCGATGTGAGACACCCCACCCCTCCTTTGACGCTGAACGGAAAATATGTAGAGACATCTAAACACCTGAGCTCTCGAGGTTAAAAGGTTCCGACAACTTACCAAAGACTTGAGGTTTCGGTAACGAACTTGCTTGGGTCTGGTTAATTCAGCATCTGCGGGAAGCTTAGACGCAACGGCCTCCCCAATCTATGATGTCTTCTGCGTATGCTTGATAATCCATTTCACATCCAAGGGGTTCGGCATCCTGTTACGATGAGGCATGTCTCTCAGAATCAGCTCTGGCACGAATCCGTTCCACGTAGCTGGTATCCCTCCTAGTTACTAGTACCCTCAATGGCCAATATAATCACTTCGCGAATCGGAGTCTGGAAATATATGGAAGAGAAAAGAAGGGGTAGGCATGACAGCCTATATCCAACCAAATGTGTGGATATATGTATACTTTTACAAATCCAGAGCAGAGATTTGTTTGTCCGTTAGCAGCAATCTATCTTGCTTCGCAAGAACCCCGTCAACCTTCCTATATTCTCTCGAAAAAGCCTAACAAAACCTCGTTTACCTCATCCCTCGCCTCCAACTGGATCCAATGCCCTTTAGCATCAACCTCCCTGACAGTCAAGTTCTGCGCAAACTGTCTCATCATGCCCGCTGCTGCTCCTGGTATATTCAACCGGCTTGGCTGCGAGGCGAGCATCAACACTGGCTGGTAGAGTTTCGAGTCTAACTGTGCCTGGATCTCGTCGTCGACATTGATATTCCCTACCAGGGCGCGATACCACATCAACGCAGATTTGTAATGGCCGCGCATGATCTTGAAGTGAGTGGCTTTCTCCTGTTGAACGTTAGAATATAACTAACTATAGCATTGAGGAATTGATTTCCTCATGGCCCTACGCACCTCTTCCGTGATATACGGGGCCAATGGCGCTTTACGATCGTTCCGCAGCCATGTCTCCAGGGCCCCTGTTGGCCCCAGGTGCTCGATCCATAAATCAGCCTCTGCGGGGTAGAACAATGTGAAGAACGAATCCACCTAGCAAGTTAAATTGGCCAATCTGCCCCACCAGCGGTGCATACCAATATAAAGATCATGGCCAAACACTTACATGTTCCTCAATGAGCCCCGCCGCCCCCTCCGACACAAAAAACTTCAGGTACCCAAACCTCTCGAACCCTAATACCTGTTTCACCATCTCATTAATCGCATCGAGATGAAAGCCCTCACCAGGCTTCTGGTACGGGACTTCCAAGAACGACAAGCTGGCAAGCCGTGTGGGGTAATAATTCCCCAGCCTCGAGAGCAGATAGCAGCCTGTATCATGCCCCACAGCGTGGACAGGCCCTGAGATATTCTCATGGTCCAGCAGCGCAATAATATCTGCAGACATTGTCTTGGCTTTGTAGTCTGACAGCTCTGTCGGCTGTGCTGGGCCATTTGCATCAGCTCCAGAAGCTGGTGTGTTCTGGCCGTATCCGAGCAAGTCAGGCGCAAGGACGCCATAGTCGTTTGTTATGAAGAAAGTGATTTGGTGGCGCCAGTCGAAACTGGAAGAGGGGAATCCGTGGAGGAATAGGATGGTGGAGGTGGTACTGGTACTGGTGCTGGGACGGGAGAAGATGTAGGTGTATCTGTGGTGGGAAGCGGGGACGGTGTAAGCGCGGGCGAGGGAGGGGAACACAACGGTTGCCATGTTGATTTAGTTAATTATCTATTATGTATACGGGACGTTGTGCTTATCCGTTCCACTTGTGTTTGCTCTACTCAGACGGCAGTAGAACGACGTTGTGCAAATATTCTCAATAAGGTCACGCCCTCGCTGAATCTCTCACCGATATTTCTGGATCAATGCACACTATCTGAAATGCGGTCAGGGGCTTTGACAGCCAAGTTAGGTGTCAAGGCCATAAACTTCTATTATGAGGACTGGGCTTGCAAAGTTGAGTTTTGCTATTCGGATGAGTAGAAATAATTTTCATATAACTAACTATCTTGTTTATATACACTGTAATATCATCAATCCATTTTGGTTATAGTGGAAAGCCAAGCGGGCAGGCAAGGCTTCGGCCACTCGGCTAAGGTCAACCACCATGACAGCGCTTGCGGTTATAGGAGCCGGACCCTATACGTAGTTAAACCCTTCGGGGCATACTGGGCCCGGAGGCGCCTGGCATGACGCCATTGTTAACGCATAGGAAACAACAGACTGCTATGAGCGGAAAGACAGAACAGTTAAGTAAATTTAACTACTAGGACTTAACAGTTTCAGCCCTTTTATATACACTATTTTAGCCATTGGTGACAGAGTATTCTTCCATAGTTCTTCTTATCTGCCTCCTGAGCTTCTATGAGATCCCAGTTTCCAATATCTTCTAGTCTTTCGCTCTTCCTTTTTTATGCTGCCATTTTTATCTATTTCCCTTTTGACTGAGAACAGTGATAGCCAGTTCTTAGTAACTTAAGGCAATTTATAATTGCTGTTGCCCACATATGAAGTTAATTCCTGTGATGTTTAACTAAATCTCGCCTAAATCTTGGGGTGCCTTTAGGGCTTTGGAATGAAGGTGAGTCCAAAGTCTTTACGGGAGAATCCTATAAGAAATTAGCCTTCTGTTATAGGAATAATCTCATGCAGATACGCCGAATTATGATGCACACATCGGCATCGCGATATATGGGCTGGAATCACCCGCATATGCGCTCCGATTCCACGTCGTGGTTGGTATATCATCCCTCTATGCAAAGCATCCGTGACCCAAGAACAAAGGTCGTGCAGAATATGAAAAAAAGAAACGAGCCGGCATGAATTGAGACCCCAATACCCCAACTTCTCGCGCAATTGGTGATCCAAGCAACCGACTGACACGCGTTCGATCATCAATGCGCACCCTATGCTAGCCTATCCTCGAGAGCTGGCTTCGATAGTTAGCTAGTGGCATATTCGATAGCTATCCATATCTAATGCATCCAACCATGCACCGTGCTAGTAAACATAATCTCCTGCATTTTCCAGCCTGCGGCGAGCTCTTTACTCGAACGAACCCACCGTGAATTCAAGGTAGCTATCAATTCTCAGGTCTAGAATATCAGACTTGTTCCTGAGTTGGGACCTTTGTTACATTGATCATCAAGAGGCTAGCGGTCAAACAAGAAACCATCATTTCGAGCAGCATGCAGCACCAGCCATTTTTGAACCCACCGCAGATCTGCCATGCCCACTTCCCCAGCTATTACGGGTCTAAAAAATGTTAGGTTTCATTATTGTGGGGTGTTTCTTTTGGGAATCAAGTTCCAGAGAGGTGGATATACCATTACTGCTTGGTGCAGCTAACATTACAGATCATATTTTCTTTGTGATGCCGTACAATTCCTGTGCATGTGAAAGAAGGAAAGTCGACTAACTGAGTCGATATCTTACATGGGGTAATTGGGTTAGTTCACGGACGAACAAAGAATTGGAAAGATGTCAGCGAAGAACCTAAAGCGATTGCATTTCAAGGCGCGGCGCAGAGAAGCAAAGCACCTTGATAGCTTGAAAGGGTTCGCCTTTGATGCAGCGCAATCGATCGAATATACAAATGAATGACGATCGACGCGCCTTGTTTGTTACCTCGCTCGTGCAGATGGCGGTGATCTGCGCTTCTAGGTCTGTATCTCTGGAGCACGAGGAGATCCCGCACCCCGGGCATATAAATACGGCTTCCAACCCCTTTCCTCCGGGAGGAAGCATCAAAACTATCCCTCAATCCAATATTTCGTACATCGCGGCTCAGTTATACCATCTACTTCTAGCTTCACATCCCTTCAGTAACCATGAAGTTCACCCTCCTCGCTACTCTTGGCCTCATCGGCACTGTGTTTGCCCTGGTATGAATATATCAGACCCTTATGTCCATAATTCCTATTACCCCCAACAACGCAAGCTGACTTCTTTCAAGATCCCTAATGGAGGGAAATGCAAACAAGATGGGAGCACGGGCTACTGCGAGAGCGGATACTGCGAGGTTTGTTTTATTCCTCTTACCGCGCGCCGCCCCCCCCCCTTCCCCTTCCTTCCCTCTCCCGCGCGTTTTCAAGTTTGGAGATCGTTTGAAACCTGACTCCTTTATGAAACTCCCAGCAACTTCCAAAGGAGGAAACCGGCGTATGCAAGGACCTGAAGCGCTGAGTTGGAGCATGTGGATGTCCCTTAGCTACCCGGGTGGCTTCAAGTTGCTTTTGGATGATAATACAGGCTATTCTTGTTCTTTTGTTCGGATATCGCGTTTTCAATTATTAGACCTCGCAACATCCATTGCCCCATATTTAGTCAATGCAGTGCAGTTAGATTTTCATTCCTGCATCGGTTTTTCTCGACTGCTTTCATCGTGGTGACGGATAGAGTCAAGTTGCATGTAACTCAACTCAACCCCTTAACAAATAGAGCTTCTCTGGACCTTCACGGTCATGTCCAAATCCATGAATTCAGCCTGCAATTGTGTACATGTACTGTACCATGGCAATATGTACTCTGAAAGCCGTAGATACGAGCCGGAACGGTCGTTTAATTATCCTTGCAGCCATAGGAACTGGAACAGGGAGGTTAAGCTTTGGGTCCGTGGGTCCATTGGGCTAAACCTATAACATGGAGCCGGATATAGATTACTTATGGGACAAAAATGATGTTTGAAAAGATTGTCATTCAGTTGGAGAGCGATTTGTAAGGGAAAAAAAACTACCTAAGACATAAATTTCAACTTCTTCCATGAGACTTTTTTTGCGTAGAGGAATGGAACCTCTGTACATTCAATGATGCCACCCTGATTGGATAATAAAAAACACATGCTGCCGACAGGGATGCCTAGTGACTCATGTTGATTGATATGGCTTGTGGGTGAATCTCAGGCCTTGACCGCAGCGGGCTCAAGTCTTCGGAACCCACCCTCAGCAGCAACCTGGCGCTGCAAGTCTGCCATCCGACACTGGTCGCCCGTTGGATCGTCGGATTCGGGCTCAAGCGTCCAGCTCAAGAACTTGTTCGTGTAGTTTGGTTCGAAGCTAGCGTCCAGAATGTCGAGCCGTTTGCCGTAGTTGGTCACTTTAATCCAGTCTCGCTGGACGTTCTTCAAATCTTTACTGAAGTAGGCGTAGGAACGTTCGAAGATCTTACGATTGACTGGAGTGCCCATAACGGGTTTGACGTCAACGTACTCTTCATAAGCTTCTGAGGGTTTCGCAAGAACATAGTCTGTGGCTCTTTTGACTGCCTTGAGGAATTTGGAGACCTTCTCCGGGTTCTGGGAAATAAATGTCTCGTTTCCGATGTACAAGATGGAGCAGAAGCAGCAGCATCCGAGCTCCGCGAGTTGGTCGATGCGAAGCATTTGGACATCGGAACGAGGGTGGTTCTGCTCCGCAAGCCACTCCTCCAACTCGACCATCTGTACATTCTCGAGGCCGATGCCCGCGTCGATCTCGCCGCGAATGATGGCCTTGGTGATGTTCATTCCGCAGCGGACGGCAGTGTAGTCGGATGCAGACATGTTATAGTACTTGGTAAGTTCATCGATTTGAATCTAGCGAAATTTGGTGAGTGTCTTATTCCTTGAGAAGTATCATTGCTAAGCTGGGAAGCTCAAACCTTTCCGAATTCACCAACGTATCCAATCCGCTTCCCTTTCAGGGAGTGGAAGTCAGTGGTAATACCACTATCCTTCAAGTAGACAATACCGGTAAAGGGTTCATCCAAAAGCGATCCGACGGAAACAACTGGGAAGTTGCGAGCTTTCGCCTAGACGGATCCATAAGCATCAATGCATTTCTATCATTGACATACACATATAATATATAGTAAAATAGTCTCCACTAACAGCGAGAGTGTGGATCATGGCCTTGAAGCCCATGTCGACCTTTCCACTCCCAATGATCTCAGTGACATCAGAGGGGTCATTAGGCTCAAGAAGGGCCACTTTAATGCCCTCATCCTTGAAATATCCCTTGGATTGCGCGAGGTAAAGGGGGATATGATACGGGGTCGCATGCCTTTTAACATTCAATTGATCCATTCTTAGCCAATTGGGGTTGGGTATAATTAATTAAGTGCGTCAGTGCGCCCATTTCCGCGCTCAAGAGACCTACCAATTGGTCAAAAAAGTAATCTTATCGGTAGACATGATGGCAACAAAAGCGATGTAAGTTCAGAGCAAATTGAGTGTCACTGTCAGAGTCAGCATATCAACCACAACAACGTATATAGGGACCTTGGATATCAAGCGTAACATGTCCTTTCGCTGGAATTACCCAGATCAAGTTCAGACAGTATAATCTCAGAACAATCAGTTCATGATCACCAGCTGCAGGCCCGCTCCAATTCAGAAAAAGTGTGGCTGGATAAAATATCCACGAGGCACATACTTTCAAAGAAGAGTATATAGAGCTAAGCCGCTGAGAGAACATGAACTGACCGAACACCTGTCATGTGCACGCATGGTTGCAACAATACCTTGACCATTCGGTGACAACTCCATCGCAAGAGAGGACAACGACGCTATCCATGCTGAGCCGTACCCGGATGAAAAAATGTTCGAAAGCTAGAGGTGAGGGTGGAACCGAAAGCGAGAGATGGGGAAGAGAGCTGCAACTGAGGTTTGTCGTGGGAAGTTGACAGAGAATGCTCTGGCGTGCGGGGAGAGGGGCTTATATATTGCGCAGCACGTGGTCGTCCTAATTGACCACCGGCGGACAGGGGCTCGAAAAAGCGATACTAGGTAGTATCAGACGAAGCAGGGGAAGCAAAAGAATATTGCCGTTTGACCATGTATAAAAAACTGAAACAAACTCACTCGCTCAGCACAAATGCAATTTCACGAGTTGTAAAGAGGGCCATCAAATAAGCAGGCAAGCCTTCAAGTTTGAATCAAAACGTCCGCTTCCCTTCATCATATCAATGTTTATTTGATCCAGTTAAGCAAGTTACATTGCATATTCCTTCTCACCAGTCCGCTGCAACTTATTCTTTTTCCAACTGTTCTTTATTGTTTTTATTTTTTGATCCAACAGCTATCACTGGCAGTTACACTCCAGACAGCAAGCCAGTGCTGGCTGGCTGACTGGCCACCAATTATTTGCCCAATCATTAAAATGTGGCAGCACGAAATCGCTATTGCTTTGTCAACAAAATTTCAATGAATCCCACATCGCCCGAGAAAAGAATGCTCCCGATGAATGGACGAAAAAATGATCATCAGTCGTCACAACGCTAAGTTTAGATCATTACTAAATCATCACCGTCTCCCGTACTTAATTTGAACACTCCGCCGGCTGCTGGCGCCCGTTTCTAAGCTCATGATGGTCCACAATTTCGGAGAGACTGTCAAGAGAAAGCAAAGGCCGAATTTCACGCACCAAACCGTTAGCAAAATCTGCCATCTTCTCATATATACTAGATAGGGCCATGCAAGGGAACCGATGGGGCGTGTTTAGAACGTGTCCGGGTGGCAGGGGGCAGGGGAAAGCGGGAAGCGAGGTCATGATGGGAGGCTGGACTGGACGATGGTGGATACGCATCACATACATCAAGGTTTTCCAATCGTTGACCGGCCACTCGGCATAATCCAAGTCGGCGACTGACCATGTCTTGTCAGAGGTCAGTTCGTCCGCTAGATCATAGTAAAGTGAAACATATACATGCTCGAGCGCTTGGGTGGCAGGATATCTTATTGCTGGATCGAAGTCGAGCAATTGTTCTAGAAGGTCAAGGGCTGTTCGTGGAATAGAGGTGGATTAGAAACGAATTAGCCCTTCCGGTATATTTTATATGGTGAAGTGAAGTTTAGCTACGTTGCAGGGGAAGGGGAAAAATGTAGAAACAGAAAATAAAGACAGAGGGAATGGAGAAGGAAAGAAAATGGGGCCTCTTTCCCTACCTTCATTATCGGACGTGGAGATGTGCTTTCTCAAAGGCTTCCAATCGCGAGCTGGTAAAGACTTTAAATAACCAATAATCTTGTTCAATGTTCAAGAGATTAGCCATCTCAGCCGGCATCCTGTGTAAGGCTAGCCTAACTAAGTGTTCAGCAGCATATACTTACATTCCCACTACTGAGCCCATCCATCAGATCGCCTGGCGCATACCCAAGCAACTTAATAATGGCGTATAGTTGGTTCGTGCATCGTTCTTCGGAAAATAGGGGACAGCCATTTATCATTTCCGCAAGGACACAGCCCGCCGCCCACATGTCCATGGCAGGGTGATAAGTCTGTGCATCTAACATGAGTTCTGGAGCCTGATAGCATTGGTTTGCGTTGTCGTAAACATGGTCTATCGTAACTCTCTCACCATGAATTCGTGAGTGGTCCAGGCCAGTTATTTGCAGGTCACAGCCCCGGGTAATGAGGATGCTAGATGGTTTCAAGTCGCAATGCACTATGTTTGCGGAATGAAGATATTTCAACCCCCGCTGCGGATAAATTGATTAACAGCGAGGTCACTTATTGGCAAGCTGGAAATAGTGGATCTGGAGGGTCAGCACATACCAGGAGTTGATAGAAGAAAACTCTTGCATATTGCTGGAGCGTACTGGATGCAAGACATTGATCAAGAGTCATGCCTTGGTGCTGTGATATGAGATATCTATACGTTCTGGTAAGCTCAAAATTGCCTGTTGAGATTTGCAAAGCAAGTCGAGGATCAAGGACATGCTTACAAATTCCCTCCGAATGACAGGAACGCATCCTGCAAGCCAGCGATCTAGCAGGAAAGAAAACAGCACACAAGTTAGTAAGGGGGTCGATACAAATGGTGCAAATGCTCGTTCGTAGGAAAAAGGAGTTGGGTTGAGGGTTAACATTTTCATGCTTGAGAAGTTTCAACTGCTTTAGTTCTAGATAGGCTCTCTGGCACAGGTCGGAGCGGGCGAAGGGTTGATATATTTTCTTAATTGCGACTTGGATGCCGAGCAGGGTATCGCTGGCTGAGCTGTTATGGCACATCCTTCAGTTGTGAAATGGTAAGATATTAGGCAAAAGGTTGGATATAAATGAGCCCGTACCAGATGATATTGGAACCCTTGATCTTGACGGGGCGTAGGTTTGTATATCTTTGGCAAGACAGTCAAAATTAAGCCAGTCCAAAGATAAAATGAGATGAACTAGGTGATATCATACCTTGGTGCTACTTCAAACGAGGAGCTGACGAAATGCTGCATATAAAGGAATTCTAACATTGTTTTTACTACTAGTGATGATTTGTTTCGGTTCTAATCTTGCTGGTATCATGACAGACACGGCTAAATTAGACCGTCATTCTGAAAATCTGTCATCAACACTTGTATATGCAAACAGGAAAATGGAAGTTTATGGGGGGTTGCGGGTATATCCTCCATATATAAGGGGCGGATGAACGACTCCATCGACACACAGCGCACAAGGCCCTCCACGATCAGCGATTAACTGTCCACCACGACTTACCCTTGCTCTTGACGAGACAGACGCAGAAAGCTTGGAAACTTGAAGCAGCCATTACGTCACGATCAACAGTCCATTCCCGCATGTCAAGGCGACAAGGCGACAATTAGAATTTGGGGCTCGCTGTATAAGATGAACTCCCCTGCCGTGTTGAAGTTAGACAGGGTAACTCTCTTGCTTCACATAGCGAACTTGCACGCCAAAACGCGCCGGGTTTCAAACGGCCGCTGGCTGCTTTGTTGACTCTTTAATAGTTATTAATCTAATCGTCATCAAAACTGATGCTGGAAGCGGGAATTTCAGCCAGTGACTTCAAAAGTGGGCCTCATGCTGCTGTCCCCGCTCAAGCCCATGGACCGGATGTGTCATCACCATCCTGAAGGGACTGCTCAGCTATCAAGCTCAGTAACAAAGCCAATCTACACGAAGCTAGAAAGATGGTCCATGGACTGTGCAAATCATCGGAAAGAGATCCCCTCCAATCTCTGTGGCGCATTCTTGAGCTTCAGTGTTCATCCGTCCACACTATTCTAGAGCTCGGGCAGTTCAATCGCAGAATGACGATGGAAAAACGAGTTGGATAGCTACCTCACGCCCGCTTTGGCACGGACAGAAAGGACTAAACTCAGCGAAGTTGGCCCTGGAGGATGACAGACCTACATGACGCCGTCTCTGAGCTCTGTCGCTGTAGGATACGAGCTGCGAATCACAGAAGCGATCCAAAAATTCATTGCCACGGCCGCGCGGTCGACAAGATGAGAGCAGCCATTTGGATGATCGTTGGACCTGCCCCTCCCACTAAAAATGGGCGTGTGCCGAATATTGACTGGCCGAGCTTCTGTTGACCTGCCACTTACATGAACGGTTTTATGAGGCTTGTCAGACATTGGTGGGGCATCCATGCGGGCAGCGGCCAGTGAGGGGTTCGTGCAGATGCTGGATGCTGAGACATGCAAGGGAGAGCGGTCCGTATCCTATGTGGCCAGTTACTTCGATCCTGGGAAATGTCAATGCTCAAAGCATGTGTTTCAACACATGAAAATTGCGAACTTAATACCAGGGGAATCAATTCTCCTTTTTAGCTCCAATTCTAGCGAATGGTAACATGATTCAAACTCCATTTTCTCACACAAAAAGGAGAATTTTCAATCGTGATATAACGGCCACATCATCCATATTTTATTTTTTTATGTGTAATTTATAATGTCCTATATACATTATATATGTCATGAAATTTGTATAAGAACTGACTGAAAAACAAACCTACAATACATAATAATAATACTGTAATCTCACGATACATATAAATTTACATGTATCATTTTTGTGAAAGTGAACATCCAACAAATACACTTCAGATCTTATCTTATACTTGACATTTTTCAGCGAAAATGAAATACATAATACTATATATCTTCTAACATATAAATTACACTTTATACACTAACTACAGTGTATCTATACCGAGCTATTCAGATAAATTGATTCTTCAAATGGTGTCTTCCTGGAGCATAATGCAGTTAGCTATATCACCCTCGGCATGAAACTCTTCCCCAGCCTCCAAGCTCGCTACCCAGTATTTTGCTCTATTTGAGAGACTGCAGTTATCCAAGCTATATTGTTCACACATCAAATATGGCATTCGCCATCCAATTGGACAGCTCTCGAATCTTGCGTGCATTTTTATAGGTGTTTTAAGCATTTTGTGGTCTCGATTAACTAACAAAGCCAACCCTTCCAAGGCTCAAGCCACCCCCGCTTCAACTAGTTTGAACTCTTTTCTCAGCATCGGACAGTTTGAGACAATTCCTTGAAGAGAAGCGGCCTTAACTTTCAAGCGGACGGATGTTTGTTCTTTTGCCGACAATCCCTCTATCTACTGCGTACCTTGGTACTGTTCTTCGTCGCTGCATCTCACTCTTCAGCGAGGACCTATTGGCTTTTCCAGCTGGATGTGCAGCGGAAGGCAAAAGTCGGCGTTTCGGGGCAGGCGATGTCCGATGGCTACAGAGGTGTAACAGTACGATCTATCCTCAAGAACTATTCTGTGCTACTCAACATGATATTCCATGGTTCAGTTAAAAGGCCCGATGTGGCAGCTTGGCTTTCTGCTCCTCGTTGAGCGACAGCTATATCCCTTTCCTTATGGTCCACAATCCTGACTACGCTTCTGAGCCCTGGCTTTTGGAAAAATGAATCGAATCCCAGTGTTGATTGTTGGCGGTGGACCCTCAGGTCTGGTGCTGGCGTCGTGGCTGCAGAGACAAAACGTGGGGCTGCGGATAATCGATAAGGGCGAGTTTAGGGCTTCCAATTCACGCGCCATCGTCATGCACGCTCGCTCCCTTGAGCTCTACCAAAAACTGGGCCTGGCTGACGAGGTGATTGCTGACGGCAAGCAGATGATAGCCGCAAACCTTTGGATCCAGGGGAAACATAGAGTGCGATTACCGATTGGCGATATCGGAAAGGGCGTCACACCATACCCATTCGTCCACGTCTACCCACAGGACCGACATGAAAAGCTGCTGGAGGAAAAGCTGGCGGAAGCTGGCATCACGGTCGAGCGGAATAGGGAGCTAGTAAATTTCAAAGACCATGGCGACCATGTCTCGTTCACCGTCCTCCACAATGATACACAGGAGCGGGAGGAGAATTGTGAGGCACAGTACATCATCGGCTGCGACGGTGCATCGTCGACTGTGCGAAATGGGCTCAGTGATATACACTTCCCAGGTGGGACTTATCAGTCCCGATTCTACGTTGCGGACATCGAGGCCAGCGGACCCGCTATCAACGGAGAGGTCCATGTCAGTCTCCATTCCTCCGATTTCCTCCTCATCTTCGCATACAACGACAGTTCGCGCGTGCGAGTAGTTGGTATGGTGGATAACAAACCCGATGTCCCTCCGGAAACACTGACATTTGAAGACGTATCGGGTACCGCTATAGACAGCTTGAAAATCAAAGTAGAGAAAGTCAACTGGTTCTCAACATATCGCGTCCACCATAGGGTGGCGAGCAAATTTCGAAGTGGCAGAGCGTTTCTTGTGGGTGATGCAGGGCATATTCACAGCCCCGCAGGCGGGCAGGGAATGAACACCGGAATCGGCGATGCGGTCAATTTGGCTTGGAAATTGGCGGCGGTATTGCAAGGCCACGCCGATCCGTCACTGCTGGATAGCTTCGAGGAAGAGAGGATTCCATTTGCGCGAGCGTTGATACAGAGGACGGATCAAGCTTTCTCCATCGCAACATCTGGAGGTTTTCTTGCAGATATCGCGCGCTCTTATATCGTACCCTGGATCCTCCCCGTGGCTATGCGACTACCAGGAGCTACGGATTATGCCTTTCGCATACTTTCGCAAACGCACATAACCTACCGCGGAACGTCATGTGTCGGAGGCGTCGCTGGCCATGTGCACGGCGGGGACCGGCTCCCTTATACAACCCCCATTGGGTTAGATAACTATGAAGCACTATCACAAATCGCGTGGCAAGTTCATGTTTACGGAACCCCCAAGGAGGAGATGATAGCATGGTGCAGAGACAAGGACGTTGCACTGCATGCTTTCGACTGGACAGAAGACTGTAAAGGAGTGGGATTCGCTCGAGACGCTGCATATCTATTGCGGCCCGATAGTTATGTTGCGTTTGCGAACTTGTCCGGCATGCTAGCACAATTTGAGGAGTATCTCGGAGCTTGTGGCATCCGCAAATTGTCAACATGATCGATTGGTCATCATGTCGTGTCGCCGATCAGCTTAACAGTAGTTAGTTGCGAGGCCAAGGGGTCTAAAATTATTTAGGGTTAAGTTCCCGGAGATTTATTATTCGATGCGATAGACATATGCAGTGCATTACCGGTTCATCCGTTAAGTTTCCGGAAGGTCACTGTTAAAAGTTTTGTCTGACCATGTCACTAACCAACCAGTTAAGGTATTTGTCACGGCCCGGGTCCCCATATTTTAGGCATGAGATCATTGTTGATTAAGCCCTAATTCCAGATGATGTATGCTTTTTGAGTGAGCCAAAACTTTTGATAGTGACTCTGCACAACTCATGTACTACTAGAATACGAAGTACTGGGACATTCATTTGATTTCTAATCGACTTCGAAAGGAAAATGATGGTAGCTTCTGGACCTTCTCCTCATCGAACACCTCTATATATATCGACACTTCTCCCCCTCGGTCAGCTGCGCAGTTGAACTTACTCTCTCGCCTTCCTATATCAGTACAATTTATACATTAATTTCCCAACAACCTCTTTATGTCCCGCCCCTAGTTGGTGTTTGCATATCTGAATCTTATTGTATCAAATTACTCCAATGGCGATTCCAAAAACTCAAAGGGCACTCATATCAGGGCCCAACTGTGAAGCGCTCGTATCTAATGATTTTCCCATCCCCGATATATTACCCGACCACGTCCTCGTCAAGACAACCCATGTCGCCCTCAACCCGGCGGACTGGAAGAATTTGGGCTCAGACAAAACCATCCCAGGCACACTAGGTGGCTGCGACTTTTCCGGCATAGTCGAAGAAGTTGGTCCTGCTGTTGTCAAGAAATTCAACAAGGGAGACAAGGTGATGGGCTTCAACCTTGGCTTTAACGAAATGAAGCCGACCAAGGGCGCCTTTGCCGAATATGTAATCTCCAAAGGCGATCTGCTGTTGCGTGTGCCGGACACGTTGCGCATGGATCAGGCAGCATCAATGCCCATGGGATTGTACACAGTGGCTCAGGGGTTGTATCAGGGGATCCTGCAGATGGCGCTGCCGAATGAACCTGTTAAAAATGCCGTTCCCGTGCTTATTTATGGAGGAAGCTCGGCGACGGGGGCGTTGGCTATTCAGTTTGCAAAGTTGTATGTCGTCTACACCGACTAAGTGTGATGAGCGTTTGCCATATCCATAAACATTGGCCAACGACCTGCCTATTGTGGTTGCGACGATATGGCTAACCATTTCAACAGGTCTGGCTACACAGTTCTGACCACCTGCTCGCCGCAGAACTTCTCGTACGTGAAGGAACTGGGCGCAGACGTAGTTTTCGACTCCCACGAGGAGGGCGTCGGCAAAAAAATCCGCGAATATACCAACGACAACCTCCATCTCGTCTACGACACTATTTCAATTCCCGAAACAGCTGCAGTATGCGCTGACGCCCTCTCCTCCAAGCCGGGTGGCAAGTACATGGCTACACAATTCCCGCAGATGGAGCGAAAGGATGTTGAGTCCAGTGGCGCGGTAGTATACACTATGATCAACGAAGAATTCAGGGTGGGCGAGTTCTCCTTTCCTCCTACGCCGGAGGATATCGAGTACGGGATCCGCTTTGGAGACATTGCAGAGAAGCTGATTGCAGAGGGGAGGATTAAGGCACATCGAGTGCTGACGAACGAGGACGGCGGATTTGCGGCTATACCAGATGGATGGACGCTTATGAGAGAGAATAAGGTCAGTGGGAGGAAGCTGGTATATAAGGTGTGAACTTAAGGGGTTTGTTATGGCGTTATTCAAATTCGAGATAAAAGGGAGGTTTTGATGTCGTCGAGTGGTTGTAAACATATGCAACGCCCTTATTTTCCGATACAAATTGACATAAATTTGATACTCATATTTCAAACACAAGTTGTTATAGTAAATTTAGATATGGTAATTTAAAAATTATCTATCAAATATGTATAACTTAAAAGCTTTTGCTTTTCTAGAAAGAGCATTACATGTGAAATTCAAGAATATTTTCTCGGATAGATTTAAGAGATGTAATTCAGATCACTATTGTGTTCCGCTTGCTTGAGAAAAGCTGATCATTTTATAATATTTGAATAACTTTTTTTACATGTATTATTTTCTATTACAATTTACACATAGAATCAATTTTATAGTGAAATAAAATATATAAAACTATCAGATAAATATATTGATAACAGCACTGTAATCTGAATAAAATTCACATAATAATACAGACTGTAGCTCAGCAACATACTGATAATTTTAAAAATTCTAAACAATTTATTAATAATATATATATCTAAATCGGCGAATTACGCATCATGTAGTATTCTCATGGATGTTGGAATATCAAGAGTTGACCACCATTGATTTTATATGGAAATGGTAGATGTGCGGTGGTGATCCATGTCAACGATTGGATGATCTTGACACATCTTGGTCGTCTTGAAGGTTTCGAAATAGAGATTCAGAAAGGAGACAAAAGCGACTAAAATCATATCTTTCCATTGATACTCTGATCCAATAATACCTGGGACTCATCGGTGGATATATGCATAATATATGCATAATTTCTATGTGGAACATCCAAAAAAGAAGTGAGAAAACCAAATTTGGCTATCGAATGTAGGATATAGGGGGAAGACAGCCGCAATATAGAAGGCCGCAACGTATATTGGGTAAGAGAAATGGCAATGAGAATTTCCCCATCAACCAACCAGCCCGGCAGTTTCTCACTCTCCATTCTCATAAACCCGCAAAATATGCGAATCAGTCTTCTCACCCAGCCCCTGCTTCTGAGCCAAATAAAACATATTAAGCGCAGCATTCCCTATATGAAGCGGGCAATAAACATCCCTCGCTGCCTGAACAACAGCGGCAAGCTCCGCCGCGGCCTCATTCACCGTCTTCGTGCTGCCACTGTCAAACCCACCCGTCAATCCTGCGATCATCCCCTCACCACGAATTTTGAAAATTGTACTTGCGCCCGCGGCAGCGTTGACGACGGCGTAGACCAGTGGCAGATCGACTTTGAGGAGTCGGGCGAAAGCGATGGCTTCGGCGGCAGCAACTAGATGGATGTTGGTAAGTAAATTGACGATGAGTTTGAGCGCCGCCGCGTTGCTTTCGGGGTTGAGGGACGCCTTCGGCTCAGCCTTGGTGATGGGATCTCGGTAGTAGAGGCGCACGGCACTGGCGTCGTCATCACCGCCGAAGCCGAGAGGGAGGGCAGTGATGAATATTTGCTCCGCAATGCTACAGAGTGGGGTGGGAAAGTTATGGAGGCGCGCAGCCGCGGTGACAATGCCCTGTTTTTCGACAGACCAGTCAGTTAGGGAAAATACTAGCTGTGGGGGCATAGCCGTAGAAAGCGGAATTAACAACCATACCACATCTTTTAGAATAATAGTAATCGCACTCGCTCCTGGATAATAATCCTCTCGTAGCATACGCTCGCAGCGGTTCTCATGCATGAAGCTCCATGCATCGGATGATGTAAGTGCTTTGCCAGCGTCTTCGGCATTCAACCCCAAATGTGCGGCAAGCCCCATGACTTCACTGGCCGCAAGTATATGGATAGCAGCGAACACTTGGTGGATCATCTTCATGTTGCTGCCCGCGCCGACTCCGCCAGGCACAAAGTATAGTTTATTCGTATCCGCCATCTCTGTAAGGAGGAATTTGCCCTTTTCAAGCGCTGCATCTGAGCCGCCTGCCATTATTGTGAGAGTACCCTCTCCGGCTTTCCGGGCTCCGCCCGACACAGGTGCGTCGATAAAGTATACATCTTCGCGGCCAATTGACACGAGCTGATCACGGTACGACTGCGCGGAAACGGCTGGAACAGTGGAACACAGAATGAGGGTAGCGCCACTGGGGAGACCTATGAAAGAAATCATCGGCAACATATTAGCTGTGCTAAAAAGAATAAGACATGTACGGTACGTACAACATAATTCATTGAGAGCAGCAGAATTTAATACCCTTCGCAATGCCATTTTCATGGTCAAAAATGGCGACCTGTGCCTGAGCAGCAGTAGCGACCATGCAAACACAGAACATATTCCCACCCGCAGCACCTCCAGGAGACGAAGCGATCTGGCCGCCAGCGTCCTTGAAGCGGGCCATTGTTGTCTCCTGGATGTCATATCCCTTGACGACATAACCTAGCTTGATCAGATTGGTGGCCATGCCAAAGCCCATGAGGCCCAGGCCTACAAAACCTATCGATGGTTTCTCAGTAGCCATTTTTTTTTTTTTTTTTTTCAATAACAATCAATATGCGACTCTAAACGAATATATTTTCTCAGGTCGTTTATTAATCGTAATATTTCAGGACAAACTTAGGCAAACGGGCAAGGAGGGATATCCGTAGCACATGGAAGTCCCCGTTAGCTTGAAACGCAAACAAAATGGACATCTGAGAAGGAATAAAAACACACTTATGGGTATTTATAGAGAGTTCATGAGAGCCTTCGATTCAGTAACCTGAATGCCGCCTTAGAGTTTTCAGCGGCCGGTTTGGGCAGCAATCGTAAGCCCTGTTGTGGCTTTACAAAGAAAGTGATCAGAAAAGCACGCCATGACCAAAGGAATAGCAGCACCCAGTTCCCCGTCTCGGGTTTTCTATACACCTTGGTATCTTACCTACTGAAATCATGTTGTTGAGGCATGAAACATTTGCGCGAAAATAACCTCTACACCCCGCCATTGACATCACCGCCATGGGTGCGGATGGAAAGCGTGGAGAAGGACGCAAAACATTTCGACAGCCACAAGAGTGCCAGATTGCTTTCCAATTATTGGGCCGCGAGGTTCCTTTTTTACCCACAGCAAGGGGGTTGGTTGGAAATAAACCTGTAGTTCCCACCAATCTGCAGCAGAGAGAGCCCGGTTGAGTGGGGAAGTCATTTCACCCCTGAATGCTTCCGAAGATGTCAAGGAGCGGTCTCTCTCAACTCTGCTCCGTCGAAGTAATTGAGCCAGATTGCAACGAAACTAAAATAAGTCGTTTTCCGCCGGATCTCCACCAAATTCTGATGAATGAAAGAAAATAAGGGCATATCATGAACTATTTTCCGGGCTCGGCGGGAGGCTCTGCCAGCGGACGGAAGTGCTGAAACAACCCGCTTTCTGTTCTTCGCTTGTCGGACTGAAAAAATAATTTATCAGAAACACAAAAAAAAATGGAAACAAGAAGGAAGGAAAGAAAAGGAAAGAAAGGGAAAGGAAAAAGAAAAAAAGAAGGAAAATATTAGGGGACTCCAGCTCCTAATGCATGTTCAACAGCGGAGGGACGCAACAGAAATCTTCTGTGTAACTGCAATGGCATCAAAAAAATGAGTTGGACACCCCTCGGACAAGTTGTCTATGCCTTCGCTCCGGTCGCGCATCTTCGCGCATCTCTGCAAGCTTCAATATGGACCTGGGCTCAGGTAGCCATCTCACCAGGCTTTAACAACCAAGGTAGAGACCTCACCACTACCCCTCCCAGTTGTCTGAACTATTCTTATCAAACATGTCAATTTCGCCCTCAACTTTCTGGAAACTGCACCGTGGCTCATGCGCATCTACATTTGCAGGCTTTGATAGTGACTAGTTCGCAAAGTCCGAGGGTGGCGATCTTCGTCGCTTTGGTATGTTTCGCGAATGTTCGTCGAACGCAGCCACTCGTTCCGAATTGGTACCATCCCACAATGGCGACCTCTCCTATCCTTGAGCCGAACAACGGCTTGTTGTCCTTGTGTGTGGACGTGGTCTCGTTTAGTTAGATAAAGTACTGCATTCGCTGTTGACAGTTGGAAACACGAAATACTAACAACGTCGCTCTAGAATTGTAGCACATCGGGTCCAAAATCCGGACCGGAAATGATTTCTTGTTCGTCCTCGAACTCCAAACTGCAGATGTCGAGAAGATAGCCGGATTAATTGAAACTCCCGTGGAGTCTACCAGATCGGCCTACCCAAGGATTCTCGCCAACGTACCGTGGTAGTGAGTGTAGGAATTCCAAATCAGAGATATTGGTATGGACTCCTAGAGCAGGCGGTATTCCACGGCCACTAACCAACCGGTCAAGGACCAACTAGGGAATGATATCATTTTATCCATCTCGATCAAGGCATCGTTGTTCAATTTCCTTTGAGTTACTGGATAGACAGAGGTCCACAGCAAGACCAGATAGGGAGATCCAGCTGGGAAGCCGCTCATGAAGGTGTAGAACACGAAGAATTCCAGAGAAAGCGTCGAGGTTGTCGACTGGAATTGTCAACTGCTGAACCGTGTATAGCTCCACTAATTTCCCGTAACCATAAAATATTCAGAGTATACCTTCATTTCTAGGAAGTAGACATGATTTCTTGAGTTCGACCAGGGGGCTTTTGTTTCCAATAGGTCGAGGAACCTCAACCGGTTTGCCGAAAGTTCAGCATTCTCTTCCAGAATAGTTTCACACATGGCCCCTCGTTGCATTGGAAGTAGACGAAATTCATGCCAAATGGATGTGCCATCGAAACAGCAAGTGTTTCCTAAAAGTTTAACTGCGCGTGTCCAGTTTGGAAGTTTCTAGGATGAAATGGAACCGGGTTGGAGTTGTTGTCAGTGTCACTTATTTAGTGTCAGACATTGAAGCGGCATGGCGTTTTAACAGAAGAGACTTTTCCGAAGGGGAGATAGATTCTGTCGCCTTGGGATGCCGATTAGTATGGCAAATTAGTACATGATCCCGTAGCTGGATAGCCTCCACGATGGATGCCTGGACCTCTACATTGAAATGCTTCTAAGAAAATAGTTTCTCAAAAGGATCAGATGGTGTGCCATGAAATCGGCTCTCCTCGGGTAGGCTCCGCCTCTGCCTGAACCTGCCTGGAGTAAAGTATGGAATCGTTGAGGTCCCTTCTTGTAGATGCGATACCAAAAGCAGACACCTTCATGTAGGATAGCAGATCGAGGTACTATGACCCGGCTTTCAGCTGACTCAAGAAGTTGAGAATAACAGATTCCAGGTTCTTGATAGCACTATTCAGATTATCTCGTACTTCTGTAAAAGGACATCTGTTAATGTGGAGCGGAGCCGGATATCCTTCCAATGCTCCAATCTCCCTGAAGCCAATAACTCTGGACATCCGCCTTGTTCAATCTCCACCCAGATTGGATACCCTAGCCTGTTAAAAGGCACATCATTCTTCTTCAGGGTCAAACGATGTTATGGCGAAAACCACATCGGTTTAGAGATATGGCCGCAGCAGATGCGGAGTGGTGGCTGAACACCCTTTCGTATTCCCCACACCGGTAATCCGACTGGCCATTCCGCGTCCGTTGAGTAACAAGTTATTCAACGAGGGAAAACGGTCATTCAGCAAAATGTACAGGCACGTAGACTCTGCGATTGATGGTGAACTTACATCCGGTACATCGCAAACCCAAGCTGCGAGACTCAAGCAGAAGTTTGTCGGTGCAATACTAGTAAATCCTCGGTTCTCTCTCAGTCTCTTATCTATCAACAGAAAGCTAGACATCTCATGCGATGCGTCCTGGATCAGTTGGCCAATTGACCAACTTAGTTCAGTTCGCTTCACCTCGATGGTTGGAGATGCTGCGAATGGCCTTCATGATTTCAGGAAGATGTCTCGCGAAGAAAAAGCCAAAAAAGTTCGCCTAATTTTCTGAAACCAAACAATCAGGAATACAGGACGAGCCAGAAAACCCACGGATGATAGAACCCAAGTTCAGTGAAGCCAGTTAATATAACTATCCCGCCGCTCAATGATCAATGCCTAGAACTCTGCGCATCTCGCTCGTCTGCCTGACCTCATTGCCTCTTGAAATTCTTCGTCTAACTCTCTTGTCAATCTCGATACAGCATTTTCTCATTGATGGTATAGTATTTATATATTATTATATTATTTATCCTTTGTAATGGTACAGTACATACATATCGAAGAGACTTGCTAATTATCTATATACAGGCCTATCAGAAGAGCAACAATGCTTCCCAAAACAGCATAACGCGTCGCCACGAAGATATCGCCTCTCCCAGCAGTGCCCGGTTGGGATGCTCCTTTTGGCGCCGCTGTGGCCAGTTGTGTGGCACACTTATCGTCCATGACTAGCTCATCACCCGCCGCATTCGTCACGGTCATGGGGGTGCACGAGAAGCCAGGAGGGGCGGAGTTGCTTCCTGTGACTGTCGCAGTGACTGTCATGAAGCCGCCAGCGCCTTCAGTTGCGTAGACTGTCGAAGTTGTCCGAGTTGGTGGGCAGTCGCCTTGTCTTATACGCAGCGCTCTGGCCGCTTTGGAAGAGGTGACTGTTTTGGCATGGGAGTATTTTAACGCGCAGTTATCCCCAAGTTCGAGCGAATCTCCAAGAGAGTTTGTCACGGTCATTGGGGTGCAACTGAATCCTGACGGCTCCCCTCCTGGCGGCACCGTTTTGGTTGTTGTTGTCGTCGTCAATTCCAGACTTCTCGTGACAGTGGTGGTATCAGTTGTTACATGCGGGCAAGGTTTTCGGCATTTCCAAGTCCCAGCGGCCTG